CTTTATATAATCCTTAATTAAATCCTTAATAGTATTTACTAAGTTAACTTATAGCTTTTATATTATATTAATAAGGTTATTAATACTAAGTTCCCTAGCTAGCTTTAAGTCCTTCTTAAGGATAACCTTAAAGGGGTTTTTAGCAGGCTTAAGTTTTTAGATTTTAAGGGCATCCTTAATATCTTTAAGATAATAATAGTTCTTAGCTTTAGCTATCTTATTATTAGTAGTTAATTTAATTATTTAAGTCAGATCTTTATAAGGTATTATTTTTATCTTATTTTAAGTCTTTTTATATTATAAGGCAACCTTATTTAGGACTTCCTAGTAAATAGTATTAAGAACATTTTCTAACTAAGTAGTCTACTTTTTATAATTAGTATCTAGCTTTCTAAACTTAAAGTAGTATTAGGTTAATTATTTAATTATTTAAGGGTAGTCTTTAAAAAGTTATTTCTAGTTAAGCCCCTTAAGCCTGGCTTTAGGGCTATTAGAGGTAATATTATCTTTAGTAATAAAGATTTCCTTAAGGTTTTTCTTAGCTTCCTCCTAGTTATATCCTTTATAGGCTTAATAGATATCTTCTATAAGAGTTAGAATAATATATATCTCTAGCATTATAGCGCGTTTCCCCTTAGGCATATTAGTATTATCTATATAGTATTTAAAGAGATAAAGATATTTTAAGATATCCTTACTATTAAAGATAGCTATATATAGAGTTATTTAGTTAACTATAGTATAGGGCTTATGCTTATAGATAGCTATAATAAGATCCTGGAGCTAGCTAGCTATTATAGCTAGGGCTATTATTACTTCTTAAGGTTAGTTTAATTAGGTTACTGGCTTAGTAAATATAGTCCTTATATTATTAGAGGATAAGGGAGTATTAATAGAGCTTATTATAGTAAGTATTAATTAATTAATTAGTATAAGGTGCTTTAGTAAGGTCTTTTCTAGATAGGGGAATAATTATAAGGAGCTATAAGTATCCCTTTTATTTATCCTTATTAAGATAATTATACTAGCTATTATTATAACTACTAGGTTCCTTATAATAGTTTAGAATATAATAAATATAAGAATATCTTATACTAAAGTCTTTAAAATCTAACTAATTAGTTAATTCTATAAGATTTTAAACTATTTTATTAAAGTATTAATAGGTTTAGTTATTATAAAAGTAACCTTTTTAAGTAATCTGTGCCTAAATAGCTTAGTAAGTGCCTTAATACTAGTTTTTAAGTTTAGTTAATCCTAGGCTATATTAGGTTTATTATAATTTATAATATATAATATAATCTTAATATTCTTCTGCTAAGTTAAGGCTAGATTTCTTTATATAGCAGATTCTAGCGCTATCTTAGTATAGGGAATTATTATAAAATAATGCCGGCTTTATAATTCTAATATTACTTTTTATATATACAAGCTATTCGGTTTTGCCACTCTTGGCTTAGTAACTAAGGGATCTATTACCTCCTATTACTTCTGTAAGCGGTTTTGTTATTTATCTTAGCCTCTTGCCTGTTCTTTATCTAGTATGTTTCCTTTTTCTTTAATTATTGCAATTTATAGTTCAGGCAGCATAGAAGTACCTCCTCTTTAAATAATTAGGTTATTCTAAAGTCCCTTTAGAGACTAACTGTATTAATAAAGTAGATTTTCTAGGTTTTAGGGACTAATTTAAAGGTAAAGAGTAATAATAAAGAAAAGACTATATAAGATAATATCTTCTAATACTTTTTAACTGCAAGCTAAGTATAGACTGCTAGTTAGGTTTAATTAAGATAGGGTCTTTATTATAAGATAGAGAATTAAATAATTAGTTTAATAGTATTAAATATAAAGAAAAAAAAAAAAAGAATAAGAATTAAGTCTAAAGAAGCCTCTTAAAAAGCATAAGGAAAGTCTTTAGTCCTAAAGGGATATTACCCTTTTATACCTTATTACTATAGACATTTATCTGGCCCCTACTAATAAAGCTTAGACCTCTTACCCTGGAATGCTTGCCACAACTGTTATAATATACTTCTTATTAAATAAATATTAAATTATTTTCTTATTTAGAAAGAGTTAAATTTAGAGGTATAATACTACTTATAAGAGCCTATTAGTTAAGCTTATAGCTTTTAGCTTTAAAAGTCTATAATATAGGCAGTGCTAAGATTAATATTAAGGTTAAATAGATATAATAAAAAAGAGAATAATTAATATTATAAAATTAAAGGCTTTACTTATATATTACCTTATATATAAGTTAAGAAAGAAAGAGGCTAAAAGAAAAAGTATACTTTTTAAATTTAAATATACTTTTAATAATATATTTTATAAGTAAAAGGATATAGCTTATAAACTACATTAAGTTTATAAAGAATAATTCTTATTATTGTTTTAGTATATAATTTATTATTATTAAAAAGTACTTTAATATATTAAATATTATATATATAATATATTTTATTATAATACTAATTAGTTATTATAACTTATAGATTTATAAAAGTTATATAGCTATAGTAATAATTAGGGATTATATATTCTAGCTATATTAATGTTTTTATTTAATTATAATCTTTAAACCTAAAATAAGTAAAAGTTTTATAGCCTAAAGAGGTATTTTACTTATTAAATATATTATATATTACCTAACTATTAAAATAAAGGATTTATTAATATTTTAATACTAGCTTTTTATAATTTAATTAATTTACCTAGAATTAAAATAAACATCTCTATTATTAATTATTATAATATATAAATCTTTTTTAATTATCTTTAAAGTATAAATTTGCTTTTAATATAAAGACTTTTATGTTTTACTTATTTTCTTATTTTAATATTATTAATATTCTTAACTTATATGTATTTCTTTTTAATACTTTTAATCCCTTTTTTATATATTATTTATTATATTTATTATTTACCTAATTTAAAATTCCTTTTTAAGCTTATTATTTATAAGTCCTTTTTTACTTAAATATTATTTATTTTCTATTTTCCTTATTTAAGAAATATATAACAATAAAATCTTAAGTATTATTTTATTATATTTATTATTACTACTTTATCTTATAACCTAATTTAATTTATTACTAACTAGCTAAGCTAGTCTTAGTTTATTAACTAGCCTTTATAGTTTTTTTTCTAAATATTAAAACCTTTATTTCTTAATTTAACTTCTTCTCCCTCTTTTCCCCCTTACTTCCCCTCCTTTACCTTATAATTATCCTTATTTCTTATAATAAAATATTTATATTCTTAATTTAACTAAATAGACCTTACTTTTTAACTCTTTAAATTATACTAAGTATATAATATTACTATTAGCTAATATAATACTATTAATAAAGGCCTATTATTATAATAATATACCTATATCCTTTTTTAATTAATTAGCTAAGCCTTTTAATACTTTCCTTTAATATTTAATAAATTTAATAAAGTAATTATCTTATATAATACCTTTAATTAATACTTAATAATTAAAGATAATAAGATTAACTTATTATATTAATTATAATTTATTAATATAAGGTAGGTATTTACTTATAATTTTATAATAATAAAGGTTAAAATATAAGCTTTAAATTTTTATAATATAGATATTATTAATATTAGTTAATTAAATAATTATAATTAAGTTAATTATTATTAATAATAATTATATAATAATATATCTTAAATATTAGGAGTTATAATTTTAGCCTTATTTTTTTATAAAGCTTTATAATTATTATAATAGTAATAATTATATTAAGAAGTTAATAATAGAGAGGGAATTTAATTTATTATTATTAAAGGAAATAACTTTTTTATACTTATAAATTAAGGCTACTTATTTAATTAAATTTTAAGGTTTAAAGTAATAGTTATATAATCTATTAACTTAATATTAAGATTATTATATTTCTTTTTAATATAGTATATAATGCCTTATATTATATTTTTATTAAAAAAGAAAAATATTATTATTATATTACTTTATATATAGTTATAATATTACTTTTTTTTTAATAATATTAAAATATTATTAAGTAAGCTTATAAAAGCTAGTTATCCTTATATAAATATCCCTTATTATAGTTATTATTATTTATTAAATTAGTTATATTTATAACCTTACTCTTACTAGCCTTTTACTTAAGTTATTTAAAGTAATTAAGATATACTATTTATTTAATTATAAAGTACTAACTAATTTAAATTACTTATTATCTTAAAAATCCTTAGCCTAATATATTAGATTTAGAAAATAGATAATATCTAAATATACTTTATAAAAGACTTATAAGAGTCTTAAATAATACTATTTAAGCCTCTAAGCTTTATAATACAACTTTAAATTAAAAATAATATTTTTAAGCTTATTAAAGTAAACTATTCCTAGTTATTACTAATTTACTAAGAATATTTTAAGGAAATTTAATAGGCAGATATAATTAGACTTATTATAATTTATATAAAAGGAGGAATATATACTAATTTAAATATCTATCTAACCTTAGTAAATAAGATTATATACTCTAGCACCTTAGCCTATAAGCAATTTTCCCCACTATAACAGGAAATTATAAGTTAAGTAATTAATTTTTTATAGCTAAAAATAGATTAGTTTTTATTAAATAGGCACTTTAGGAGGTAAAGCGATATGGTAATAGTTTAAAGCGAGTTCTTTTACCTTATATCTAAGTTTGCTAGTTTATGGGGCCGTTTTTATTAGTTTAAGTTTATAATATATTTAAAAAAAAACAGAAGGCCAAGGCCTTTTTTAATAGTGAGCGGTATCTAGTAGTTAAGGAGGTATGTTTAATTAATATAAATGGCTTGGGATAAGATATATAGGGATGATTACTCTTTAACTAGTAAAGGAGATTGCAACTCGTCCTGTAAACGGTCTCTTTACAGCGGTCTATAACCACATTTATAACCTTTAAGATTATATCGATCTTAGTCTTATCTTTATGCGAGCTGGCTAGATTGGTAGAGAGATTAGATATTTAGGCTGCGCTAGCTAGGAGGTATGGCGGCGTATCTGGCTGCCTATAGAAACTCAAATAGGATATCTAGATAAGGCAGTAATGCAGGCGTCGGTCCTTATTCCTGTATGTAGTCTCCCACCTCATCCTTTCTAGCCACGGCCGCCGTTCCGCGTACATGGTCGCCGAACTAACCGCCGAGGTTTGCATATCGGCTGTAAAACCAAATAAATCGTCTTTAGCAGTGCTAAGAGCTACTGTAACTTTACAATAGAGATCTTCATTAAGCAAAGGACAACACTGAATTCATTGAAATACATAATTTTCCTACCTCGAGCTACAATATGTCCCCTCAGTCTGATATCTTGATATAAACTGCGTTCTTGGCGTGTTGTCGGTCTTGTAGACGGTCTCCAGCGCGGTCTCCGTGTTGTCCATCGGCCCCATATACGCCTTCATCACCTTAGCTTGTCCATAAACATCATAAACTTCATGCCCTTATTCCACCCTATATAGGAGTAGTAGCACTCAAAGATCATCGATATTGTGGGCGCCTGCGTAGCGCTCATAGGATCCGTCACAATCATCTTACTGTTGTTGCTATCGTCCGCCCAGTTCCTCACGGGTCGCACTGCATAGTGCAGTCCGCCATCATCAACAAGTACGAGATCGTGTAGCTGGTGACGTGGTTCGACCTTGCAGGCACCTTATTCGACATCTCCGCGGTGCAGGGCAAGGTGATCATTCCGAACGTCGTCTCGATGTCGGTCGGCTTGGGCGGGGTCCTCTCGAAGCAGAACAACCCCTTACAACAAGTTCTTGGATGCCTCCATCGAGTCGCTGATTATACCGTCCAGGGACGACCCTATGGAGGCCTTCGTCTTCCTCAGCTTGTCGTAATCCCCGAAGGGCTCGGGCTTGTCGTTGTCGTTGTTGTCATTGTCCCTGGCGTAGAAGCCGTCCTCGCTCCCCTCAAAGCCGTACTTCTCGAGCTCCTCCAAGGCGTCCATCATGGCCTGCGAAATCTTGACGTTGATGTAGTCGCTGATCTTGTTGAACTAAGCCCAAAACGAAGGTCGAGCCCAAGAAGACGGATAAGGGGCGTAGCCCTGTGACCACCATCACCCTATTGACCTTTAGTCATTTGGCGCGCAGTTCCTCACCAGACGCCCCAACTAGGGCTTCTGTTCATCCTATGCCGTTTCGGACATGCTCTTGCTGGGTCTTGAGATGGCTTCATTGTGTAGTGCGGCTTAGAGTCACATATATAATTAGGCTTGTTGTAATGTGGAGTTTGGCCACAGTCTTGTTGACAATAGCATTGTCGATGCCGCTACCTATGACTAGAAATTATTGATATTGGGAGATGGTTTCTCCTACGTGGGCGCTGGCCATCTGCTGCCGTCGCCTCTCTTGCCTTTTGCAAATCGCATGTGTTCAACACTCGAACCAATTCTACTAACTCATTCTTCCCAGTATGTTCCATAGTAGGCGCTCGGGAGGTACTATCGCTTTGCGCTACTAAAGTAAAGCTATCTGCAAAGGTTGCGACAAAGGAACAAACCAGCCAATGAGAAGGTTTATTATATACTTTAAATTTAAAAAAACCAGCAGGGGATTAAAAATACTATCCCTCTTTTAATAAAAGAGGAACTAGTAGGGGTATAAGCTAATAAGAGTTATAGAACTTCCTCTTTTATTAAAATAAGGCAGATAATAAGGATACACCCTGACCCTAACCTTATCCTAACCCTAACCCTAAGTTTATGAATTTAATATTATTTAACTTTATAAAATTATCTTATTTTTAATTTTTATTAAAACTTTATATATTAACCTTTTATTTTTATAAGCTTATTATAAGTAACTTTATATAAATTTATATAACTTATTACTTTACCTCTCTTAATTATATTTTATATTTATTATATAAATAATTATAATATAGTAATAACTAATAACTAATAATAAAAAACAGTATATAATTATAAAAACTAACTATTTCTAACCTATATAAGGATTCTACTAGTAATCTAAGATTAATAAAACAGGGTTTTATATATATAATAAATAATTAAATAATTAAATAAACAGTACCTTATACAGGCATAAAGCAATTTTAAGAAGTAAATAAATTAAATAAAACAAATATGTCTAATTTAAAGTCTTAAGGGAAGTTGTGTTAGATATTATATATATTTAGTCTATTAATCTAGATAAGTATATTTATATTATATTTTTTTCATTTCTACTTTTTATTACTTTTACTATTTTAGTTATAATCTTAAAGTATTCCTGCTTATATATAAGGCCCTAGTACCTATTTAATAATTAGAGAGTGTTTCTTTAAAAGGCTTATTAATAGCTACTGTAGGTACAGGTTTATAGAGGTTATCTAAGTTCATAATCCAAATATGTTAAATACACCCTGCTGTTGTTACCCTCAAGGCTACTAATTAATTAGTAGCAAGTGCCAAACTGCGAATATTTATTCCTCCCACATAGACATGCACCAATGTCCTCTTCTCGCTTCGATGGTTTATAACAGCACCGCTGGTAAAACCAACAACCTGGGCAGTCATAGTAATAACAGCAGGTGCCATAAACTCTACTGGAGCCCCTGTCGCAGCGACGCGTATCCGGATCCGTGAACACCGTCTGATCAGCAAGAGATAGACTAGTAGTAAGAGAAAATACTATAAGTGAGAATCTCATTCTTTTCTAGATATTAGCTTTTACTTTAAGATAAGGTTAGTTTACTAACTATACTTACTTTATTAGATTATAATAGAAATTTATTATAATTTAAAAAATATTTTTAAGTAAGTCTATGCCTTAATTAGTATTATAAAGATAATAATTTAATTAAACTTACTTATATTTAATCGCTTAGATAGAGTATAACTTAAGATAGGCAGTAAGTTATAATAACAGATAGCTTATGTAAATCGGTTAAATTGAGCTGACTTATACTTGTCTTAGTTGTTAATAGTAGGGAAATTAAAGATCGAGCATAGCAAAACCGGCAAACCAAGACATTATATAGTAAGATATGGCACGGGCAAGACTTAGTAATAATATATTATAGGATAAACAGCACAGAAAATCGTAGTAAAATATAGCATAGCGCAAACACGGCATAGCGATACACGTCAGCAAGATATGTCATAGCGCAGATGTGGTATGGAAATCCTTAGCAAGATAAGGCATAGTGCAAATATAGCATAGAAAGTCTTAGTAAAATATAGTATAGCGCAGACACGGCATAGCAAGCCACATCAGCAGGATATAGCATAGCACAGATATGGCATGGAAATCCTTAGCAAGATAAGGCATAGTGCAAATATAGCATAGAAAGTCTTAGTAAAATATAGCATAGCGCAGACGCAGCTCAGCCAGCCACATCAGCAAGATACATCATGGTGCAGATCGGCCTTCTCTTCCTTGTGCTATAATTTGTGCTAATATCTCAAGTACCACATCCCATAAAAGGATGCAATGTAATTAGTGTGAATTGGTTATGATAAGCTGAAAAGCCTATCTTGGGCAATTGCGGAGGTGGCATGGTATGCTGCCTGAAGTGTGTTTTTGGATGTGTTATTTAGAGTTAATTTTTGCCGAGCTGAAGCTTATTGCGCACCTTACCTCAATGCAATGATGTCTGTGACCAAAGATTGGTCAATATTACCGTGTGTATGTATTCCGGCAATATCTTCAATGGTCAAACACTGGAGATGTTATGTCAATTGACCATTTTTCACACATTTAGATCTACACCAATCGGAGTGTTGGACTATCTAATAGAGGTGAGTGCTAATGTGTCCGTTTGTCTGTCATCAGATTTCTAGTGGTAATTGACCCAACTTAGAACTGCCTCGATGCCATCGCTTCATCATTATCCCAGCAATCATGTCAGCTTACTCGGTTCTTGTCAGCTGAGAAACTCTTCACCAGGCACCTAAAGTGCTGACAATGCTGCACATCTATATGCTCTGTAATTAAGTAATTATTACCGATTATAGTATGTTACTTGAAACTGTCTGTTATGTTTTTATTTTACCGATTGTTAGGGGGGTATTTTGCCGGTATGACTAAATCGCGCAAGCTTGTATCCTGGCTGTAGTGGAGGTTGAAGCTATGATCTTATTATTGACCAGGTTTTACAGGCTAAGGGCATTTGGCACAGAAATGCCCAATTATCTCTTCGAGAACAAGGGTAGAACAGAGGCTTTGAGAGCACTCATGAGGCTACGGTTGCCAATTAGAGCTTTTGTTTACCGCGACCCCGTCGGCTCTACACCATATTCAGCTGACGGCCGGATGCACAGAACAGGCTTGTGTGAATTACACCGTACTCGCTTCTTAGAGAAGGCCAGTTAGAAGAGTCGCCAGCATCTTAAACTCACTATCCAACCATTCTTAGTCACTTCTAACAAACATATTTCAACCCCTCTGCCTACGTCACAATGAAGACCGCTTTCGTCGTCACTGCCTTCATTGCGAGCGCTCTCGCCCGGTCTTTCAACCTTGCCGTCGCCAAGTCTGAGTTTAGGCAACTCAACGACCGTTTCGTTGCGGCCAAGGATGGCCACTTCGTTGTTACGAAAGACATCGCCCCTGGCGAGTTTAAGGGCGGAAATGGCGAACTCAAGCTCTCTCCCGGCAAGAAGGGTACGTTGAATGATAAGGGAGAGTCCTAAGGAACTTCGGTCCCTATCACTCTTCCTCAAAAAGAAGCCTCCAACAAGCGGTACAAGATCCTAATCGCTGACTTAGTGTACGCTGGCCCTACTGGTCACATCGGTTACTTTACAGGCTCTTCAAAGGCCCCCAAGGGCTTTGTGATTAAGGGCTGTTCCAAGACTCCAGCCGACGGCGAGGTACACTGGACTAAGGGCGCCGTCTTCGCTTGCCCCAACGTCTCCTTCAACATCGGCACTCCCACGGAGTACCAGCTCTTCGCCAACCATGAGGGTACCCCCACCGGCCAGGCCGACAATTGCTTCAACATTCACCTGAGTATCGAGGAGACCAAATAAACTGACCGCGCTCTAACACATGGGCCGCATACCTGGCACATGGACAACAACTAAGGGATTTGGAAACAAGGTTCATACTAACACTTCGAATACAACGCATAAAAACATACAGCTAGCTAGGGAACACTGAATTTAAGAGGAAAGTCTTTTATATAATTATACTTCTTAATTTAAGTATTAAAAGTATTAATTATTACTTTACTAATCTATTTATACTACTTTATTTTTAACACTACTCTTATATTTATAGTCCAAATTACCCTTTTTACTATTATTATCTTAGCAAGCCTCGGCATAGTTAGTAAGGACTATTTTATATAAGGCTAAATATATAACTTCTATTTCATTGGCTAGCAGACAGCAGAGCCTGAAGTCGCTGATATAAAATAATCACTTCCGAGTACACATCATTAATACGGCGTCTAATAAGTAACCGATCTTTAGTTAAGCCCTTAGTCTCGTCCTCTTGCGAAAGATATGCGCTTAGAAGACCGTCATCTGTTGGGTCAGACACATCAGAATAAAGCTTCTCAGTCATAACCTCTACATGCTTGACCCATATTGCAAGCCGTTGTACCACACTATCGCGTGTAGAGTCCGCTATAGTGTTATCTTGCTTATTCAAGGCAGCACGAATCTGTGCTTGTTCGAAGATATCGAACGTCAGACCACAAAGCCCGAGATGAATGTCTTCAACAAGCAATGGGTCCGGGAGAAATCTGTCGGGATGTTTAATCATCCACGACATCTTGATGTCACGACCCGAAGTCTTGCGTTGCTGACGGCGAAGGAAGACATTCATATCCCAACAGTTTCTAACAGCAAAGGTTGACGGCAGAGTGAGGTCAAGTTCGTTCGCAAGTAATCGGGGACGCTGCTTGCAAACGAAAGCTAATTGCGTGTCCACTTTGAATAGACTAGATACGAGTCTGCGCATGTTAGCTTAGCTCAAGGTAAGTGGCAAATGCTGGAAGGCTACGGCCATGGGGGACCGGCGAACCTTTTCCACTCATCTGTAAACATTTCAACCCAATGATTATAATCCCCAGGGAATTCATTCTGAAGAACACCCTGCGCATGGGATTTGTTGAGAAAGTCAGTATTCCGCAGTGTCTCGATCAGTCGACCACATAGTAAGTTGATCCTTGCCACTATTCCTTCTTGCTATCCACTTAAGTCAGCTCCAGGTGTTTCAAACACAAAGTTGAGGGTAGGCACGAACACCTAGGAATAACAGTCCAAAGATAATATTTAATAGAATCGACTGGTAAGTCTCAAGACATCTCATGGCATTTGGTACTCGTTTGTTTTTCAGAATAAAGTCCTACAGAATTTCAGCTTGTTTATGCGTTGCAGATGCCACGCTAAGAATTGGGTTGTCATACCAACAGCTGTAGATAGCGATTCACTAGTTGAATATGAATTTCGAGGATTATACTTTTTAGGTGCGCCTTCTGGAGAAGGTAGCATCCAATCACAACGACGGATGTCGCATTGTCATAACTCTTCTCATTGAAATTATAAGTGGGCGCGGTGATTATATGCCATCTGTGATGAAAATGATCGACATATGAGCTAAAACAGTCTCGAAGCCACTGGTTAAAAGCATTGGAAGAGTCTCTGTTGTGCAAGGTAGTCGACGTAGACAGTGATGAAGATAGTTCTCGAAGCATCATTTTTAGATTAGCCGCATCATCAGAGGATTCGGGTTCAGGACCAGGGTCAACATGCGAAATCGAAGGAGGTAAAGCATTTAGATAGCTGCATGACCTTGCTTTCGCCATGGAAGGTATACCACTAGGCTTATTGATGATTGTGGATATCACAATTTGAGCAGGATAACTCGTAGTGGCATTGGGTGGTGCGTGGTCATCCAGATGCGACTTTTCGTTTCTCCCAGGGCCGGCACTTCTTCGTGTCCTTGATCGAGGCGGCGAATAAATACAATCGATAGACTTTTTCTTACAGAATGTGCAGTCTATTACCCCATTACCATCACACTTGGTCTTGTTTGCATGGCAAGCGTCACAAGCCCGTGGTCTAGCTGAAGATTTGGCTTCGTGAGTGGTTAGATGGCGCTGGAGGACGTCCCTATACATGAACTGTTTAGAGGTAAACTGGGATCGTTCAATATGTAGTGTGATCTTACTTGCGCCAATAGGTTTGCCCGCAGATGTGGCACTTGTGTGGTTGTCCAGTATGAGTCGTTTGATGACGTCGAAGATGCTCTTTGCGCATGTAGGATTTGCCGCAGTCGCAGACAAAACGAGTTGTGAGAGTTGGAAAGGCCTGGATTTCCAAGTCATCTTGTAGATCACCTGGGATATAATTTACTGTAGATCGGGGCATTAGAGCGCCAAGACCATGACCAATCATAGGTCGGCAACTTATGATATGCTATGATACTCAGAGAACACATACTGGCATGATCACTAATTGTATCTCGTGACATGATGGAGAACGTTAGAGATGGGATGCACGGAGATAAGAAGATTGTTCGTTCGTAAATTGAGATAAGTGGAGTCAATCAGAGTCGGCGTGTTATGGGCGAAGGGGCTTATCAAGCTTTTCAGGTGATCGGTGTTTATATGGGCCGAAAGCTTAAACAGACCTTCCTAAAAAGGCTAGCCCGGTTAGTGCAGAGAAGGTATATACTATTTCGTAATAGCGAGTTATAGATTTATACTTGAGTATTACTTTTTCATACTGTTTTGTTGCGTATGTATGCGAAGCTATGAATTGAATTTGTTAATAATCTTGAATTATTTCATACCTTAATTAGCCGTGGGAACATAAGTAGCAAAATCAGTACGCCCTATGAGATTTTAGGCCCTTACTAAGGTCAGATGTTTTTCACTAGTTACGCTCGATAGAGCCAGATGTAGCAGATATACGTCAACTGAAACTCGTGCTGAGCCATTCATAGACTCTAGTGTAGGGGTCTAAGAACCCCACAAGCACCGGCGGTAGTAGCTAACGTGCTGAGATCCCACAGAACCCCCATGCATAAATAGGCCCGATAGGGGATCGAAGGTCCGCATTGGACGATGACTTTGAAGGAGATCTCCGAAGGAGGGTCATATATGTGGGTTGAGACAGCGCACTAACCAATTTCCATGAACAACCGACAATAGGCTCTTCTGCCCAAAAATCGGTTACAAATCCATGACAGTGGAATCGGAAGAATATGGGCGCGCTCTGTGGTATTTATACATCATGAAATTCATCTTGGTAAGGACATTCTTGTAATAGTCATCGATCACGCGTATCCTCTGAAAATATCTATTCTGAAATATTTACCTTGATGCTGATCCATGAGCACTTACACACTTACCGCTCTTACCACTATTACCCACTCTTACAACAAGGATGGCGCGTATCTTCATCACTGGCTCCGCCGACGGGTTCGGCCTCGAATCTGCTCGTCAATTAGTTCAACGCGGTCACACCGTCTACCTCCACGCCCGTAACGATGGGCGTGCCGCCCATGCCAAGGCGAGCTGTCCAGGCGCAGCAGGTATCTTCGTCGCAGACTTGACCAGCGTAGAAGAGACTAAGAGATTGGCAAGCGAAGTCAACGCCATTAGAGGCTTTGACGCCATCATTCACAACGCTGGCATGTTATATAGACCTTCCGCAAAACAGCCGATACGAGAATGCCGGCCATAGTAGCTATTAATATCCTTGCACCCTACGTTCTGACAGCCCTTAATAACCGCCCTAAACGACTTATCTTTATTGCATCTATATTGCATACCCGTGCTAATACCAGCATCAAAGATATCTTCTGGTATAAGCGAGGAGAGGCACAATTTCAGGACTTCTATGCCTATTGCGACTCTAAGCTGCATACGATTTTACTTGCAAATGCGGTAGCAAGGCGATTCAAGGACGTGTCAGTTATATCTGTGCACCCTAGATAGGTTCCTACCAAGGTTAGCGGTGCAGATGCCCTTAATAAGCTGGAGGATGGAGTTGATATATATGTTAAGTTGGCTGAGGGGAACTATGATCAAAGCTTGACTGGAGTCTACTTTGAGCCTAAGAGGCGGCTTGGTGAGCCTCTTCCTGAGTCTGGCGACGTTAATCTACAGGAGAAGATAGTGGAAGCTTGTGAGAAAGTCGTTGGGCTGAAGCTCCCTGGGTAATCACGCAAGCCTGATCATGGAGTGATGTGAAATAAATGAAACGGTAGTCTTGTGTTTGGAGATTGTGGCTAATTTTCTGGACACTATGTATACGAGTGAGGACGTTGTATTCTAATTTGCCTGTTAGCCAAGTTAGAATTACATAGCGTGAAGAAAGAAAGAGTCAATGCCTAAACTCAATAACTCATAGATAAAGACGTATTTTTATTAATAAAAGACCTATAAGCCACTACCACTAGCAACACAAGCAAGCTACTTAGTACGCTCTGAAATTAGACTTAAGCATTGCTACCCTAAAATATCGTCATATTAGAGGTCATACTGTAATTGTGTTTTCACATTACATTGCAAGTCAATTATGCATTCACAATTATCCTCCGAATTAAACCACATACATTACACACTGAACATCTTTGTGCTCTTTGCCTGTGGGGTCAAGAACCATCAGTCATAACACTTAGAAATTTAATCGCATCTGGAGGATTGGTGTGGTTTATAATCATGCTGAGCTAGAGGAAGAATAAAGGAGAGTTAGGACTACCAGCGATTTATTCCAGACAGTGGAAAAAGATTTTTATATGAATTATAAAACCTTAAAAGGGTAGTGACTTGAAGTTCTGTTTACTTGAAAATGTTTTCGTAATAATCCTCAGTGTTGCAGGTCGCATAATCTGAAAATGATACTTTCCGCGACGCCAGAAAAGAAAGGTGGGGTTTAGGAAGGAAACTCACATCGGTCAATCAGATCATGTCAGTCAAGGCACTGTGGGCCCAAAACTTCGCTTCAGCTTCTCATTTGTCTTCGGCCGTTTAGTGGGATTGGAGACTCGAGACGAGTTTGTCAGCTCAAACCAAGATATAAGAGCTCGTCTGAGACCCAGTTTGCAATTGAGAAATGAAGACAAGAAAACATTTTTCTTTTCTATTACACCATCTTCGATCTCTTCTTTTACGTTTCAGCACCATGGCTTCTCAGTACGCTAAGGACCAGATCCCAGGCTTTATCAATGCCATCAAGAACGTGGCTATTGTTGGTGTACGTATCCCTTATCAGAGACTTTTAGTGTCGTGCAGTAATGCTAACATCCTTCAAGGCCACAGGACAAATCGGAAAAGTCTTCACCGAGCACCTTCTCAATTCTGGAAAGCAAACCGTGACCGCCATCACCCGCAAGGGTAGCGACACTACCGTGCCTGATGGCGCCAAGCTAGCTTATGTTGACTATGATGACGAGAATACGCTAGTCGAAGCCATGAAAGGCCAAGATTTCCTAGTCATCACCTTGGCTCTCACTGCTCCGCCAGAGACCCATAGCAAGCTGGTCAGGGCAGCCGTCAAGGCGGGCGTGCCCTATATTGTGCCTAATGCCTACGGCGTTGACTTCTACGGCCACCCCAAGCTGGAGGAAGACATTCCAGTCCTCGGATACGTCCACGCCAGCGTCAAAGAAATTGAGGAGGTTGGTGCCAAGTGGTTCGCTATCACGCCCAGCTTCTGGTATGAGTATAGCTTGGGCGTTGGACCTTTTACATACGGATTTGATTTCCCTAATGACACTGTCACTCTTTACGACGAGGGAAAGACTAAAGTTAACACGACCACTTGGCTGCAGACTGGCCGTGCATTGGCCGCCTTGGTCAATCTTAAAAAGCTTCCACAAGATGAAAACGACAAGTCCACAACCCTAGCACAATTCGCCAACAAACCCGTCTACATCTCTAGCTTCACTCTTAATCAGCGAGAGTTGCTCGACAGCGTCAATAAGCTGCTGGGTAAGACAGACAAGGACTGGAATATCACCTATCAGCCTACCGAAGAGCGTTTCAGAGAGGGACTAGAGGAACTTGGCAAGGGAGATGGAAGAGGTTTCTTGAAAGCTTTGTATGCTCGCGCGTTCTATCCTACCGGTGAGGGTGTTTATGAAACCCACAATAGCCTTCTTGGGCTGCCTCAGGAGGACCTGGCTGAAGCTACGCTGGCGGCGCATCATTGGGCTATTGCACAGGCGAAGAAGGCCGGGAAATAAGGTAACCAAGGTCAGATTCCGCATAACTTGCTAACAGTTCCGGATTGTCTATCTGCGATGTGCATTAGTAAACCTTAAGTACTACCCAATTATACTGCACGACTCTCTTCTTGATCTCTTTAGTTGTGGACCTCAGGGCTCGTACTGGTTAGCGGTGCTGAGACAGCTCCCCGACCGGCAGCTCGGCCCTCCGGTTAGCGGGTCTCGTCTTCACCAGTATTCAACAACAACTCTCTTCTGTAAAAACTTGTTCTTGGCACCTATTGTTAGCGTGCTGCTAGAGTAGAAAGTTTTTGCAGCTTAAATTGACAGCAAAGACAGCTGTAGGCTAACGGGGTCTAAATACCTGCCTGAAGAAAGGGATTCAGAGAGTTGATTATTCTTTTTAATACTTATCTCTAATAATATTAAGTTTCGAAAGCTATTAATATTGCACCTAGGCGCTATTTCCTATATATTCCAGGCTCTGCATTCTCAACTTCCTATATAACTAACCTCTGTATTTATATACTGCCTAGAGAATATCTTCTCCTTTATAGCCTTAGCTATTATGTAAAATATAACTAGGCCTTAATAATTTATCTTACTGCCTAAAACTATTAAGTATAACTACTAAATTAAAATAATATAAAGCTTACTTAAAGATTATAAATTAAATTAATTATCTTATTTATAAAGTAATATTTTAGCTGCCTTAAGTTCTATTCTTATAAGGGTTTTCCCTAAAGAAGTATAATTTTAAATTATAGTTATTGGTAATATGAAAGGATAAAGGCTTTCTATTTTAGGGTATAAAAAACTACTTAATCTATTTATATAGAAGAATTCTAAGCTAAAAAGAGATATATTCTTATTAATAGGACACTCTCTTAAAGTGATACGCCCTAGTGCCGATAATATACTGAATGAACTCTATAGAATAGCAGTTGCATGAAACTTTACCTGAATTACCTCTATCCCGCTGTTCTCTGAACTACTGGCATTCCGAAGGCTGTGAAGGAATCCTGCCTAACTGTTTAGTGCTTGGTTATTATATCCTCCTTTGCCGCCATCTTACATCCACAACTCGCGGCCACGGATGCAGCAAAGATATATTCAGAAGCAGACTGGAGTCCCCTAACTCTACAGAATGCTTATGCATATGGGGTAAACGCTTACTTCGTATCCAAGATCATGGCCGAAAGAACAGCTTGGGACTTCGTGGCCACCCAAAAGCCAAGATTGTCGCTGAATACTATCAACCCCCCTCATGATTTACGTCCCTGTACGATATCACGTCCTGTCATTGAGATCCGTGAACACTTCAAATTGATTGCTTACTGAGATGAGTTCAGACAATCATAAGGAGCAGGGCTTGCTGCCAACAGCCCTACCAGTCTGGGTTAACATTCGTGACATCGCTTTAGCGTACGGTAAAGCCATAGGAGTCGAGAAAGCAGCCGCCAAACTCTATTTCGTAACTGCAGGAACCTACAGTAATCGTCAATTAGTGGAAATCATTTGGAGTGATCTCCTCCGACTACGAGATGAATTGCCAGACGCTAATCATTGGGGAGGAGCTCCGAATCCTCGCCTCGAGTCTTTTGGCCATGATACAAGCTGAAACTATTTTGAGAATGAAGTTGGGTTCATACGGGAAGATCGTGGTAGATTCAGTGTGGTGTTTGATCGGTAAGGAATAAACAATGGGCAGGGGTTCCGTAGTGCTGCTCGAATATTCCATGCTAGACATATCCTCATACGACTTTTCTCCTCTAGCCTATCAGTACAAGAAAATCACTACCCACGCGCTATGCCGCTAGAGCATAACCACCTATCGTGGCATAAACCATCCAGTAATCCAAGTCGGGTGTATTCCCGATTATTTCCATCACTTCCTGTGCCGCTTTCATGCCTCCAGTTTCCGACATATACCTTAGAGCCTGTATGATCCAATCTCGAATATTAGATTGGGCTGATTGCTGGTAGGCAATGTGAAGAGGCGCAAGTAAAGTATAACACTGTAGACTTTGCAATGGCGTGAAGGGTACACTATTCTCCAATCGCGCAGTAGAGAGAATGTATTGAGGCACTGAGGCACATATTTCTTGTATAATGTCCCGTGTGCGGCATAGGACGTTATTGGAAGATGTTTCGCCAAGTATGTGCTTTAATATAATATTATTCACCATCAAACGCATCACGTGGATACCATTGGTGACCTGAGTAATATAGTGACTCTCATGTACGTTATAGTGGGAGCCGGGAATGAGTGGACTGAGAAGGAAGGTTTTCCTGCTCTTCCAGAACGGTGGTAGCGTCGTATAAAGATTCTGCAAGAGCTTGTCCAGGTACCATGCTCTCTCCGCTAAATCGATCATGGAATCTCCGATAACATGATGACGTATATCAACTTGGAGATTCACTACCTGTCTTAGAATTCCCGTGAACCTCCATTTGATATCAGTAAGAAACGGATCCAAGAGCCCACGGAGCTGCACGATCGATTCGGGTACTGATACGACAGTAGTACCACAGCTGACCGTTATAGCCGATATTAAGCGTGCACTGAGCCGACATCCCATAGGGCTCGAGATGAGTTGGCCCGAATGCGAGAGAAGCAGTGATAACCCTCCTTCAGCATGACTCATCCAAGAGCTCGATGCTTGAGGGTTACGGTTAGTTACCTTCTCGTACATATCCAGAAGAATAATAGACAGAAGAAGGCTTTCCACATTAGAGGTCGGCGATACGTCAGAGGCCGGCAATGCGTTGAGAGCACCTCGAACCCTCCGTATCGCAACTAAGTAACTCGAACGTGATAAAAACATCACGTTTGGATCATGAGATTGATTTGCCAGAAAACTCAAGCTTACTGCTTCGACGCTTGCTGACAAGTGGTCAAAGCTAGATGCCTGCTGATACAAAGGTACAATAGTCTCTAAAATTGTGGAAAACTTCGAGACGTAGAGTGAGAAGAAGATGTATTCGGCGCGGGTATTCAAACCGAGTTCCATCGACATTGGTCGATTGGTTGCTTGCATGCATGCTTGTCTTAGTGTCGCTTTTTGTCCGGTTGCGCGAGTCTCGTCGCGGAATACGAGATCTTGAGCGTTGCGATAACCGTGGCATCTGAGTCTCGCTCTTCGGCATTGCCCGCATCCGGAAGGGACAAGGTCGCACTGGATGGTGGATATGTCAGTTAATGAAGAACGCTAGGTAGGTCATGGAGAATGGAAAAGTACCCGAAGTTTCCTCACGCGACAAGGAAGACAATCCTGGGAGGGTCTGCCCCGATTTACCATTGGGTTTGGCCTTAAACACGTCGGTACGGGCAATGGTGATTGTGCACAAAATGCTGCGAAAAGAAAATGGAGTACTAAGAAGTGAGATTGTTATTAGTAGTTCATGTCATAGAAAGTGGAGTATAAGGACGATGCCACATGTGAGCCTAATCTTATTGTAGCTAGCCTTCCGGTATTTGAACTTTAATTTCCAACCTTTCTTAAACTAGTCGTGTAATATAGGCACAGATACGGACATAACGGAATTATGTACATCAAGGATAGGTTTCAAGGATCAACACTCCGCGGGGGTTAACCTAGTTATAAATCCGCATCACAATAACTTTATTATTAATTAACGGGGGGAACTTACGCAGCAGTTAGTTATCGTTTCCACTTTCGTCTAGTCCTGGTTCTCAACCAGATTTTACATCATAGTTCGGTTAACTGCATGCATGCCGTAGCCCCGTCAGCTGAGACACTGATCGACTCTTCGTTCGGTATAGTACAGTTTACCACCCTTTTGCTTCAAGATTACGTCCATGATTTGGAACTAATGTCCGAAGCGTAAACGCCGAGGGAAATCTTTGCATAATTGTCCTGTCCACCCATTGTCTAGTCGTAGTATTTTCAGAACTTCATATCCCTAGAGCACACCACTCGCAATTGTCAGTATCAATCGTCGCTATTTTAACAACCACAGAAAAGAGTCCGCGTCGCCAAAATGAGAGCCCTCGTGTTGAATACCAATGATAAGTCTATGTCTATTCAGAATATACCTGATCCAAAGCCGGGACCGAAACAGATTCTTGTTCGTGTACGTGCTGTGGCACTGAACCACGTCGACTATATGAATGCAGTCAATCCTATTGCTGCCCAAGAAGAGCGTGTGGTAGGATCTGATTTTGCAGGGGAGGTAGCTCAGGTCGGAAAAGATCTGGCTAATCTGGGTGACCCGCGAACCAAGATTGGAGCGCGCGTATCAGGATTCTTGCAGGGAGGTAAGTTATAGTAACAACTCCGTCTAGAAAATGGAAATACTTGCCCACCAAGGACAACCGGGCTAACATGATCTTATATCATAACAGCGAACTCAGTTAATGACCGCACCGGTGCTTTTGCAGAGCTCCTTACAGTTGAGTATGACCTTACCTGGAACATACCTGACAGCATCTCCTTCGAAAATGCCGCTGGCGTAAGCTTATGCGGTGTCACTGCTGCTCAGGGTGTTTTTCAGCGTTTGCAACTACCAAGCCCATTCTGGGAGGGAGACGGTTTTCGTCCGTTCCAGCTTCACGAAGAAGAACAGGTAAATGTGTTCATCTATGGTGCAACATCATCTGTCGGCTTGTATGCGGCGCAGCTTGTTAGACTCTCCGAGAAGATATCTGGCAAGAAGATTCGACTTATTGGTGCAGCAAGGCCATCGCAACATGCACGTCTGTACGATGCACCTTACTCGTATGACCTCTTGGTTGATTATCGGGATTCTCATTGGCCGGAAATGGTTCGCAAGGCAGCTGGAAACGAGGGTGTACAATATGCCATAGACGCTATCTCCCAGGGCTCAACAGTAGAGCAAACTGACAGCGTCATCAGGCCCGGTGGCAAGTTTGCCATTTTTCGGGCTCCCACCGCCGGCGGCTTTGACATCACCAAGCTCAAGACGAAGCCTATCTTTGGGGCAGTTTGGGAAGCTCTTGGCGTAGAAGTCGGATATCATGGTACGTATCACGGAGACTCGTTAAAACTCTGGTTGCTCCGAACGCTGACGTTGGCAATACTCTAGGTGTAAACATTCCTGCTAACGCGGAGGCACGAGCCTTCGCTGCTGCGTTTTACCAATATCTTGGCTCAGGAGTTGAGACCCAGCAAATCCAATTGCATCCGAATCCTGTTCGTGTAATGCCGGGTGGCCTTGAACAAATCCCTAAGGATGGATTTGCTCTTCTCAGTGGGAGTTTCAAACCACAAAGACAAGGCCTAGATGAAAGAGTTAGTGATCTTAGGCCTATCACAGGAGAAAAGATTGTCTACGTGGTTGCTTGAATGGACACGCCTCTTCTTTACTTCTGAATACCTATATGCTAAGAAAGTAAAAGAAAGTGTTTATATTAAGGCAGCTTAGCTCGGTTTTGGGACAATATAGCCTATGGTAGCTTTCAAGCATGATTAGGGCCTTAGTCTATAAAAGTTGCAGTCCTCACTGGGTTCTCAATAGGGAACTCAAGTCATATTCAAACTTGTTGTTCCCCCTGTAGTCTTAATTCTTGTTGAACCGCCGGTGAAGGGCCGATTGATATTTCAGGAGAGGGGCGGAGGTGGATGGCAACTCATGGGACTCAAACACCTTGATAGACTAGGGGCAACCTTTCCTGGGCTCGTCCTCACGGGGATAGCGGAGTTTAATACACCTTTCAGTTAGTAAGAGGCGACTAGATCACCATATGGATAATGGCATCAAGGGTGCCAAAATCCAACAACTTCCAGTGGGACCGCGCTAGCAGCGGGGATGGAGACAGGCAGGCAGCCTTTTCGTAAGTCAGTAACGGCCCATCATGCAATGGTGGGATGGTGGATTTGATCGCGCCATGTTCTCGTCTGGCCAGTGCCTCATACCATAGTCCCTACCGAGACCTCCATGTGTCGTCATTGGCTGGTCAAAAAGGACCTCAAGCACTCGTGATGAACTTATACAGTACTACGACTGAACGCCGAATCAGAAAACGTATCTAGATGATATGAGTTTGCGTTTCATTGAGGCTCTACCAGGAGTTCTTTACCTCACCTTTAGTACCAGCTTAGTGTTTATTTATCATCAGTACAGGCATATAGATATGGGCCTTTTTGAAGCAGCTAATCGAGTCTTCTAGAACTGCTCAATAGTCATCTCCTCTTAGTCGACTTCATCTGTCCTGCAGCAGCATTTCAATTAACTGGTCTTGCATTATTGAAAAACTGTTGAAACCCCGCGTCCAGTGTGCATGCGTCTTACATCGCCTTGGGTGGCATCGAGGAAGCTACAGAATTTCAGCCCGGAACGCTAGCTTAGACTGGTTAGTGTCTGTCCGGAACGCTAGCCTAGTCGGGCTAGCACCAACAAACTGTAAGGAGACGGATCTTGGCTTAGACGCCACGATTTGTAATAGAGTTAAACGCGTAAGCGGTAACAACGTCATGATGAGCCCTGGTAAACACAGTCCAAGTCACCCGTCCTTCTCAATATCGGAGTCATAATCAAACTACCTGTAGTGATACCCTGTGGATGGCCTCTACTAAAGGTTTCTTTAATGTCCCACTTAATTTCCTGTTCCAAATGTCATGACAGCACCTCTTAGCTTGCAACGCTGAAGGCGACGCTGTGTTGAAACACTAAATGTGATGCGGTGCAGACCTCCATATCTGTGCAAATAGAAGGTCTGGATGAAGAAGATGCAACTAAATGACAAACGAGGTGGGGCAATTCTATAGGGTATATCTGGCTTATTGCTTGCAAAATGCAACTGTGTGCTTCGTCGGTCATCCCCTGAAAGTGACTGTGCATACACGTAGACTTCTCTCTAGTGTATCTTTCAGGAAGGATGCGAAGTCCTTCTGGCCATCTTGTAGTAAAAAGAAGATCTTAGCTCGGATATTATTTCTAAATAGCTTGAGAACACAGCCAAAGTACCAAGTACACATGATTGTAATAGTTGCATGTCTAACTTGGTATATGTTTAAAACGGCAAGACTACTACCACGGTAGGACTCCCCCATCAACATGTACCAAGCCATTGTTTTCAATATCGATGTCCCTCTTCCCGTTAACAATCTCAACCAGCGCCACAGCTGGCTCCTTTGGGTCCCTAGCCCCTCCCTTAATCCGCCACTCGCGGCCCTGCTCACCTGTCAAGTTCGATAGACACCAGCCTGGGTTAAAAGCTACCACTTTGATGCCGGCATCTGCATAGTTATAACGCTGGCATGCCGCCACCATGTTCAGGGCTGCCTTGCTAGTACGATAAGCATCGCCTTGAATTCGATGGAATTGGTGGTCTGGATTAAGCCGCAATGAGATGGAGCCTTGCTCAGAGGAAACATATATGACCAAGGGCTTGCTCGATTTCTTTAGCAACGGTTCCAATGTTTCAGTAACCCTCATTGAACCGATGACGTTGGTTTCAAAGGATTGTCGGAATGCCGTAACCCTATCAACATCTTGGTAGACGACAATACCCGCATTGTTGATCAAAATATCGAGCTTCCCGTATCGTGCTTCGATGGAGCCCTTGGCAGCATCAACGGATTCTTGATCGGTAATCTCAATAGGAAGTACTGAGATAGAGGCCTTGAGTAAACTGCCCGCGGCGGAGTTAATATCCCCTAAAGCCTTGTCACCCTTTTCGATAGTTCGAGCACCAAGAAGAATATGGAAGTCGGTGGACTCCTTCGACAACTCGAGCACAGTCTCGTAGCCAATTCCACTACTCGCGCCTAGAAAATAGGTTAAACTTGGCGATTGAGACTCAGATGGGGATCCTATACCGGTGACAAAGATAATAGCCTTATTTGAAGCCATGTTTGGAAGTTGGATTATTTTATAGATGGAGCTTTAGTAGCAAGCTCTTCTTATAAACACGAGTGACATCTAACGAATGGAAAATGTAAAAAAGGCAGGCATATCATAAAGGATTTGTGAACGGGCATGCTGCTTATAAATTTAATTGCAAGGTAACACACAGATGACGTCTACACATTCTAGCAAAGAGATCCTAAGCCCGCCCAGCAGATCAAACCTCTTTACGTATGGCCGGGGAAAGGCCGTGATACCTTGCACAGGTCTATAAAATTATTCTTACATCAGAGGTGTGGTTGACTAGACATGCGGGTCGTGGACAGCAGCAAAGTCCGCCCTCAGTTTTGCATTGACATTGCTGGGTGCCACTGGTGCCACGTGGGAAGCACAGCGATACTAAAGCTCGAAATCGGTCGAGTCTCGCAGCGGCAGAACCTGTATTATTCAGCCAAAGTCAAATTACCGAGTTGGACTGACTGACTCGGAGATAGCAAATCATGGCCACAAATCATCAAGCGGCGTAATCTTCAAAATAAGTGACTTTTCCTGGGAGACTTGCAGGTCGAAGCAGCGCCGTGGGGGTTGGCACAGACATTGGGGGAAGAGGCGTTTGCGGTTGCGACAAGAGCGCTCAGGTGGAAAAGTGTGTCGGCCCTCATCTTGACAGATCCCCGCTTCCGTAAGGGAGTGGTATGTGGTGGTACTGTAACCTACAAACGATATGGGATCAATCTTGGCAGCTTATATACTAACGCACCTCAGTACCAACATGTGCCTGAACGCTTCAATGTCTACCATCATTTCTTTCGTTGGGCTATTTTCGCTCTTGATCTCGCTCTCGCTCTCGCCATGTTGCCGTTGTTATTGCCATGGTCGGTTAACTGGCAGGTATAAGATCTTCAATGAACAAATGAAGTTTAGTAAGCCCTAGAGCAAATGCCTTAGGGCCTGCACGCGAGGCTATATCTGTACTCCCACAGTGTTTTATAGTAAAATTTGATATTTTTAGAATTAGGATTATTTAAGCTAGTAGTATTATTATAATAGCTAGTAAACTACTTCTTATAGGTATAATACTCTTAGTAGTCCTAAAATAAGGTAATATTAATATAAATATTAAAGCTATAAGTTATTAGAAAGTTAATTTTAGGTACTAGCTAGCTAATTATTACTTACTTTAACTTAATACTATTATTTTATTAGACTCTACTTTAACTCTTCAAATTAATATATAAGGCATAGATATAGAGAATACCCTAGTTAATCTTAAATATACTAAAGTTAGTAGTATTATAAGTCTTACTATTACTTAGGGGTAGTATTAGTAATGCGCAGATTATAATAATAAGTTAAAATATAGAGCCTTTAAACCCTTATAGTATAATAAAAAGAGAGTAGTAGAATGAGTAGGGGAGGTTTTGGTGCGCTAAAGTGGTAAAGGCAAAATTTACAATTTAATTAATTTACTAAAAGAGACCTAAAACCGAGGGCATAGTTAAGACTTATCATGCCCCTTAGGCATCCTAGTATAACTACTTATACTAAACTCCTATTATTTATATAGGTTTACTTATTATACTTATAGTTAGTTTGTATAATTATCTTTAAGTATAGTAATAGTAAGATTTAAAGTATTTCTACTAGTATTTAAAATAGCTTACTTATAGTTACCTAAGCCAGAAATAATATAATAGCTACAATCTCCGGGAGCTGCGATGGTATTAGCAGTAAGAGAGAGGGCAGTAAAAGCACTAGTAAAATATATAGCAAACTAGTAATTAAAGCCAATAATATAAAACAAATAAATATAAATATTATATAAAGGTAGTAGGCGCTTTATATTAGAATCTGTAATAATTAGTAATAAGAGAATTTAATAATAGCAAGTAATATCTTATATAGTAAGTCGGTAAGTTAGTTAATTGCAAGATAGGGGAAATTGCAAAGACATCTATGTGGCTTCTATGCATCGCTTGCCATGGGTAAGCATCCTCCGAACTTAATATAGGTCTCAGGAGGGTCTAGTAGCCCGCCTCGTCTACCCGAAATATGCTTCTGTCCGGGGATCTTAATGGGGTGAGAGCGATTGCTTCTAAGAGCACAACGGAGACGGATCCGTAGCAACGGAATCCAGTTGCGCCAAAGCGGACTCCTGGCCTATTTACTCGGAAGTGAGGTCATGATACGACTAGGGATAACATCCCCTCACCGGAGTCATGCTGGTTTGATGATTGATAAAAAAAGCCGCATCATGGTCTCAGGTGCATCCGTGTGTGGCTTTACGACCATCGCTCTCTAAATGATGGGTTGGAAAAGGAGGGATCTAGATTATATTATTTTCCGCCCGTGCTCTCCACAAGGTGCGCACTTATACAGAGGCAGGACTGGGCTCTGCAACAGTTATCTTGCTGAGCTACAGGGCCTTAACAGGGAATCCTATACCTTTGACTGCACTAGCTTAGTTCGATCCAAGGACCTGAAACGGCATTTTATTCCAAACTCGCCATTGCATAGAGGATGAACTTAAAGACATTCTCGGTCCGGATGTACTGCATCTGTGACTAATTTTAATGGGCTGATTATAGACAATTATAACATTATATTAGATATCAGCTGTTATTCCCTTGTCTTACCTGCACTTTATATAAAATTAAGAGCTTTTAATTATAGAATATATTTACTACTTTAATTAATATTAACTAGGGGATGTATTATATATGAAATATATAAAACTAAGTAAGTAATTATTAGATAATAATTAAACTAAGTTATATAAGGGCCAGAGTAGTATTAAATATAAATATTTATATTAAATAAATAAGCAAATAGAATATATATAAATATACTTAAAAATACTCCCTTAATGCCCTTAAATTATCCTTATTGCTATTTTATAATAGTAAGGAGGTTAACTTTAAATAAAGTATTGTTTTTTACCTACTTAAGTGTTTAAGTTAAGAGCGGGGCTAGTTCTAAGACTCTAGATTAATACTAGCTTTAAGGAGTTTATATTAATCTTATAGGTTAAAATAGTATATATTCTTAGACTATTTAGATTTATTAAATACTTTAATATCTATTAAGTTTCTTATAAGTAAGTACTTATAGGCCTATTTCTATTAATAGATAATAGTAATTATAAAGTTTTACACCTTCTTAGCTTTATAATAGATTCTCTTACTTTAGATATCTTATATACCCTTCTATTATTGTGATGGTTATGGCAAGCATTCCAGGGTAAGAGGTCTAAGCTCGTTAGTGGGGTCAGATGGATGTCTGTGGTGATAGACATAAAGGGACGGATTCCCCTGAGGACTTTAGCTGAACATGCTTTTCTCGTATATAATTTTACATTCTTTTCCTTTATATCTAATATCATTGAACTAATCATTTAATTCTCTATCTTATGATAAAGACCTTATCTTAATTAAACCTAACTGGCAGTCTATACTTAGCTTATAGTTAAGAAGTATTAGAAGATATTGTCTTATATAGTCCTTTCTTTGTTATTGCTCTTTACTTTTAAATTATATAAACTAGGCCTAATTATCTTAGGCTTAGTAAGAGTTAATAGAAGTATTACTTTAGATATAAAGTTATATAATATAGTTATACTTAAGGTTTTAAGTTTTATATATTATAAAGGTAATATAAATAAATAAGTAAATTAAATAAATAAGTAAATTAAATAAATAAGTAAATTAAATAAATAAGTAAATTAAATAAATAAGTAAATTAAATAAATAAGTAAATTAAATAAATAAGTAAATTAAATAAATAAGTAAATTAAATATCTTGTTTCTTTTTCCCTTACCTTTAGCTTTATATAAGGCTATTAAGCTTTTTAGCTTTTTTATTAATAGTTTAAATAGTAAAACCCCTATAGCAGGCTATTATTATAGAAGTCAGAATTAGATAAGGTTTATCTGCCTTAATTATGCAATTACTACCTTAACTAAGTAGTATAAATACTAGCTCTTAGTAACTAGATTAACCTTTTTCCTTTAACCTACCTAAAGGACTATACCTTAATTAACCTTTATAATATACTATACCTAATTTATCTATTACACTTTTAAAGTATATTATCTAACTTAACTTTTCCTATACCTTCTAACCCTTCTTATTAATAATATAATAGCTATACTACCTTAATACCTATTATATAAAATAGCCTATAGCTATATAATTATACTTATTATATAACTAGTTATAATTTTAATTTAGCTATTAAGCCTACTTTAGAGGAAATTAATAAAAAAGAACTTTATATAATATATATAATAGTTATTACTATTATAAAGAACCTCTTATTAAAGGGCAAATTTAACCTTATTAAAAAAATTATTTTTAATTATAGCTTAATTTAGTTAATTATTTATATAAAAGAGAGATATTATATTAATTAAATTAAATTAAATTAAATTAATAATAAGCTATTAAATCTTAAAAACTTAGAAATAGCCTTAAAGGAAGGTTATTTTCTATAGTTAAATAACACAGCTTTCCATACTGCCTTTATAAGCTTAGCTATATATAAAGAATAGCTTATTAGCATATCTATAAAGGCAGCTAATATTGCCAAAGAGCTACTCTTAAATTAATAAGGATAAAAATAAGGTAAAGGCAGAGTTTTATAAAGGAATTATATTATGTTTAATATAAGTTAGGTTGTAAAAGTTAAACTAACCTTAATTAATTAAATATATATAGTAAGGCATATAACTAACTAACTTTATATATAAAAATAAATAAAGTAGAATTAGTAAAAAAGCATTAATATAAACTAGGGAATTAAGGTTATATAACTTATATTTTATATAAATAATATATATATTAAATTTTACCTTATAGTTTTATAATTTATAAAATACTAGTTAAAATTTAATATTAAATAAAACTTATTTTTCTTATAAAAGCTTATATTTACTTAAATAAAATAAAAAGTATAGTATTAAATTCACTAAACTTTAATAAATTTAATAATACTCTTTATATTATTATCTAAGCTATGTCTCTTAAGGAATTACTTTACCTCTCTTTAGGAATATTTATATATATTCTCTTTTATTCTTACTAAGGCACCTACTTTTCTAATATTAGTACTTCTACTTTAATACTTATATAATATATATTATTAATTAGAAATAACCACTTTATTTAATAGACCTATCCTTATCTTATAATTCATACCCTATGCTAACTTATTTAATAACTATAACATTTTATTTACTTCTTTATTCCTCCTCCTTACCTCCTATTAGACTTATATATCCTATAACATATATTCAATTTATTCGTAATTTTATTTAAGCCTTAACACCTAATTTATACCTATATTACTCCAGGTTGAAAAGTGTAGTTGCCATAGTTGATTGGAACTAATTATCGGTTTTTGGACTAAGACTGAACGCGAGGCGTTTTGCTTAACCATTTAGTCGGCCTGCATGAGTCCGTGGACTTGAAGCCTTAAGTCCTATGCTCCGCGGAGCATCTCGCAGGAGACCCGCCGTAAGACGCTTATTTGGGATCCGATTCTTGGTTGACCGCCACAAGGTATTTGAAAGTCCGCATGCTTAATTGACTTTCCGCATAATGCGGGCTTTGCGGTCCCACTAACGCTTACCCAAGCTAGAGGCTGCTAAGCTAAGGCTTATTGGGGTATGATTGTTAAATCAGTATTTAATGAGTGACCTTTTAACTCTTGAAAATTGCCGATTGTTCCTCTATTTTGACTCGATTCTCCTTTTTGATTGTAGCCCAACCGATATCTCAGACAATCCATTCTCTTCTTCATCAATTGTAAATTCCAACCGACGAAAGAAATGAAGGAAGCGCTCATCACACCCAATATCCAAGTTGAAATCCGCGAGGTGTCGGTCCCTGCTCCCAAGGCAGGGGAGGTCCTTGTCAAGGTCGCTGTGGCTGGTGCGTTGCCTACAGAGCGTACACACTCCCTTCTAACTAGATGCAGGTACAAACCCCAAAGATTGGAAAGTGCCTGCTATCTACACCAAACAGGCTGTGAACTCAGGCGATGACTTCGCGGGTGTTGTCGAGGCAGTGGGCGGCGGCGTGTCCGAATTCAAGCCAGGGGACCGCGTGGCAGCTCTGCACCAGATCGGAACAGCTGGTGGCTCTTTCGCCGAATATGCGATTGCTCCAAGTTCAACTACTTTCCATATCCCGGACGATATTAGCTTCGCCGAGGTAAATCTACAATACCAACAGAAACTTACCATTTCCATGTCTAATGCCCCTATCTAGGCCGCAACAATCCCAATGGCCGGCCTTGTAGCATCCTTTGGTTTATACCACGTCCTTGGACTTCCAGCACCGTGGTCACCTGCAAGAGCTCAGAGCAACCCCCTTGTCATTCATGGCGCCGGCGGGGCTATCGGCGCTATGGCGATTAAGCTTGCCAAGGCGTCTAACATCCACCCCATTATTGCAACCGCAGGTAATTCGAGCGACCTGATTAGTAAGCTTCTCAATTTCGAGCAAGGCGATACCCTCGTTGACTATCGGCAATCACCTGAGAAGTTGGTGGCTGACATCCAGTCTGCCATTGCTAAGTCTGGCAAGGGACCAGCATGGTATGGACTTGATGCCGCTACCAACCAAGACGGTGCTTCTGAGTATACTGGAATCCTTAAAGAGGCCCTAGGAACACAGCCTGAACTGGATGGGAGGAAACCGTTCGTTGCTACCGTTCAAGGTGGAGCCAAGGTCACCGGACCCGTGGATGGCGATTACATTAATGTAATGGTGGCACATACTGGCAGCAAGGAACAGCAGTGTTTTGGGAATACTCTCAGCCGCTTGTTCACGTATGGCTTAGCTAATGGCTGGTTGACGGCGCATCCCATCGAGATTGTAGAGGGAGGCTTACAGGGACTCGGAGATGCTCTCACGAGGCTTAAGGACGGAAAGGTGTTTGGCAAGAAGTTGGTTGTTGAAGTGGGAAGGCAGTAAAGAGAAATGAGGTAAAAATTTCTTTTTCTCTATTGTATAGACACACGCCTTGCCCTTAAAATCTAAAGTAATTGCGGCTATACCGATCCATTAGTCCCCTACTAAGCTTTAGAAGGTAGCGACTCCCCTAATCCGCTACGGCTATGTTGCACATAAACTAAGACAGCCTCGGACAGAGTCTTGTGCGGCTAGCCTAAGTTATAGCCAAGTCTAATGTTAACCAAGAGGATCATGTGCTGACCGTTGGGGTTCTACAAAGCATACACACCTGAGGGCTGTGTCGGGGCTTTGCAATGCCTCCCACTGCAAATTCTCCAAACAAGTTGTTACTATGATATATTAGAAATCTCGATTATGTCAATATCATCCGTGCCTTTTGATTTGTGCAAATTTCCTTCTCTCGTCTGAGAATAGTGCATCTACAAGATTTATTTCACCAACTCATCACTCCCTTGGCCCGGTCAAACCCTCCTCTTAACTGGTGCTCTGGCTTCACCACCTTCCCTTTCATGACTGTGTACCTGATCAAGTTCTCGCAGTCTTCTGGTCGCACACGTGCTAGCCAGATGCACTGCGAGGCACCAAGATCGCTTCCGTCCCTAGTCTCATGTTCTTGACCCTCGCCATTGCTCTTTGGAACCGAAATGTCGTCTTGACCAAAGGCATTCGGTCGACGGTATATTATCACATTGGCAGAATATTTATGGCCGCCGACGTGGCTGATAAAGTAGATACCTACACCTCCGGGCCGTTCATCATGTAGGTCACGGTACAGGCCAAGTGGTCGTAGGTGGCGTTCGAATTCCTTACGCAGTAAGGGCGCACTCTGGCCGCAACGTGCATCCCTCGATTTGTGACTACACAATAATATAATGGCGTTGTGCGGGCATGCCTTGGTGGTGATGACTGGGATGTTTGGATCGGGGCTAGATACTGTCCTTGGTAGAACAGAAGGTTCCAAAGGGGATGAGGTTGTGGGCGCCATATCGACAAGGTTGATAAGCTGCGGGACGTTCTTTGCTGTGATGTTATAGATGGAAACGAAGGCTGGTAGAAGGAGCCCGCAAGTAGGTTTCGAATAATCAGGACTGCCGTCAGGTGTAGGAATATTCGAAGCAGAAAGCATCAACCTCTATTGAAATCTCTTAGCTCTATTCAGCATGTGTGGGCGATGTCCAGTGGCCACCGCACGCGCATCAGTGGCGAATGGTGAGAAGGAAAGCGACCAGCTTAAATGGTTTCAAGACTTACGTCGTTCTCTGGCCCATGAGCCTTATCCAATGCCTCCATGATGCTTCCCTTTTCGTTGGCGACATTCCTCACCCAGTCAGATTTGGCCGTTGCTACCAACAGGTGACTGCTCCAACCTTTAATATTTCCGTACAGCACGTGGCTCTGCTCAACCTTGAACCTCTTAGGGTACTCCACGATGCAACTGTCGCAGTCGTGTAGGCAGTCATCACCATCGACCGTGGGATCTGTCTTGTCAAACAGTTCGGTCAGGCTAGCCCCAGAAGTTCTTCCAAGCACGTTCAATACAAGGGATTTAAAAGAAAGCATGGCTTCCTTTCTAAGGGAATGGTTGAAGAACTAGATTGTAGAAATGGAGGCAAGGGGGTCAACAGAAAACCTGGGCAAAGAAGATATAAGTGTTGGGTGGTAGCGTACAGCTTTTATCTCTGTGGCTCAGCACAAATTAGTTGTTGTCCTCTAAGTACTAAGGCGGGTCCTGTTACTAGTCTAGAAAGCACCTTATGTTTTCGGAAAACATGACAGCAAGGGCGTCTCTCAACTTCGTGTGTGTAGAAGTGATGGCCTGACCTCCTGCTAGATGACGCAGCAGGTATGACTATCGTAACCTCAGCACAGTAAAACGAAATGAAGTAGTCGGGACGTAACTACATTTAGTTGCACGACTCCATGGAGAGCCGTTGGAAAGCTACCTTGTCACGTCCTACTGTGGAGTTGTAGTCTAGTGAGCCCATGAGGTTCGGGATGGAGCTACGGAGTGCGGTAGTCAGCAACTCAAGCAAGTCGAATGCAAAGGTACGTGAACAAACCCTGTCGAACTATTTTTGTGCAGTTGGAGGTGGACCTGATCTTATGGGAGTCGAGTCAATGCGTTCAGGCATCAGCCGCAGTCCAAATCACAAGTAGGAAGCTGTCGCTAATCTCGCCTGATTCGTGGTATCCGCCTGATCCGCACCCGGTTCCGCGGAGTACTGCCCGTTAACTCCGCCCCTAAAGTCCACGAGACTCCAGACCGTGTGCATTCAATCCGCGGATCACAACCTCTCTCTTCCCCATTGCTACTCTTCGTCATAAATCACACCAAGGCAAGGTACCATGCACCGCCGCTCACGCCATCACACGCGATATCGCCCACGAGTTATGTCATGCCAGCTCTGTAGAGCGCGCAAGTTACGCTGCAACCGCCAGTTCCCATGTTCCAATTGCACTGCCCGTGGAGTGGAGTGTCAAGCGGCTTCAGTCCAACAACCGGCTGGGCGACGACCAGGCGTAGATAAGACACCGCCAACTACACCACAAGTTTGCAATGATGAATTGCTGAAGCGCTTGGAGTCACTAGAGGCCCTGCTCACTGCGCAGAACCAGGACCCAGAAACTGCACATCCCATGCCAGAGCTGCGTAAGGATACAAATAGTCAAAACTCGCCGCCAATTGTCCTCTGCATGTTATCAGATGCCTTGGTCCTAGAGCGGCATTGTATGAGCTCTAAAGCAGGGGTAAGTACGCACCGAGAGTAAGCTATATCATCAAGTACTAACCGGCCTGAGGACTCTGATACATTGAATTCTATTGGCTTTTACACATGCCCTACTCGATTAATTACACGGCCCTATTCATTCATTTTACAGAGTAACAGCCCGCCATCCGTCGTTGCCCCGGCGGGGCCTATTAAGTGCATATGGCTGCCGGAGCGCGAAGACACCAGGAGAATTGTCGACAAATACCTTAACGACATCTCATTCATTCACCACGTTATCCATGCGCCTACTGTGAGGCGTCTAGTGGATGATATTCATGACGCTATTGGTCTAGGCCACCAACCGCCCATGGGACCCGTCGCATTATTGCTCGCCATCTTCGCCAATGCCACTGGCCTATGGACTGCCCGTGACCTCTCAAGAAACCTCTTCTACTGTGTACCTGAGGCGCATTCACAGGCATCCATGTGGCAAAAGGCAGGTCTTGTTGTTCTGGATCACCTTCAACAAGACTCGCATGTATCTCTCGAGGCCACGCAGGCAATGGTAATCTTGTTTTATTCCGTTGTCAACCTCGAAGGCGTTTCAGCCATGTTTCGAAATCTCCTTTCAAGAGCTATCACAATGGCCCGCGAGCTAGGACTTCATTGCATCGACTCGCCCCGACGACTTCTGGGTATAGCTACGCCTAGATACAGAGTTTTCGAGGCTGAGATTGGACGCAGAGTTTGGTGGTATCTCTGTTCCACTGACTGGTAAGCAATTCTCTGGCATTATTTCTATATTTTACATATAGCCAACACTTCGACAGGATACTTGCAGGGCTTTCGGGTACCCTTGGAAATATCTGCATGATAAACCCGTCGCAAATGGCTGTAGAAAAGCCAAGGAATATTGACGATGATGATCTTGTCGAAGGAGAGGAAATCGTCGGCAAGCCGATGGACCAACCGACATGCATGTCGTTTTGTCTTCAACGCATACGTCTTGCCGAGATCTTCCGCGCCTCTCTAGAGAAAACCCAATTCGCGGCTCTGAGTCTAGAAGCTGTCGATTCTCAGCAAGTGGAAGAACTCGATATCCAGATGACCCGATTTTGGGACGATACGCCAGCCATCTTGCGCCTCAACCATGATTTGAAGCCAGTTGACGGCAGTTCAGATAAGATTGGAATCCAGCGGTACCTATTACATCTGTTCGTTCATGGTCAAAGATGCAAGATCCATCTGCCTTATCTCGCTCGCGGCGCCTTGTATACATCTAATCGCGCGGCTTGCGTGGAATCTGCGCGGTTTATCATTCGCATGGAACAGCAGTTGGAGAAAGAAGAAGCTGATTTTTCCGAGTCACGACTGAGACTGTCCATTGTTCTTCACCATATATACTTAGCATTTGTTGTGTTGTTATTCGATCTTTGTCTCGATTCCGATAGACCAACAAACATCAATAAGTCTCCAGAGGCAGCAGTTGCGTGGGACATCCTGCAGGGTGCCAAGGCTCAGTTACCACAGGCAGAGGTGTTAATAGACCCTCTTCACCAAGTCATGAGTAGACACAATATTTTGTATGGAAGGGCAAAGACCCATGGTCACTAGTTGGTTGCCGACAACGACCAAAACACTGCCTTCACCTTCACATACTCTGCAAATACTGGCATTTGTCTGTCGACGGCTACCATAGAAAAAGGACCGATGCAGCTCGTTAACGACTAAAATAACCTTGGGTTAAACCCAACACTACCTGATAATGATTGGCCTGGCTCATTTGAGGGCTTGTACTTCCCTCTTCAAATCACCCATTACAACGACTGTCTATAGTATAGAAAGTACTGAGTCGCAAAGATGCTGCTATGACTACCTTTGGCATTTATGCAGAGTCAGCCATTAAAACGTATTAGAGTACTTTCCAGCTGTACTTTGGTTCATTATCGTACTTTCTTAGTACGCAAAGGTTGAGAAACTTTCTCTAATTCTGTCGATCTGAGAAGCCCATACTCCAGCCAATCTAATAGCACAAGCCCGTGCAACTGTCTTGCAAAACAGCCCTGTGGTTGTGAGCGGCTCAGTTGACAACCTTCCAGGCCTTCTGCGCCAAATTTGAAGTTGCTCAACAATTCACCACTGGACTGTAACGATGTTTCGGAGATGTCACTATTGACGCGCTTGACAAAGTTCTCGATCTTCGCGTCATCTTCCCCATTGCGCCAGGTAGAGCTCTGCTCGATCCAGAATGCGGGCACCTCCTCAAGGCCTTCGAGGGGGCCACGGCCTTCGTTGGTGGCTTTGATAATCGCAGCTGCTTTTGTTATTATCGGTTATGAATCCGTTACTGTCACTGCTGCTATCCCTGTCGCTGGTGCTGGGGCTGCTGCCGTTATCGCTACCACAATCGGCATTCCCATCAATCCTAATCGTGGTATCTCTTCCAAATGCATAATAACTGCTTCTACCGCGACTTATACTGCTCTTATATATCTGGTTCTATTAACCCTTAGAACGGCTTTATCGTTATTATATGCGCCTCCTTATATATCATCTTAAATAACTCGGCTATGCCAGGATAACACTTATATGCCATAGCCTTATATGTATCGTTTAATACCTATTCAAAACCTTCCTCTTTTATCTACAACACGGGATTATCATCGCCTATTGGATCTAATAACTTCCTTAACCGGTCAGCAGCAATGCCCTCTAAATGTCGGGGCCAACCGCATCGGCCTAACCATCTACTGGCATCCCACTTATCGCTTATGGCCTAGATCCGACCGCTGGCCTCGTCCTCGAACGCTTTCTCATCCTCCTCCTGGATGCTGTTGAAAAGTTCAACGGCGGCCTTGTATTCTGCGTCAACCGCCTCATCCTCCTGATATTTACGGCCAACATCCCTCTCTGGCATATCGTTATCCTGATTAACGGCCCGACCGACCTCGAACCATCGCTTGCCATGCCCCCAATGGCATATCTGTTGGCATTGCACGCTGGTCGTCCACGGCACTAACTGCGTCGTGCCTGCCATTTGATGCTGTCTTCCTCTCTTATGATGGTTAATCCATCCATGCTCTGTGCGGCAATGGTTCTTCATTTGTCGTATATCCCGGACGATATATGTGCAATGGTTGCAGCCTAAACGGTCATGCCGGGGGGGCTTGATATGCGGATTCGGGTCTATGGTCGGCGATGGCACAGTCCACCCCTTCACTTCGGGCTAACCCTTGGCCACATCCTCTAATGTGGCAACTGCCTGCTGGATCTTCTTACCGTCTTTCCGGTTGATGTTGGCGTGCTTGCGCTTTAAATGGGTCCTAACCTCACAGACAACAAATCTAACCTTGCAATCTTTGCAAATGGTAAATGGGTATTCGGGCAAATAGATAAATAGCTCTATAATGGTGCTTTTGCCGCAATGGGATTTTTGTTATCATATAAATAAACTTTCGGCGGCTTGGTATTTGTTTATACTTTCTTATATGTAATTTAAACCTGTTTTTGCTGTTGCTATAGTATGAACCTTATTTCCCCCCTGTGCTATTTCCGTATTTGTATCCTATCCTCAATAGCTAGTCCCCCCTCCCCCCCGGACGAAAAATCTACACAACATAACATAACATAGAAAGTAATCTGAGCTCACATAACCTTGTCCATAAAACACAGTACCCCTGTTTGCGATCATCCACCCGCTTAACACATCACAGACTTGTCACACGTCTAAGTGTCTCGAAGCCAAATATACCCACATTGTCGTTCTCCAAATATTCGTCCTACCAATAATGTTAGAGCCAACAGCAAACTCCAAGCAGGGCAGCGCTATCAATTAGCGTAAACGTACTACCTGACGATATATCCGGCACGAAAGACGATAAGTTACTCACTATATAAATAGATCTCGACTGTTGGACTGCATGCTAGCGAAATAGATGTACGTTGAGCTTTTATGTACAAGCACTATGCCAAATGTTTCTCCCACAAATGCTCCGTAAAGCGAGTGGCTTGCATAAGCTCTTTGCTCCTCCTACATAACGGGCAGCGGAGGAATCACCGTCCATTCTTGAATCATGAGAAAGAGGGTTGACCTCCTTGACTCTATTTTTCTTGGATAGCAGATCAATAAGGCGGATGCTGTGGGAGGCTCTCTAACCACTCAAAATGCCATAAGCATGCCCCATACTTGCTTCTATGAATGCTGATAAGACGAAGTAGTCTTTTATCTTCAGCCTGCTTGAGTATGTCGATCTTCTTAGGTCGTATATATGTATTTCCTACGTCTGAGGTTCATGGCATAGACCGGTAAATTCGGAATTCGGGAGCTCAGTTACATGGGATAACGCTTGGGTCATCGACATAGCATCTCGGTCTCTCGGGTTGGCTCCTGTGAATCGTCCCCAGCACAGATATGGCCAAGATTGTCAATCGCTTTGCCCTTGTCCACCGCGCCGCAGTTTCTGGTGACGACTTTGCATTGTTGAAGTGCATCATCAGCACCCTGCAGCGCAACGTAGTCCAAGAGACCATTTAAAGTTGGGGGAGCTTCGCCAATCACCACACTGCTCAGCTCCATAAACATAACGCCAAATGGCCAAATGCCAATTTTTGTCGTCAGGATACCACGATAGCTTGGCCTTGTGCGCTGACGTCTGCTCCTTTCTCTAGCGACAGCCTCGCAACTAAACCGTGACCCCTCTTGCAGTGCATACCACAAAGGGGCACGATCGTACCGACCTCGTCCGTTCACTTCTGCGGGAGCACTAATTCTTGAGGACTCATTCAGGTATGTATCACGAGCCCTGAGTTATTTTCGCCCAGATTCCAACACGCGAGAAGGCGAGACGCAAAAGGGACAGTATCATCTGCTCAATTTTTAAGGATTATCAAATAGTAAACAAATATTAATCGATGAAAGCTGAGGGTGGAATGATGTAGGACTTCAAGGGCACAGAAATCCCTGATTACCGTTTGCTTTGGCTCATTGCGGGTGGGATGGAGGAGAAGGTGACCTGTTGTCCAACTCCAGGAACAGAAGCGATCGACAGAACAAAAACAAGCAAAAGTATCTAGCGAAACTCTAAATGAACATGGAATACAGCGACGTTGAACAAGAAATCGACTATACAGAGCTCAGAAATGGTGGAGAGATACGAGGAAACAGGAGCGCCGAGTCCCGAAGATATGCGGACGGGCGTGTGTGATGCGTTGAAACAATGGGGACCGATCCCCTACTTGACCGGATGGCATCTCGGCACCGAACATTCTACAAGCCAGGGTGAATCTGTTTACTTGCAGGCGAGGAGCAGAGACGTGGAACGATAGATGATCGCGTTTGCAAATAGATTTGAGATCATGACATGGGGTTTACAGGACAATAGACTCAGTTACTAGATCAAAGAAAATGACATGTATCGAGACGATTGTATCCAGATATCAGACGTCCGGGTGTCAGGGATCTTTTCTCTCTCTCAGACGGCAAGCAATACATGTGCCGCCCTCAATCTTCCGAGGCAAAGAGTAACCTATGGGTCTCTCCCATTCTGGTGATTCCACTGTGCAAAGTCGCCCAATCCGCACTCTGACTGAACTTTTTCGACCCATTATGGACCCAAGCGGCATACTCCTCATAGAGTGCAGCTGTATTTCTGGTTGGCACAGGTAGCGTAGCCTGCCATTCTTCCCAGGCCCACGGCACACGCTCGACCTTGTCAGTAGCATAGATGTGAACTTTGATGCTGATGGCCTCATCAGATGGCTCAGCACCGATATGTGGCGAGGAGCGGCTGATCATTTGAACGTCTCCCTTTTCGCCACGTATGTTCCAAACGAAAGCTGGATCACCTTGGAAAGGTAAACCGCTTCGCCAGGTTACACTCAGAGTCGCACTCTTAGCAACATAGTCCACACCCTTGACTGTTCCTTGGGTAATGATTAGGTCAGGGATATTAGATGTTATAGTTTGTTGAGGATCAGTATCAAGTAAAGCAATATCTGGCTTCTGAACTTGCGTCGTGACGCTCGTTTTCTCCCATTCCCCAAGGACAGCATGAATGTAGTCAATCATATGACCGTATCCAACCGTGACCATGTTTGCTCCCTTAGTCCTGTCGGCCATGTACGCTGCTGGCTCGGGGAGAGTTCCGTCAGGCACAGGTAGAAGCTTTACAGCGGCTTTAACATCACTGCTCAGAACTTTGCCGATCGTTCCGCCACCCAACATTTCCCTGAGCTTCTTGATCGCTGGCGACATACGCCCCTGGAACCCAAGAACACTTTCTTCCAGAATCTTGGACGAGGCTACCAGCTTTTGTAGCTTGGTGATCTCATCCAAGTTGGTGACAAGGGGCCACTCGACAAAAACACGCTTGCCAGCTGCTAAGCTAGGGCCAAGTGTTTTGAAGTGATGTCTTACGAAAGTGACGCATACAACAAGATCGATATCGGAGTCAGCAGCCAGTTGCTCCGGAGTGCCATACGCCTTGACTGAATCTGGAAGCTGAAAATGAGCTCTTGCCGATGCAGCGGCTTCGACAGATGAGTTGAGCAGAGCGACGATCTCGTAACTTGCTTGGCCGCGAGATGATAAAAGATAAGGAAGATGTGCGGTAGCACCCCAAGAGCTGAAAGAGTTGGGTGATAGCCCAATGATGCCGATACGGATAGAAGCCATCTTGCAATGTAATTAAGGAATATGGCTGGATCTCACGATTTGAATGATTTAGGTCCCGCTCTTCATGACAGCGGCTGAGGAACTTATAGAAGTTATTCTTGACACTCCTCACAAGATGCTTTTACCTCAGCCTACAGACGACTAGTGATTGTAAGCTATGTAATTGGCTGAGTAGTGCCGCTTACTAAGACTACACCTGTCTGGTTGAACGTTTGTGAATGGACTTAGGGTGAGAGTAAATCCGGATTGTCGAAAATTGCTCTTTGGTGGGATGCGGAAGTCTTAGTAATTCTTGTGTAATGGGACACGTAATCAAGACCGCCCAAACTCATCATTTGTTCTTTTTTAACTTCCTTTAATACTTCAGGCGTTTGTCAACTGACAACTCTGTCCAGTGCATCTCTAATTACTCTACAGCAAATTTTATGGCTACGATTAATTGGGTTCTACTTAGCTTGAAACAATCCTATGAAAGTACACACAACCTCCTAGATATATGGTGTTAAGTGGTCAGTGTGTGTGTAGTTAAGAACCGGTGCCGAGTTCTCTGGATCAATGCTGCTTTTGCCTCATTTATAAGCACGGATCTCGCCATTCCCAAGCCTTCCACATACGTCATCCCATGCCAATCGGGATCGTGTCATTCTGGTCTGACGAGATCTCGGTTATCTTGTATCATCGCAGCGGGTGCAAGGATAGAAGCACTTCCCGGGCAAGAAGCTGGAGTGGGAGTGGGAGTGGGCTGCAGGTGGAGCTGCCGAGGCTCTTGAGGTCCACGCCGAGGTTCATGACTGCTATTTGAACAGCAAGATTTTCCGATGATTTGGTAATTCTGCTGATCCACACAGACATTCTTTCATCTTTATAGATCATAAATCGTCATGGCCCGTCTCCCATATCCCGATGTTGCCTTAAAGGGTATCCCCCTGAACGTTCTCAAGCTTTTCTCCTACAGCGCTGCGACTGCGGAGTACTGGACAAAAATCGGGGCTGCCCAGTTCAGGCACCTTGCCCTTACAAACAGAAATCGTGAACTCGTGATCCTACTCAGTACCTCCAAGTTTCAATCTTCTTATGAGTGGACGCATCATATCACCGTATCTAACAATGAAGGCGTCACTGATGCGCAACGCGTTGTGCTCGCCAAGGCTGGAAATCAGAAAGGCTATCTCCTACAACAAGACAAAGCAGGACAGATCGCGGATCTTTTTACGCCGCAAGAAAAAACTCTCCTGGTGTTTCTTGAGGCTGTGATTGATGAACCCAAAGTTGGAGACGATTTGTGGGCAAGAGCGAAGGCAGAATTTTCGGATCGAGAGATCGTTGAGATAATTACTCTTCAGGTTCGTTTCTCCACACCTAATTCCGTACCTAGTTGCTGACCTGTCAGGGCTTTTATTATACTTTTTCGCGAATGACGACTGTCTTGGATATTGAGCTGGATGTTTTTGACAGTCCACCAAAGCTTTGAGTCCACTGTTCACTTTTAGTAACCTAGATAATGAGAAAGTATTCGTGGTATTATTTTCCGCATTTAACATTCCTGCGCGATACAGAATAAGACGTAATAGACCCCACGATATGTCAACTGAGTCAAGGTGCTGTACCAATCAGCCTCTGTTTCACACTTCCCGCGTTACGCCTCAATTCTATTTTTGTTCTATTTTTTATGCTGACCATGAACCTCTTATAATGCCCAAACACAGCGTAGGATACTTAACAAACAAGCTTAAACGTTGACCACATCTTTGCCGATGCGGTCTATAAGCGCCCGAGTTAAAAGGCCAGTAGAGGATTGAAGCGTCCAGTCTCTTGAAGCCAGAATATCTACCTCAGTCTTCGACCATCACTTCATCGTCCCCATCACCATGGCATCGAAATCTGCGGTCGCCCATCAATTCCCAGTTTTTAGTTGGCAAGGATCAGGATATAGACACTATACCAGCCTATCTATACGATTGCCGTCATAGATTCTTCAAACCAACATCGACTTTTATGATACTTGCTCTGATCATAGTGGAGAATTTGGGATACGATGTCGCGTCTACAGGAGGTGTCTCTACGCAAGGCTTTATATTGGGAAATTATCTCGGGCTATGAACACTGTCAAGCCGGGGTAGGTCAATCTATCAAATGGGCTCTAAAATACTGCTGTGCGTTTCGCTTGCACAACTTCCGCATATGAAAGGGCGGGGTAAGCTACACCTTATTACAGCTTTCGGCTTGTTGTGGGTATTGTTTTAGGTAGGGAAACCTCGGCTGGAAGTGGGGCAGGTGAGGTGGGTGTGACAGTATATATCTAAGAGCGTTTGAAATATAAGGATATGCCGGGAATTTCCTGTAGTGATAATGTTTCACACGCTGCACTACACTACAGCAATTACTATGAGACACCAAGCAATCTACAACGCGCATATGGACGTTCAGCTCCCGCGCATGGACCTATTATCGCTTCTATTCGGTTCACACTGCCCTTTATGCTAAGTCGATAGAAGTTGACCTTTTGCCTAGACCCTCCTATTTCTCCTCCTGATGATACTGTGCTTCACGTCGAAGCTGCATTCTCCTAGAATCGGCTCACTAAACTTCAGACCAAGACAACCACGAAACGGATTGCGTACATTCTCCGGAGCCGCTATGGAATCGGCAGACAAGGCTCAGGCGAAGATGTGGTTGTCTGCATATCCTCTGGTCAAGTCCTTCTGCCATGCGCTTCTTACTCTGTCGTTGCTGTTGGTGGCATCTTCAGTGCTGCCAGTACAGGCTCCACTCCGCACGAACTCGTAAGACAGCTCAAGCAAGGAGGAGCCTCTCTGCTCATAACCTCGGCGGATTGTCATGCAGTCGCCATAAAGGCTGCGCAGGTTAGGCATTTTAGTATAAAAGGCCTTATTAGGTAGCTATAGGCTTCTTTAGATAGCAGGCATTATAATGGTATAGCTGTGATGCTGTTAGCGGTTGTAGTTAGAAGGTATTTAGGTTAGATAACTTACTGCATAATGGATGATTAAAGCGTGGCAGCAGAGGTTAATAAAAGACCTTTTAGGTAGGTTACAGGAAGAAGGTTAGGGCTAGCTAATAAGTAGGGCTTTTTAGCTAGTATATATATAGCTAGTTTTAGGCTATAATTAAGGCAGCTAAATATAATAATTTAATATAATAAAGCTTTATTAATTATAGAGATAATAAATATTTAAGTTATATTAAATTTTAAAAATACTTAAATATATACCTTTTAAGACTAATTTATTATATAAGTATAAATTAATTTTTATATTTAGAAATTAACTCTTTACTTTTATTATAAGCTATTAATAAAGTGAATTAACCTAGAGATTAGCTTTATTATAAAATGCCTTGCCTATACTAGTTAGGATAGTAGTGCAAACTTATTTATCTTAATTTATAACTTAATGGGCTATGTTAAGCTCTAGGAGGTTCTTAGTAATAGCATTATACTTCTTTAGGCAATTAAAAGCTATAATAAAGAGCTTTGTAGCTCTAGGGGAGTCTACTAATATATGTAAGACAGTGATATCTTTAAAAAAGAGCGAGGAATAAGAAGCCGGGGTGGTAATAGTTAACGACATTATAAGAGTAAATTTCTTAGTAGTGCGTTTACTTAATCAGATTTGAGACTTACGAGATTGTTTATGTGATTTTTTATTACCATAACACCTGGAGCTTTCGTCACTACTATAATATATACAAGTAGGCGAGTAGGAGATCGCTACTAAGTTGGACCTGTCCAGCGCACTATATAGTTAGCCCCACAAGTTGCCGAGGCCGAGGTGGACCACTAGACCGAGGGACCCCAGCAAGAGATTCAGAGAGTGCTATTTCCGCCGACCGCGCCTGCAATGTGAGGGGGCTGTTGCTTGCAGTATGTCTCCATAGTCCAGTCCCTATGAGGTCGTGGGGCCGCCATATGTAACATCTGCTGATCAATCATTCAGGAGTTTATAGTAAACCCCGACGGCTTCGCAGCATCACATTCGCTGCCAAAACGCCGGATGAGCCTAGTTCACCAGCAATGTTGTCATTCAACAGGCTGACCACCTTTCAGCAGCAAAGGTCTACACTCTGTAGGGCCAAAAAGTCTTTTGTAGGAGACTGTGCCACGACTATCAAGCTAAGATCGTTAAATATGTTAACCTATAGAACCCACCTGCCCGGACCTTCAACTAGCGGCTGACAGACACAGGCCTGGGTAACTACTCATTGCCATCTTGCAAGCAATCAGCGGCATATCGTCGCCTAAATCTTAAATGTAATTACAACTGTGGTTGTTCCACAGAACCCTATAGATGGCTTTTATAACCCATCAAGCCAACCTCGCTAATATCCTATACTATGCCCTGAAGTTCTGCAAAATACTGTTTGCCAATGCGTCGCGGGCTCGTGTTGTGCTTCCTGCATAAAGGTGCTGTTACAGCAGTAGCAATGGCGTGTTGAACTCCATTACCCATGAATTTTACGTTAGATGATGCGATATGAGTAGCACTAATGTGCTTTCCAGCCATCATGAGATTATCAATATTGGTCAAATAAAGGCAGCGGAATGGGATATCGTAGCCTTTACCATCGCGTTCATCCTACTCCCAGTCCTTGAAACGAAAATCGTAGTTCGTATTACCTGGGTAGTGGTTTGCTTATTTAGTCATATAATCTATCTTATAACTTATTTAATCTTCTTTTCGCCGCCGATGCCAAATTCAGTTACGACTTTAGGTCTTTAACTTCAGGTAACTAAACTTATATAAAACTTAATACATTTCTTCTATTTTCCTGGTCCTAGAACCCCGCAATTACCCCGCTTCCATCTACATCGCGATACGCCATCCCCCTCATCTCAGTCACACTCTCATAGTCCAAGACTATAACCAGCCTAGTCTATATATTACCAGCTATTAATTAGCTTTATAGCCTTTATTAGCTCTACTAACTATTTCTTTATATTATTAAGCTAATATCTATATAAGTTCTTAATTAGAATCCCTAATTTAAAGTTTTTAATAAATCCCTTATTACTTACCTTTATAAGCCTTTTTATTATAAGGCATTACTTTAGCTTTTATAATAGCTTAATCTCCTCCTTAAGGTAGCCTTTAGAGATTATTAGCTCTTTATAATAATAATATATAAGTAAGAAGACTTTATAGCCTAAAGTAGCTTACTTAATAAAGGTAATATTATCTTTCTTATTTTAAATCTTTTAAATTTTTATTAATATAATATAAAGCTTATCTTTAAATTTATAATCTTTAAGAGCTATTATAAAATAAGGGATTAGGTTAGGTATTTTAGTATAAAAGGCCTTATTAGGTAGCTGCAGGCTTCTTCAGATAGCAGGCATTGTAATAGTATAGCTATAATACTATTAGCAGTTGCGGTCAGAAGTCGGGTTAGATAACTTACTGCGTAATAGGTAATTAAAGCGTGGTATGCAGCAGAGGTTAATAAAAGACCTTTTAGGTAGGTTATAGGAAGAAGGTTAGGGCTAGCTAATAAGCAGGGCTTTTTAGCTAGTATATATATAGCTAGGTTTAGGCTATAATTAAGGTAGCTAATTATAATAATTTAACTTAATAAAGCTTTACTAGCTATAGGGGTAATAAATATTTAAATTATATTAAACTTTAGAAATACTTAGATATACCTTTTAAAGCTAACTTATAAATTTTAAATAAAAAAAATTTATTATTAAAATATTTTTAAAAGAATTTCTTAATTATATAATTTTTATAGCTATTAAAAATAAGAAGTTAGGGTTTATTTTTATTTTTAAGTATTATTAATAAAATAAAAACCTTTTTTAATTAAATTAATATTAATTTATTACTTATTTAACCTTTCTTATTATAGGCAAATTCCTAGTTATTTAAGAAATTTAAATCCTTAGGGAAATATTATTATTAAATTATTTTCCTTTTAAAGATAATTATAAGTCTTAAAACTTTTTTAGTTATTAAGATATATTTAAGAATTATAATCTAGGTATAAAAACTAGGCTAATAAATAAATATTAACTTCTTATACTTATAGCTAAGAAATAAATAATTTATTTCTATTTTCTTTATTATTTTAACTTTATTAATATTATATCTATTTTTTTACTTAATTATTTAAATTATTAGTATTATTAATAATATAAAGAATACCTTTATTAATTTAATAAAAGCTTTATAATATTAGTTATAATTAATTTTCTTACCTTTTAAAGTCTTAATATCTTTATTTTAATTTAAAAAGTCTTAAAGCTAGTTCTTTCTAATACCTTTTAAAAAGCTATTATAAATAGTAATCTTACTAGTAAACTCCCTAACTTATTAATATAATATAAGGTATTTTAAATTAGCTTAAATAAGAATATAATTTTTTAAATACCCTTTTTAAATATTAGAAAGCTTTTATTGCATTTTTTAGGCTTCTCTTAATATTATATTTCCTTTAATCTAACCTTATAAAGTAAAATAATTAATATTATAAGCTTTTACTACTTTATTTACTAAAACTCTATTTATTACTATTTAAAATATAATACTTATATCTTTTTTAGTAAAAGAAAGTATTTTAAATTAATTAATATTAGTTTAAAATTAATTAGAATTTAAAGAATAGAGTTATAGCTATTTAAAGTATATATAATTTAGGTAGCTAGGTAAAAAATAAGGTAGCCAGTTTGTAGGGGTGGCTGGTCTGTAGGTAATAGATATTATTACTTAAGATATAATTATATTTAATTATAGTAACTTATATTTTAAGAAAAATATTATTAGTTAATTATATTATTAAGTATATAAGGGCAGCTATTAAAAGAAATAAAAATAAAATTTATATTAATTAATTTCTAGATAGATATAATAACTAAAGCCTAATATTAATATCTTATTTATATTAGTTTTAATTTTATAATTAATAAGGTTTAGAAGAATATAAATAGTTATAAGCTAAGTAGCTATAAGGCAGTAATTATAACTCTCTACTTATTATTTTTCTTTAAAATACTATATAAAGTTATAGTAAATAAGTAGGATTCTTAAAAAACTATTATAAAGAATAAAGTTTAAATTATAGCTTCTTATATAACCTAGGCCATTAATTTTATAATAGCAAAGGATCTAATAAAGTTTGCCCAGACAGTTATATATATATTTTCACGCCGCCAGGTATTCTATTAACAGTTTATTAGTATCCTCATTTTTAGCCCCCCAATCTAAGTATACTTTCTTGAGATATTATTATCCAAGTTATTATTAAGCCAACTAGGAAGGCACAACTTGGCCGGCTTCATAGGAGATGCAAAAGTCTTATATCTCTGCCGATGCTGTATATAATGTATTCAACCGTGCTAAAATCATGGTCGAGAAAACGCTTCGAGAAGCTAAGGTCATCTCACGAGAACCGACGGTGTTACCAGACACGCAGGGAATTGAGACTACGCAGTGGCTTGATGGTTCTGAGGGCCATGATTTGGCATCGACAGGGATTCTGTCAACACTTTGGACGCCATTCGCTAATTTCATGCCCGAGGACTTGTCCGGAAATGATTCCTAGACTAAGGTCTGATGAATTGGACGTGTTGATGCGATTCGAGTTAGCGCAGAGATTCCCCAGCTCTGAATAAGCAATCCAGGAACAAGAACAAGACAGCGGGATTCTTATATCGCCAAGGCCCGGATTCTAGGTTGTTCACACGATGCTTCCAGCTTAGTGCGATATGCCTCGGCCTCCGGGACTATGTGGGTCGCCATAAAAACACCGACTCAACAGTTTGGCCATCTTCAGGGGCCCCTGTCCAAACTCATGGACTACTCTCGGTCCGAGTGTGAAGACATGACGTCCCAACAAAATAATTCGAGACCCTGACTCTGTCGTGGAGGGTCCGGGCAACTCTAAAACCTGCACTGGCCAATGCATGCATTCGTCGTGAGCCGAGGCACACGTAAAACCTTGATCCTTGTGGTCCCATGTGGTGGAGCATGAAAAATTGCATCAAGAATCTTTCGTCCTTATTAATATACCGGTACTGTGACTTTGATGCATCATAGTGGCATTAAACTGATTTTCTGCAAGATAAAGTTTAGCATCGGAGCATCATGGCTGCAACAGCCGAGATCCCGACCCCTTCTGGCTTGCCTTTGCTGGGTAACATTAAATCAATCAATCCCGACTTCCCCTTGGGGTCTATGGTATCGCTCGCAGAACAGTATGGTGAGAGTAACCTCGCGAATGCAAGGGCGCGACAACTAGCTAACAATGCATTACAAGGCGAGATCTACCGTTTAAGGTTCCCTGGTCGAACTATCGTGGTCGTTTCCACACAGGCTTTGGTCAACGAGACATGCAATGAGAAGCGATTCAAGAAATCTGTCAATTCAGCTCTCACTGTAAGTCACGGCATACTCTCAGGGCTAGACCGAGGCTGATAGCTCCATAGCAAATCCGAGAAGGAGTTCACGATGGGCTTTTTACTGTATGTTGTCTCAGTAATCTTCGCATATTATACTCTAAACACAAATGCAGGCCAAACTCGGAGAGGAGAACTGGGGCATCGCTCACAGAGTGCTAATGCCAGCCTTCGGACCATTGTCGATCCAGCGCATGTTTGACGAGATGCACGATATCGCCTCTCAACTTGCTCTCAAGTGGGCGCGATACGGACCGGACTCGCCCATTATGGTAACCGATGACTTTACGCGTCTGACTCTAGACACACTGGCGTTATGTTCTATGGGGTACAGATTCAACAGTTATTACTCTCCAGTCCTCCACCCGTTCATCGAGGCAATGGGTGATTTTCTTACAGAGGCTGGAGAAAAGCCTCGACGATTGCCTTTACCCGGAGTTGTCTACGGCGGGCGCGATCGCAAGTATCAGCATGATATCGAGATCATGAGAAATACTGCCAGGGAGGTTCTTGATGCCCGAAAGGCAGATGGAAGCACACGAAAGGACCTTTTGACAGCTATGCTTGAGGGTGTCGATACAAAGACCGGCAAGAAGATGACGGATGAAAGTATTATGGATAACTTGATCACCTTCCTTATTGCAGGGCACGAAACTACTTCGGGACTCTTATCTTTCGCCTTCTATCAGCTCCTCACACATCCAGATGCCTACCAGCTTGCTCAAAATGAGGTGGACCAGGTGGTAGGGAAAGGACCTATTCAGGTAGAACACCTCTCTAAGCTTCCATATCTGAATGGTGTTCTCAGAGAAACCCTTCGGATCAACGCGACTATCCCTCTCTTCACTGTCGAGGCCTTCGAAGACACTCTTCTTGGGAACAAGTATCCTGTCAAGGCTGGCGAGACCATCATCAACCTCCTCGCAAAGTCACAGCTCGACCCCACAGTATTTGGAGACGATGCAAATGAGTTCAAACCAGAACGCATGTTTGATGACAATTTTACCAGACTAAACAAAGAGTTCCCCAACTCGTGGAAACCGTTTGGTAATGGCATGCGAGCCTGCATTGGAAGGCCATTTGCTTGGCAGGAATCTCTGCTGGTCATGGTCATGCTTCTGCAGAATTTCAATTTTGTTCTTGATCCCAACTATCATCTCGGCTACAAACAGACCTTGACCATCAAACCCAAGGAGATGTATATGCGAGCGATCTTGAGAGATAACCTTACGCCGACCACCCTTGAGCGCCGGCTGGCTGGTTTATCTAGTACAACAACGAGCAAGGAGAATGGAACTAACGGCAAGTCTACTGAGGCTGAAGGCGGTGTTCCTATAACCGTCCTGTACGGTTCCAATAGTGGAACATGTGAGTCTTTGGCGCAGAGGGTTGCAACTGATGCCGCAGAGCATGGCTTCCATGTCACCAAGATTGACTGTCTTGACACGGCAAAGGGAAACCTTCCTGAAGATCAACCAGTTGTGATCGTCACCGCATCATACGAAGGTCAACCCCCCGACAATGCTGGGCATTTTATTGCCTGGATTGAGAAGACTGACCAAGAATCCAAGCCACTCAAAGACGTCTCGTATGCCGTTTTTGGCTGTGGTCACAAGGATTGGGTGCAGACCTTCCATCGCATCCCTAAGCTTCTCGACGGTAATCTCGAAAAGCTTGGCGCCGCTCGGATTGTCGACATGGGTGTTACCGATACATCTCAAAATATGGTCTTCAGTGACTTTGAGACATGGGAAGATGACATTCTGTGGCCTGCTCTTGAAGCGCGTTACAAGCCTGAGCGCAGCAGTAAGGCTGCAGACAAGGGATTGAGCGTCAAGAGCTGTAACTTCAGGACCCTTACCCTTCGTCAAGATGTCAAGGAGGCAACAGTGGTCTCTACCAAGACGTTAACAAGTAGCGACGATGCAAAAGCCAAAAAACATATTGAGATACAGTTGCCCGAAGGAATTCACTACATAGTCGGTGATTACCTTGCTGTCCTGCCAATCAATCCCCAAGAAGTTGTTCGCCGGGCACTGAGGAGGTTCAAGCTTCCAATGGATGCTCATCTGGAGATATCGAGCAGTACACCAACTGCCCTCCCTACTGATACGTCTGTATCAGCGCTGGACGTGTTTGGCTCTTACGTTGAGCTTTCTCAGCCGGCGACCAAGAGGGTGAGATCATCAACAAGCAATCACACGCGACATGAAACTAACTGACTGTGATAGAACCTCCTCCTCATTGCCGAAGCTGCATCCGATGCAGAAACTAAAGCTGCTTTGACCTCGCTATCTGAGGAAGATTATATCGAGGCGGTCAGCGACAAGCGTGTATCGGTTCTGGAAATTCTAGAACGGTATCCCTCTGTCGAACTACCTATCAGAGACTTTTTGCAGATGTTGCCACCCATACGAATTCGACAATAGTAAGAATCTTATCGCCGTATCGCTTCACGCCTTGCTGACTTCTCTCTTCCAGCTCCATCTCCTCGTCTCCCTTATGGGATCAATCTCGCGCGACAATAACCTTCTCGGTCCTCAAAGGGCCCGCCATGTCAGGCCAAGGCACATATCAAGGCGTCGCTACCTCTTACCTCGATTCTCTAGCTGAAGGTGACACGATCCAAGTGGCCATTCGTTCGTCGCCTGCTGCTTTCAGCCTTCCCTCAAACCCGGAAAGTACGCCCATAATTTGCGTTGCCGCTGGATCAGGACTTGCGTCGTTCCGAGGTTTTATACAACAACGCGCCATGATATACGAGACGGGTCGCACACTTGCGCCGGCTCTGCTCTTTTTCGGCTGTCGTGCTCCTGACCAAGATGATCTTTACCGCGACGAGTTCGATAATTGGCAGAAGCTCGGCGCAGTAGACGTAAGGCGATCGTACAGTCGACATGGACGGGATTGCAAATATGTCCAAGATCGGATCTGGCAAGATAAGGAGGACTTCATCGAGCTCTGGGAGAAAGGTGCTACGGTGTATGTATGTGGCTCGAGGGCGATGGCTGAGTCGGTACGGGAGGTCATGATCAAAGTCAAGACTGAGATGGACAAGAAACTCGGGGGTGAGATGAGCTTTGACGAGGCAAGTAAGTGGTTCGATGAACAAAGGAATGTGAGGTATGTGATGGATGTGTTTGACTAGGTTGACGAGGAAGAGACAGAGAGTGTAGGAGAATCTGCATTTGATATTTATAGGCAAGGTAAACAAGAGATATCATAGAATTATAGAAATAGAAAGGGAAACATGGATATTATATCGTTGGATTAAAAACAACATCCACGAGATATTTTCAACCTGTATATGGAGGGCATAATCAGCTTGTTCAGCAAATGAACAGTCTGAACAGAATTAGGCTTGTATCTCCAAAAAAGCGTTTTACTTACCTGAACCTGTGCTTGACCCTTGTAGTGATAGCACTAGCGTCTTAGACTTTTTAAGAGATAAGTGATAAACTCTGAGGACATCAATTAGGCAGACCGCAGAGGAAACATAGGTATACAGTCTATAGAATTGTCTAAAATCTTGTCTAAATATCTACTAGCCACGTATATAACCACTAATCTACTTTCAAACCAGAACTATGCCTGTAAAGGTTTGATGCTTATTTTTATATATCATATGCTTCTGTTTATTTGTAATATTATAATAGTATACAAATTTTTTATGATCAGTAATGAAAGTTCCGTCGTTTTCTGAATTTAGGGCTAGTTTGATAGCTTTTTTAAATTGCCTGCACAGAATTTGTGGACGTGGTCCTAGTGTGGAGTCCTTGACTGCAATGCCGGCTGCATCAAGAGAGATGCTATTGAGTGAGTTGCCGTGAGGGATCTCTCCTCGATCCGTCCAGTACAACTTGTCGTTCTTCTCATTGATATGCAGATCGATCGACTCAGGCAAGTTATCCAAAATGCAAGTAATGTCAGACCTGGAGTCTCCCACTAGTCGACTGATGTCAGCGTAGAACATGCGACCTTTGCCACCCTTCGAAGGGCCCTTTTGTGTCCAATAGAACTTGCCACGGCTGGGAAAAACAGCAATGCCGACACACCAGCTCATCACATCACAGTCAGCTTGATCCCTCTTGACTATGGCTTGTAATCCTGAGCCGTCACAGGCGCAACGGTACACGGCGCACCCTTCCGGTCGCAAAGGTAAACTTGTTTATGTTGCGTGTCGAGGCAGAGTTGTTTAGGAGTATTGACAACGCCTGGAGCAGCCACCACGGCGGTGTCAGTGCCGTCTGTCTTGGCCGAATAGACGGCTCCGTCAGGCGCACCAGGGCCGCCCATAGCTGTCCAGAACATACGGCCGATTGACCGATCAACGTCAATACCATCAGGCATAGCCTGTCCCGTGACCAAGGGCTTTGGTTCGCTGCCGTTTAAGTGTAGTTGCAAGACTTGGCCTGTGGTTGCACTCGGCTCTGGTGCCGCTAAACCAAGGTCGAGATCGAGTAATGTGGGACTCTTTACAACTGGGCCAGGCCTGCCAACTACATATAGTCCTCCAACGGTACACAAAGCAGGCTGGGATTTCGCAGCGTCTCTTAAACTGATCTCGTCGTGATGGGAATGAATCTTTTTGCCTGTCGCGCTTTGACGTACTTCTGTATAAGTGGGAGGTCAGGAACAGGCGTCGTGTTTTGTGCTGGAGCCTGTCCTGATGGTGTGATATCCTTTTTAGTACGAGAAGGTAGAGCGGCGTTGTATAGAGTATTATGTACCTGATAATTAGTACTGGAATGACGAGCTTGACCTCGATGTTGCGCATCTACTGAACTTATCAAGGTGTTCTTCACACTACTGATAATGTCGGCAGTCAAGTATTTCAAGCGCCAGAACCAGTATAACTTCGACGAAGTAGGCACTATGGGGGCATTGGGTACAACGGTCTAGTGCTGCGTTGCGTAGAGAAGAAGCAAGCCCTCAAGAAGCAGCCCGGATCGCCTTCCTGGCCTTCAATTTTCGAGAGTGTTGTTCAGTAGATGGGGGATCCTGACCCCTTAATAGCTGATTAATTAACGATCTAGGGGGCAGAGTCGCTGAAAAACACATACCGTTTAGATAGAAAATAAGGTCACTGTTCTTCTAATTTTTAAAGATTTGGAGTCGCACTGCAAGGGAGGATAATACCTTCCTCGGCATACTAAGTTCTTAATAAAAGATGTACTTTTTATTTATGTATTTGCGAGTCAATGTCCCCCTTGCGGTAGTGGAAGTAACCACAGGAAAGACAATATAGAGCCCCCTACGAGTGGCATCCCCACCATCATCCGGCCATTAAAAGAAACGTGATAACTTTATCTTATTGTTCCTAATTCTGCTTTCCCGCTCCCTCCACACCCTTAGCCACGTTGTTGACCAGACTCTCAACGCCTGTCCCGATGCCGCCCACCACGTTGCCGACTGGCTGCCCGATCTCTCCCGTCGCGCCTGTCAGCGTATTGCCCACGCCGCGCAGCGCTGCTCCTGTGACGTTACCGAGCGTGCCCACGACCCCGCCGACCGTGTTGCCTAGCGTGTTCGTGACTAACTGGACGGAGTCCGCGGTTTCGTTTTGGCCGGTAGCAGTGTTTTTTTGGTTGGATGCCATGGTGTTTGGGTACAGGGAGTGCTTCGGTTGCAATATTGAGGTATATTGGTGGTTGTCGTGGTGTTGAAGAGTCATTTGAAAATCTGAGGGGCTGTTGCCATTTATTAAGTCAACCTACACTACACTTTGTTGGAAAACATGTTTAAACAAGTTGCCTCTTCGAAATGACGTCAACTAACACTCCTAACTGTCACCTACTCGTGTCTATTGGATCAGATTTCCACAGTACTGCTCTCCTTTGCCTGTGATGACGTCCTGTTGTTGTCATTCCAAACTGTACGTGTACAGGATTGCCATACCTGGCGGAGCCCCTCTCGTGAATCGAGATCATCGAGCGTAGGGTCAGTGGACTCATGAATCTATTCAAGTAAAATTACATGACAGCTCAAGCACTTCCCACTTGGCTTCATGGAGGCCAGTGAACTGCCAAGTGGCGGCGCCGTAGCATTGCTGCCGGGCATGGGATTGAGTAGGGGGTTGGAAGGAGGAAATGTGTCTGATTTCCTAGCCGAGCTAGTATTCATAAAACCTAGGTTTAGGTCTTAGAGCCTAACCCGGCTATCTGAAGGTTCACTTACGTTTAAGGCACGGAGCCCAACCTGGCTATTCAAAGACTTATAGTTAGGTATGTGAGAGAAGGTAGTGTTAGGCATGACAAGGCCAGAACTAGCATGAAGTAGTGATGTATAATGGGGCTGTTGGTGGGAAGAGGACCTAGCTATTAGATTGAACCCCGAGGTCCATCGGTGAGCGAGAGAGCAGGTCGTCTTTCGAGATAGCCTAAGCAGTGAGCCGACAGGTGAGCTTATCTTCGCCTAGTTCTACTCCGTTAGCGAGGGCTCTCGATTGAGCCTGGCTATTGAAGCGGGCCTAGGTCCCTGAAGTGACAGATTGAAGCAAAGGTTAGAGAAAACGGTTCTGTTGCTTGTCTACTTCCAGTCTACAAAGTCGAGTTTGCTCTTTGCCCGCCCTTTTTTAACTTTTAAAAACAGAAACATGCCACCCTAAGTGCTTCCTCGCCGCACCTCCTCTAAACGTCATCCGGAGCGTCCTGCCCAGGGTTTGCCTCTTCATAGTGCATGCGCTTCACCAGCCGAAAGTATCCAGCAGCCAAGGCAGCACCGAGAGCTGGCCCAACCCAATAGATCCAATGATACCTGGGGAAGTCCGTACCAGCAACAGCGCAGCCAAAGCTGCGGACGGGGTTCGCAGAGCCACCAGTGACGAATACTCCTGCGTAAATATAGTGTCAGATCTCTGTATAGGATCTGGTACTCAATTGTGCAACCGAGGAGGGAGTATACTTACCAGGGATCAGAACTACAAATAAGGCGAGCCCAATGCCGATGGGCGCAATGAAGGTATCTCGAGACTTTTCAGCAGCCAGCATCAAGACAACGAAAATCAGCTGAGCTGTGAAGAACATCTCCAAGAACACGCCTTTCGCAATAGAAGTATAAGGTCCGAGCACTGTGTTGGCCTGCGCCACTGACCCTGGGAACATCGCATCGACAAGGCCACCCGCGCACATGGATCCGAGTAGCTGTGCAGGGACAAGGAACGCCGCGCGCAGCCAAGGGAGCTGTCCTGCGATGCATAAACCGAGCGTGACCTATGGTACTATAGTCAGACTTGAGTCTTCGTTATAACAAGGAAGAAGTGTTGTTTACTGCTGGGTTGAATAATCCTCCGCTGATCCGGTAGAAAGCCCAGACGTTGACCAGTAGAGAAAATCCGTACGATATTGCGATCCAAATGTCCGTAGTACTTGCCAACCCACCATTGACAGCAGGATATGGTGATTGGAGAACAGCCATCATGTTTCCAGCATAGCCAAAGTAGAGGAAAAAGAATGTCCCAACGAACTCTCCTGATGCGGCGACCAGGTGAGCATTGAATGTGCTTAGATGACGTCGTGGATGGCCTGGATCATCGTGCCCATTTTCTCCAGCGGTAGGCCCCATTTGTGTCTATAATCGATGCTCCTTGGTTAAAAAAGTTTTTTAGTGTTTAATGCCGGGGCAGAAATTAGTTTCTAACGTTAATAAAGAGGTAAGGGTTAAGATGGGTTTATATCTATTGATAGTTAGATACGTAGTACTGTTAACTAAGTCTTTATATGTGTGAAGCGTCCCGGAGATAATTCTCCTCTTATGATGCGTATAGCTTGGGGTATGACGTATACAAAACTGTTCTCTGGAAATCAGTGTGGCCGCCACATTGGACCAAAGAGTTAATTATGATAAGCTTATTGTCGCCTATGACATTAAGCATGCCCCTAGTTTATGCGCCAACCTCATTTAATGCAAAGACTCTCAATAATTACTAAAGCCACATTTGAGTAAAATGTTTTACTATTCATGCCTTTAAAAAGTTCTGATAGGTTAATTTGGGCATTGAGGACGCTCTTAAATCCTTTGGTTAAAACATCAGGGACTTGGTGGCCAAGCTCGCGTGCCTTAAGCGCGGAGGAGTATCGTCAAGATATACTAAATTCGCATCTTGTCCGAGGTGAAATTGCATAATAGCACCTCAGTTCAGTCTCAATCTAATTGATACGCTCATTCCACGTTACATTAACAGAATTCTGTCAAATACCGTTACTAATACAATTAGCTATGTGCTCAGCATATGGTCTTGTTTCTTGAAGTAGCTGTTGCTCTTGTCGCTGAATATGTTTAGCCTTTAATACAGTGTCCGTATAGACCTAGATTTTGCCAATCACTCTGGCTTCTATGCAGACCTCGAACTCCTAGATCTCCAGATAATAGAGACGTAGTTTGAGTAGTGGCTGTGCGTGATCCAGGAAATAATCGCGCCGGTGATGGCCTTGCATATGTTTGCGAAGCATACCGCTACGAACCCAGTATTAATTCACTTAGACGTGAAGGGGGTGTCTATCCCGGTCTGACTAATCTTATTAGAGACGGTAGCGGCCTTCTCATCACCTTACACCTCTTGAGCATTAGAGCCTATTCCTTTATTGCGAGTCGTAGAAATATCGATGATTAACTGAACTGCTTTAATAATCGTTCTACTGTGGCTTATCTGTTCCTTGCAAGTGATCTGCATCTAGGGAAACGCGTCAACCATCGGGATGCCATGGTCTTCCTCGATCAACAGTGAACCTCAAAGCCGGCGTTCCGGCTTACGCGATCATTGTATCTTACCATCTTGACGGCATACAATCCGTAAAGGAAAGTTATTTGCAGTAACACGGGCGCTTGAGAACAACGTCTCGCAGTTGTGTTTTATTTCGTCGACTTGGACTTTCGAAGTATTGCCACGGCGTCATCACTGACAATGCTTTATAATAATATTTGGAAAGTGAAGTGATGGCATGTTGTGTGAGCCAGTACATGGAATGTACACTTATATAAAGAGTGGTGTTTACCCTAATCCCTTCAAATGACTACATTAACATATGTTCGATTGGTCTGCATCCCAACTCGACAACCATCTTATTCTGGAGGAATACTCCTAAAGCAAAACAAGAGGCACATTTAGACTACAATTATGTGTTTCTTATGGCATAGGCACAAGGGTGATACTCTGGTATTGACTGGTCTTGGTTGCCACCGTGACCGAGGGACCGAAACTTCGCACCGAGTCTATGCTATCGTGGCGATGATGATCTCAACGATGCGCTGCCCGGATCGAGTGGCTGCATACTATCTAAGGATTGTAATCAGCATCATAAACAATCTTACCACCGTAACCAGGGCGTAGGAACCAAGATTGAATACTTCACTAACTTTATCGAGACCAAGCTAGTTAACCGGAAACTCTCAAGCTTCGAGGTCAAGGAAGTACTAATAATAACTGAAGTGGTTACAGAGAGTACGTCCTGTTATAGTAACAGGAATAGGAACTGGAATATCTATAGCTATAAGCGGCCACCGACCCAGTTGGATGAAGTGCAGACATGCGTCGAGCACATCACGACTAACACCAGCACAATAGTGTCAATAGGGGCCAAAACAGTAACCTCAAACGTGATAGTGACAGCGATATACCTATAGGACCTAACAAGTTGCGGCGCTGCGTAGATCCTGTGCCAATCAGGGACGTCGCGGTGATCAAGTCGGTGTTCGACACCCTCACTTAGACCGTTTTTAATGTGGTTGACGTCTGAGTGTATGTGTTTGCGGGTGAGAAGATGTACCTGACATTGTTTACTATTCCTCTGTGTTTAAGACCTTTGTAATTTGTTTAATGAAGCTATATTTAACTAAAAACCTAGTCCCTAATTACTACTAAAACTCCTTTAATTAACTTTTCTACTAAATACTATTAGCTTATTTAACTTTTTCCTCTTATAATCTCTTTAAATAACATAATTACCTTACTAATTGACTTATCTTTAATAATTTAAAATTATTATAATATATACTTAAGCTTACTTTTACCTTATTACTTTAAATACTTTATTAACCTCTTTTTTATTACCTTTAAATAGCTTATTAATAATCTTATAATACTTATTTTTTATATATTTAAATTTTTTACTTATAAAGATAGTCTATATAATATGCAAGCAAGACAAACAAGCAAGCAAGACAGTATACTATATAGCTAGAAAAGCCTACCTTATGCTCCCTTAAAATCTTAAATAAAATAGCTACAAATTTAGAAAAAATATAATTAAGCTTAGTATATATAGTAATTATAAGAAATGCTTTTATTAGACTTTTAACTATTTTATTTTATATAGAAAAGCTTAATTATATATTATAAAATTTATTTTTAATTAAAATAATATAAATAAAATAGTAAAAACTCTAAGAAAAATATATTATAAAGATTATATAGTTACATATTATATACTTTAGTCTAAGCCTTTTTAAGCTTAAATCGACCTTTCTATAGGCATTTAAAAACCTGCCATTAAGGTAAAAAGTAAGGTATCTTGCTTACTTGTTTGTCTTGCTTACTTATTATATAAGTTATAACTTTTATAACTAAATATAATAACTTTTAAAAAGACTTTACTATTAAATTCTTAATTTTAATAATTATATATAAGCCTTAACAGTAATTATATTTACATAACTTTTTATAATATTTAAAATAATTATAATAAAAAATACTTTAAATTAAAAATATAATATTAATTCCTTTAGCTAGCTTATTACTTATTAATAATTAAGTATTATTAATAAAAGTTATCTTAATAGTAATTTATATATATATATATATATTATACTTTATTATATTTTAAAAAGTTAAGTTAAATTATATAAAAGGAAAAATAATAGGCTTTTTATATTCTATTAAAACTAGATTTCTTACTTATTATAATAACTAATTTTATAATTTAAAGCTCTATTTTAGGCAGCAGGGAGGGCAATAAGTATATTACTTATATATATTAATATATATTCCTTGCCTTTATGTTTAGGCTAAAGCTTCTTTTAACCCCTTAACTCTATTACCTTACCATAGTTCACTGTTCTAAATAATAATTGCTCTTAGTATTGCACATCTAGTGCATAAACCTTAAACCAAAGAGGCCCTTGAATAGTGGGAGGCATATTGAGCGTAGTGCTGTTACAATTAGTGGATTGTTTTACAACCTTGAGTTTCCCTACGTACATTAACGTCACATCTAGATCAACAGCTGCTTCTTAAAGTAATCTAATACAGGCGTGGGAGCATTAATATTAATAGTGCCTTGTGTTAGCGTAGCTATTCTACTATCTATTCCCAAGTCTACACAAATGTACAAAGGCAATATTATATGAATCCATTGGTGCATTCATAACCATGATCTCCCTGGCCTCTAACCCCGGCCGCGAGTTGATATCCGTCACAATATTGTTCATCATTCTTCAGCAATACTTGATCCGTTACATCTGTGCACACAAATGAGCTATCAGTCAATGTCGACGAAACCAGTGCCGTGCCCCTCGAAGCGCTTCATTAACAGCTTCCAAGACGTCTACTGTAATCCTTTTAATCCAGATAACAGTTCAGCTAAGCTCACAGGCATTAGTTCCAAACCTTACTCATCCAATTTAGCGCTCTCATAAAATTATTTCTAGAGCCTCTCCAGCAAATCACTCAAGGCATCGATGTAGACACGACCGCGAAGTGGAAATCCCATGCCGACCCAGCAGGTAACAGATCCATGACACTTTGACAGAGCAGTCATGCGGTTTTAAGATCTGCGCAATAAGCATAACGCGTGGCTTGGCCATTGAGAGACTTGAGGAGCAAAAAGAGTCACTCTGAGACGTAATTGCACAATTCCTCAAAGTCGGTTAAAATGACCAGACATGATATCAACGGTAATCGGATGCCTGGTCATGAACATGTCGACAAACGAATCTATTCTCTTCCCGCAATCCTCATGTACCATTCTAAGGGTAGTCGTTATTTTAGGCGGGGTACTCGAGTATTCCCAAGGTAAATTAAATGCATGATACTCTTTGTTCTTCAATTGAAGACCCCGGATAATTGCCAACAGAACTGAGCCGACCGTTCTGTAATAAAACCTCTTGCAAATTCTCCCAAGCGTTGCAAATATGTGAAAAAGGAGAGCTGTCGATGTGACTGGTAAAAAAGATTCAATGCCGTTTTGCCCCTGAGGTGTTGATCGCTGGAGGATCCGTTAGCTGAGTACCTTGTAACATTGGTTGGTAAAGTGCCGCTACCCTCGCTGGAAGAGCAACGATAAACATCACAAGTATCCCACCGAAGAATCAAGGTTGTCTCTTCTTGGGCCTGAGAGGTTATAAAGAACACCTAAGATGTGGTGGTGGTTGCAATTGGCTAGACCTTTGGAAAGACCTTTCCTTCTCACCGATTTACAAGATTGTAGCTTTCTCTTTCAGCAGAATTAAACGAGCTAACTTCATGCCTACAGGAATGATATCTCTGAGTAATAAGTCCTCCCATTTGTTAAGGTGATCTTGCGCTCAAAAGCCTCTCCACACTTGTCTTCTAACAGTAAGAAGGGATTGGACTAAACGACATTAATAATGAAAAGAATAAGGAGCGAGCCAAATTCAGTGATTTACAAGAGAAACTCGCATTTTGAAGGCTGTCCTTGTCACTGAATCTTCCGCAAATTTATTCAAGAGGTGAGCGCTCCACCTCTCATCGACTTACCTGGATTATAATATATACATCAGTCTGCAAGCTGAAGACGCTCTGGCCGTAAGAGCGTGTACAGTTAAGCTTGCTGGAGGCAATGCGGGTGCCCGGGAGAACGGGGTTAGCTTCAAGAAGGGCTACCTTGCTTGTTTGGTAGATGAGGCCCTGGAATTAAAGCGGGCGTCTGCGGCAGTCTAGTCCTATAAGCCAGTGAGAGAGTATAATAAGCCACTAAATGAGGTCTAAGCCAACTCGGAGTTAGGTCCTCTTACGATCCATGACATTGTCTTAACTAAATAACAGGACATGGGCTTCTTAAATCGTTACTCGTGTTTTAACGTTTTCCCGTTCCAGCCACTGCATCAAAAGTTGCCAACTAAGACCAGGAAGCTATTTAATTTCAATCTTAACAGACCTTATATTAACATTCATCAGGTTAATGCTCAAGGCGACCAGTCCAATGCCTTATTTGTTTATCACGAAAATCTTATCAAGATGTTACATAAATAAGACTCAGGGAAAAGCTTATTTAACAATATAGACTTCAGCGCATTAAAAAGCATAAGATCTATTAATACCACTGCAGCCAGCAGTAATAAATAATACGTCGTTATAGCAATAAGTATATTAACTAGGGGCCGGTGGCGTAATACTAGGCATTACTAAGTTAATCCCTTTAGCTAAACCTTAAATGCTAAAGTTTATAGGTTTAAATATTAAAGCTCTTAACCCTCCTGGAGAAAATTAACTAAGGGAAATTATTATTAAATTAAGGTCCTAATTACTTAATAAAAATTATATATTATAATAAGCAGGTTATAAGACTAATAAGGTTTAAAATAAATTTAAGTTAATTATAAGTTATAAAAAAGTAAGATTTGTTTTTATATAATTTTTTAATATATAATTCAATTAATTAAATTAAATTATTAACTTAATTTTTCTTTTTCTTTATTAATTAACTAAATTATTAAGTTATTAATAAAAATCTTATAAATAAGCATACTAAATATCATTCATTAGCGACACCATTAACTTATTTAAGTTAAACAAATCTATCTTAACTATACAAGGCAAGCGTTAAGGGATATATTTATCCCCCTCTGGGGAGCCTTTCCGCCAAAGCCATTAGCTATAGTACAGTAACATCTTGGGTGCAGTGTCGTACAATTCAGAGCCCCAAGAGGAGTTGCGATATATACTGACCTCACCTTCTTGCTTATGCAATACTTGTCTCCTTTACCCTACAGAAATACATAATGGAGAACACGAAGTGACGTGTCAGCTAGGCACAGTTGTGGTGGTCCATCTTGACTTGTTTCCTTCCGATTGGTTCGCTTTATTTGAGCGGTGAATAACTCACTAATGAATAAGAGATATATTGTGGAGCAAATGCGGAGCCAGCCTAGCTCACCGTTCGAACTTTAAGAGCTTAACAATCTCGATTTCTTCTAGTAAGTCTTTCTTCAGGACCCTTCGATCATGATTCCTAATGCGAGAGCATGGGACATCCGTTCAGAGATATTAATCCCCGTAGCCGATGGTAGACCGTCTACTCCTCCAAGAACATGGAACATTGACTCAGCAGTATTGCAACCCATGCCTGCTGGTGATGGACCGTCTACTCCACGTGCCACCTCCGAAGACAATACGCTCAGGCGATGGCTTGAGTCAACAAGCGCAAACCTGGACACTTCAATACCCGATGAACCAACACCATCGTCTTGTCATTACGAAGCTATACCCGATACCAGCCACTCTGTCGCCTTCAACCGTAAATCTGATCCTTATGCAAGAGGCATATATCTGATTCTTGACGTCTCACGAAGTCGTGCTTTGACGTGTCACAGAGGTCAACTACGTCTCGAGGCCATCGACCTAGACGACCGTCAACGATACATCTCAGAACAAGCTCAATGGCTCTGCACTGAGCGGAATGGCTTCAAGGGTTTCAAGAATGTTGCGGAAGGAGGGTTCTTGGGACACGATTTGTGGTGGGATTTCTACGCCAAAGCTTCGTGTCATAGCCTTTGGGAGAGCTTCACTATTGCTAGGCGCGGAGACGATCTGTATTGGATACAGATTCTTCATTGGTGGACGCAGTGGCAGGTGTCTGTGCAGGGTGATGGGAGGGGGGTCTTTGCGGAGCGGGATGGAGGGACGTTATGGGAGTTCGTTGAGATTATTATCTTCTGAATGGGGAAATTGCTGCGTACTGATATTTTCTCCGGATCGACTAAGACTACTAATGGTGCTGAAAGAGTGAAACAGATGTGAATATTACGTGTAAACGTCAATGCGTCATAAGTTAGCACGTATTGGAGTGAGATGACATGATTTATAATGAGAAAGGGCATTGTAATGAAGCATCTTGTGTCAATAGTGATATTTTAGCTTGATGATGTCAGAGCTAAAAATAAAAAAGATATGTTATGTGCCTGACTAGAGTCTTGGCAGAGAATGGATATAAAAGCAATTTTGCTCGCGTACATAGGAGTTTGTAATTAGTTGGATTCTAAATCTAGAATCCAAGTAGCCTGCAAAAGCACCAGCAATCTATGTAGCTTATGAATCTAAGATAACAAGATATCAAGTGATTCACGAGAATGATATAGAATTAGAGGATGTCTTGAGATGTAGATACTGCATTTATAACTAATCTTTCTACACTCACAGCTTGCGTGCGATGTTGTTAAATATATTATTTAAAAGTATTTTTTATTTTAATTATTTTAATTAATTTTATATATTTATTATAACCTCCTTAGAGGCTTATATTACTTAAAGAAATAGTAGCTTAACTTAGAATTACTAACTTATATGCCACAGAACCTATAAATATAAACTTCTATTAGGTTAACACAGCCCTTCCATGGAGAAATACAACGCATTTCGCATTTCTGTTTTCCAAGCCTAGATAGAAATACAATGCATTTCTAGAAGGGGGATTTAAGGCAGAGATAAACACATGCTAATTAGTACAGAGGTAGAAATACAACGCATTTTAAGAGGTACATACTTAAGTAGGGTCGCCCATCTTGCAACGCTATAAGGCCTCTTTCTAGTGCATAACCATTATTCTTAACCTCCCAGTTCAGCTCAACGCTGCGATTCAGATCGGCTGCCACTGCGCAAGCCAGACTGCAGGCATCCTAAAGAACAACCTATATAGTACCCATCTATTTATTAAGCATTAGACCACGCCTTCAGATACCACTTAGCATAAACTTCAAACAAGTCACTTTTATCGCATCAGTCATCATGTCCAAGTCCGCCTGCATCACCAGGCTTATCTGGAAAGTCTACCCACTGAAGTAGTTGTGGATGTTCTATGCTGTTTTCCGGGTTTCTGCTTATTGCTGTCTGCTATCGAGGCATGCAGATACATGCGAAATATACATCAAGAACACAGTAGACCCATTCTTTTTACAACCCTTCGGGGCATCAGGGCCGCTGTGTCATCCGATGGCCTCATCCCTGTTTCTTCCGATCCCTTTTGCTGAGCTCGAACGCATAATAGTTTTCAGGGTGTCGTGGCAAGTCTGTATCAAGAAGTATAGTAGGAGGCCCTGCGTTATAGAAGATACTTATATCAGTTATACTTGGCTATCATGAGGAACATTGCGGCAAGGGAAGATGCTTAAGCTATCTATCATGCCGCACTTGAGCTCACTAAAGATCGATGTTTCTCACTTCGCCTCATTTCTACCGAGAACAAGTCTTCGCTTCTAAAACTTAGACCAGCTATCGCAATGTCGATCTTTTCCAAGAAATACACAAGTACTGAGACCTCTTTTCAAGCCATGACCGACTTGACAGCATCGTCTCTTCCTAGATGTGCTGCTCCAACAACCGCACCATCATCGTCTATAAACGCTTTATCACCAAATGCCAGTGCAATCTCCTCGAGTGTATGGCCTGCCGTCTCAACATAATAAAAGTATGCAAGTCCAACGGATATTAGACAGAAGCCCGCAATGATCACGTAGTAGTATCCTCCAATGCCATCGAATGCGTCCGGGGCCGACATACCGATGGCAAAGTTGAACAGCCAGTTGGAGCATGTAGCAAGCGCCATGCCTTTGCTTCGAGCGCGTAGTGGGAAGACTTCAGCAGGTAGCAACCATGGAATTGGGCCCCAGGTGAAACCGTAGATAGCGTTGTAAATGACAACGAAGGCGTAGATGCCGTGGGCTCGTGTGTTAGAGTTGGGGATGTGGGCTTCGGTAAAGGCACAAACGATGCAAAGGGCGATGGCCATAAGGATACCTGTATCCGTCTATCGTTAGCTTGGTATAGAACATGCCAAGGATGTGTACTGACCACCTAGAATCAAGAGCGGACGTCGTCCCCATCTATCAGCCAACCACCAAGTAAGAACCGTAGCAGAAACATAGGGGATAGAGTTGGCAGCTGTGTAGAGCAAGGACTTTTCCTGGCTCATACCGGCCTTAGCAAGGGTCGTAGGTAGATAGAACGAGATGACATTGATGCCGTTGAGCTGAGCAAACATCTGCGCCGTAATGCCAACAATGGTACGTTTGCGATAACGAGTAAACATCTCTAGCCAAGTTGACTGTTTCAAAGTTGCTTCGTAGCGCACAGCCTCGTCAATCTCCAGCATGACCTGCTGGACGTGCTCAGCTTGCGTATTCCCATCTGGGGTGTGCAGATCCGCGACTGTTTGAAGGCATTCTTTTGCGAAACCGTTGCGCGCCAGCCAGCGGGGAGTCTCGGGAAGAATAAAGGACATGGAGAAAAGGATAAATGCAAGAGCCATTTGGATAAAGTAGGGTCCCTGCCATGACTCGCTTTTGGGAATGAGATAATAGAAGCCAAGGTCAACCCAGGTCGAAAGTGCGTAGCCGCCAATGAGGAATGTATATTCGACACCAACCATAAGGCCACGGCGGTGCGGTGCGGCGATCTCAGTCTGGATGACTGGAACAGTCATGGAAAGGAAGCCAACGCCCAAGCCCTGCAGAGTGCGACCAGCAATGAATGTCTTGAAACCAGGGGCAAAGGCTTGAATAAAGGCGGTGGCAAAGTAGATGAAACCGCCTAGCCGTACACATCTCTTTCGTCCTATCATGTCGCCGAGGCTGCCAGCAATAAGGGACCCGAGAGCCGCCGAGACTTGAAGGCATGCTACGAGGATGCCTGTAATTGAAGGATCGATATTCTCGCTCGTTCCGTCCGCACCGCCGTATTCAGAGAAGATCCTTGAGAGAAACACTGGATTGACTAGAAGACCGGCCACGATACCTATTTGCGGTGTCAAGATAGAGTAAACGCCACCATAGAAGAGCTATAACTCACCCTGATCATAGCCGAACAAGGCATCACCAAGACTTCCAAATGCGCAAGTCATCCAGAGGAGAGGCTTCCCTTTAAAAGGATAGCGCGCATGAACGCTCTTTGGCTTCAACTTGGACTCAAGCCATGAGACTTCTGCGATGGGGAGGTCCTCGCGGTTGGCGCGAGTTGGAGCAGTCTCCATAAGAGTCGGTGACGGTGGCTTATCCATGATGTTTAGTTCGAAGGTCAAAGAATCTTATTGTGATAGAAGAGAGGAGTAAAATGCGTACTCAAGATTTTCCTCCGCAAAATGGAAAGTCTGGGGCCCCAGATTATATAGAGTTGAGCATGCTCCTACCTCTCCCGCATCAGGATCAGACAGTCGCCATGACTCTGGGGCAAACCCCAGCTTGACTAGAAGCATGAGTTTGGTGCTTAGCGGGGAAAGTGTCATGGGTTGAAGCAATACAACGTTTGCCTGCAACGCTAAGTCATGACTCGCCATGATTCTAGCCCCTGCTTAGCCGTCAATCACCGAGCTAGATAGTTGGGAGAATTGGACGGAGAGTGGGTCTGGTCGGTAAGACTAGTCAATAGTGGAACCCATTGGAGAGAAGTAACATCCGCCGGAACCGTAAATGCAAGTAATGACGGTCACTCTGGAGTCTACTTCGGAACCGTACCTTTTTCGCTTTGGTAGGCACTGGGCGAGGAGTAGAGCATGCGTTTGTCATGTTATTCATTTATTATATATTGTTTTCTTCATACATTCAACCCGTCCATGTAGAGTCCCAAAGCCAGAATAATCCATTCGCTCCATAGTCTACTCCATTTCCATGATGTTCCAGTGACTCTGTAGGTTCTTGAAAGCCGCCAGGCGGGAACCATATCTCCTGCTGGGGCTGCGGTACCGGTCCTTGCTGCGAAGCTTCATTTCTTGGAACCGACATGAAAATGGGTTGAATAGAATCGTCATAGAATGGTGGAATAACTGGAACAAATGATATTAGTCAGTTGGGAACACTGCCAGGTAAGAAAAGTTAGCTCACTCTGTTGCACCGACGCCAAACTCTCGTTCAATCGCTGCACAATGCTCAGATTTGATCCGGCTGATTTATCGGTCCGTTGATCCGTATTCAGCGCCGCTTTCAAGGGAAGGCGAAGAGTGTGCTCCATCGGTATGGGGCTATGATTCGTGTGATCTCGAAGTGGATGATCCATGTGGCTGTTCATGGCCCCTGACTTGGATGGCGCCGGACCGAGCATGGCTTCTCCCTCTCGCCGAAGGAGTAGGAATATGAGATTTTTGAGTACAACACTGCTCTGGCTAGCCAACGCCGACCGCTGACCCAGTCGCTCCTGCAGTTGAAATACTCGCGTGATGGTCCGCTTGACTGCTTGGGCAGGATCTGAAAGCGGATCAGAGAGGGCCACCAGAGTCAGCACAATTGCCGCGTGAAATAGGTTCATGGCCATAAACGCTACAAGGTGGCTGTCAGTGGCGAGTTCGGCGAGGTATGGCAGTTCGGTAATTCGCGCAGTCCGAACTGCTGCGCTCCACCAATACTCAGAGCTTGCATTTGCTTCAAACCTGGGCGACTGGCCGCTCTGGGATGGGGAGTTGCTGCTGTGTGGAGGTAAATGCTGCGCCCTTGTCTGAGCCAAGGGGGAGCCAACATCAGTGACGCTGCCAGGAGTCTGAGTAGACAGGTTCTCAATTTGACGAGCCAGAAATGGCCGATGTAGCACAATCATTACGTTGTCAAATGTCAACTGTAGCGAGAGAGACTGTAACTGATGAGCCCGAATGTCCCATTCGGTAGTGCTTGGGTGATAGTCTCGATTCAGGTCCAAAGACAGGAATGATGGCAAATCGCGTCGCCAAGCCAACAGCTTTTGCGTCACATCATTAACTAGCGACCGATACTCGGCGTCGAAATGCTGACCGGCTGACTGTGCTGACAGAGAGCCGAATATTGTCTTCAAGGCAGGGGAAGCCAGGAGGTATAGCGTGGTCAATTGGGTCTGGTACGGTGAATATCGGACACCGAGCGACCCTTGTTCAATGGACTCGGCCTTAAAGAAGGGGGACTCGATGAACTCAGCGGGCATCCCCACGTTGCAATCTTCATCATTAATACTTAACGGTCGGCCGTACGAGATGGAAGCAAACCTGTATCGTCAGCATCGCTCAGAGAGTGGGGGTGTTTGGTTTCGTACCTATCCCAGGTGTAGATGGTCCACCATACTCTTTTGCGCTCTTCGACATCATCGACGGATCCACGGCTTAGATTACGATGCAAACCCATAGCGTGCGATATCTTGATAGTTGCGCCCAACAGGGCAAACGAAAGGTTAGGCCGACCATGGTAGACATGATGTGATCCCAGCAGGATGAGGGTCTGAACAGCGGCAATGGAGTGTTGGTCCATGACGTGAACAAGGCGAGACTCAACAATCCTGAGAAGCTCATCGCTCCAGAGGCGCCATTCTTCGCCCCCTTCTTGATCGGGCTTTTTTGACCTATACCACGCTGCCATGCATAGAATAATTGAGAGTAATGTCAAGAATGGCGCCTCTGCGGGATACGCGTAACTATCTTTGATAGACTCTAGGCGTTTGCGAAATCTTGGTTCGTAGATTACCAGCGAGAACCAGTGGACAGATTCGAAATAATCTTCTAGTAGTGAATCAATCTCATTCTGTTTGGGAAACCGGCCACCCAAAATGGTGGATATCGGTAAACGTTGTTCGCTGGACCTCATCAGAGGAGTCCTGGCACCACATGCCCCGTCTGGAATAGCGGAGCATTGGTGTTCGTCGATGGTCTGGCTTCCTAGTCTGTAGATCTAACATGACGTGTGAATTAAGATTAGGCAAGCAACGAGGGCGGAATCCGTACTTTTCGAGCAAAGCCCATGGCTGATTCTGACTCTCCATAATCTAGCGGTACCCGCGAGCCGGGCCGCTCTGCTGACTCCGGAACATTTTCTTCCTCAAAACTCTCAGCAGAAGTATTTTCACGGCTAATTGAAGGCTGTTGAGTGGGTGGCGCTGAGGGGGGCAGGGCATTGCTGCTGCTCCTAGATTGAAGGCGTCTTTGATGTGTTATTGTCAGACTTATCACAAGGAATGCAGATAGTCATTCACTTACTGTCGGACCTTCGCTCGACGACGGTGACTGTTGGATCTGGCTCTGCCCTTGCATGCTTCATCCAACGGCGCTGGCTCGCATTCTACATTGGCCCTTACGCAAAGGGAGCAAGGCCGGAAAGAATCACACTATGTGACTATCAGCCTGATTGGCACGTCAAAAAGAAAAAGGAACATACTCTGCTTTTGTTCCGACGGCATCTGCGACATGCATTGGAAACCCTCGTAGGAAGCTGGCGGTTGGCGACCGGTACCGAGGAGCCATTCTCCGCCGGCGGTTCTGTAGGGTTTGGCATAGCAATAGCAATTGTCAAGCCGACACGGATCGGATGGAGAGCTTTCTGGGGCAACTACTGCAATTGTTCACTCCACGTAGGAGATGTGTAGCGGATCGGAACTTGCCATACAGTCATGGAAATGTTCATGTTGAAAGGTTACGGAACCGTGAGCCTTTACAGATCCAAGCCAGCGAGCAGCAACATTAGCTTCCGGCCGTACAGCAGATTCTTAGACGGCTGCCTGGTCAAGGCAAAATGGAGAAGCGCTATGAGAACATTATGACCAACCGTTTCGGACCGACTTGTCACACAGATGTTGGGCTAAACGGTTCCGAGGCTGCGGGGATTTTCCAAGACCCGTTGGCCTGGGGCCCTAGCCCCATACCAGCAAGCTAGCTTAGTCATAAAAGTGTGAGTCTCTCAGATATGTTTGGCTCGCCTAAGGCCCTAGTCCCACAGAAGTCGACAGGTACAAACTTGGACTTGGATACTCTAGGTATAGCGCTCCCACACAGTACAATGTTCGCTGGAAGCTCCGAAGGTATCCGCTAGGAGAGGGTTCCGCCGGATGATGCGATGGACAGTGATGAAAGAAAAAGAATGCGGAGAATATTCTCAGGGTCGATTGAGGGTAGCATCAAGATATACTGATAAATCCCGGGCTGGAGTGTACTTCGTACTAGAAATCCGGGGTACAAAGGCTTGACTTTCTACATATCACCTTGGGCAATCATCAAGTTTGTACTGAAAGTGCCTATACCTGTCCGAAATTCCATTGCTTCTGTTTCACTAAAGCTTCAAAACTGCTCAACTCTCCGACCGAGATTTATCAGCTGCTCTACCTCATATACTCAACGCCATGCCTGCAGAAGTGACAATTCAAGACGACGGTCCGCCCAAATCGAGAAATGTGAGCTACATACCCCTGAGATGTTTGTTGACTTGAGCAGCCCAGGTTGGCTGACACAAAAACTTTGCAGAATCTCTCCTTTTTCCTCAACAAACCCCACGAAGTCAAATTCGCCCAGCGGCCGATACCCCAGCTCTCATCACCCAACGATGTCCTTGTTGCCGTAAACTACACGGGCATCTGCGGCTCAGATGTGCATTACTGGGACCACGGAAGAATCGGCCAATTTGTTGTGCAAGAACCTATGGTCCTGGGCCATGAATCTGCCGGAACCGTCGTCGAGGTCGGCAATGCCGTGAAGAGCCTTAAGCCAGGCGATAGAGTTGCTCTTGAGCCCGGATACCCTTGTCGGCGTTGTGGCAACTGTTTGGCGGGTCGATACAACCTCTGTTGCGATATGGTCTTTGCGGCTACGCCTCCCTACCATGGAACTCTGACAGGCTTTTGGGTCGCGCCATACGATTTCTGTTATAAACTGCCCCAGACTGTTTCTCTACAAGAGGGAGCCTTGATCGAACCGCTTGCGGTTGCAGTGCATATCATCAGGCAAGGCCAAGTAACACCTGGCAATAGTGTTGTGATTATGGGAGCCGGGCCAGTTGGCCTTCTCTGTGGAGCAGTTGCCAAGGCATTTGGTGCAAGCAAAATTGTCGGTGTCGATATTGTGCAGTCAAAGCTCGAATTTGCGAAGGAGCTGGCTTTCACACATACACATCTATCTCAAAGACTTTCGGCCGAAGACAACGCGACGGCTCTACTTGAGAATTGTGATCTTGGACAAGGCGCTGACGTTGTGATCGATGCAAGTGGAGCAGAACCTTCTATTCAAACGAGCCTATATGTCGTGAAGACTGGAGGTGTGTATGTTCAGGGTGGCATGGGCAAAGCGGATATTGCATTTCCTATAATGGCGATGTGCCAAAAGGAGGTCACAGCAAAGGGCAGCTTCCGATACGGGCCTGGTGACTATCAGTTAGCTATTGAACTTGTTGCTAGTGGTCGAGTTCAGGTCAAGAAGCTCATCAGTGGTGTGATGGATTTTGATCAGGCTGAAGACGCATTCAAGAAGGTCAAGCAGGGACAGGTGGTGAAGATTCTGATTGCTGGGCCTAATGAGCCTGCGCAGGCGAAACTACACCCAGCGCTCAATGTCAATGGCGAGGAAAACGGCGCATATACCGGGAATGGGAGCAAAGATTATTTTTTTTAATTAAATATAATAGCTTTTCTTATTACTTTTATAAGCTTAGCTATAAATAAAAAGTATCTTTTTAAGATATTAAAAAGGGTTTTTACTATTATTAAAAAGCTACTTTTACATTAGTAAATAAGTAATAATCTAAACCAGGGTTAATTCTATTATAATTAATATTATTATTATTTAATATATTTATTAAAATAGAAATTAAGAAAATTACTTCTTATCTTTTATTCATTTAGCCAGAAGAATAAAAATTGTCCTTGCATCTAGGAAAATACTTAGTTTCAACTTGTTCTCAGACCAGTCTGGGCGTTGTAAACAGTCCAGACGCGGCTCTCTCAAATCTTCAGCAATAACTGCCGTGCCCACTACCTGCAACTTCCACCGATGCGTCTCATCGTATGCTCGCACTATAATGGCTCTTCGCGGCCACTCGAGCCAGCAAACGAGATCTCCAACGCGTACATCGCTGGATGAAAGACCCAGTTTCCAGGGTGCCTGATATTGAGCAGACATTTGAAACAGACGTGAATTATTGTCAGGAGACTGTGCTGCAGGTGAAGGGTCCTTCTCAGCCAGACCATAAGACTTGCTTTGCAATCCTCGAATCCAGCCTGATATTGTGTTTCCGGGGCGGTTGCTGATTTTCAAAAAGCCGTGATCTCCTTCCTGCCATTGTACAATGCTCCTGCAGTCGAAGCATTTCTTTGACAGGCTGATATCATCGAGTTCTATAATTGTATGAATCATTGTATCGCTCTCTCTGTGGGCATTACCAAGATCATTCCTATAGTTCGCTTGAACCTGTTCTATCCACGTATCCACCGCGTTAAGATTTCCAACGATGTCGAGGGGATGCGGACCAACATATATGACACACCCTAGCACCGCACCTTGCAGCTTAAATGCTTTGTAGTGCGTTGTGTCTGTGATGATTGTGTCGTCTCCATCTCTAGGTGCGTATGGCCGCAGGATCTGCTGCAAGGGGTCGCATTCCGCCCCCATGAGTAGAAACTTGACGAGGTGCCCGATGGATATAATATCCCTATCAAAGAATAGGCTGTGTCGATTCATAAATTCCATCACGTCGGTCCAAATCTCAAAGACCGACTTGTTATAATCGATAGAAAAGCCCCGAGCGTCTGAAGCCATTCCTACAAGGCCATATACCTTATCTTTCCTGTCTTGGCAATCTGCTTCTTTATGGTCCTGCAGTAGCTGAAGCAATGTGTTTGACCCGGTATATTTCTCCTCTCGCTGCCGTTCCAACCTTATAGGGCCTTTAGATCCAAAGTTGTGCATGGTGATGAACTGCGTAAACTGTTTCCATTCTGCCGCCGAGTTTCCAAAGCATACTTTAATCTTCTGGGCTAGCCCAATCTCCTGGATTATCCACAGGCGCTTCCAATAATTGTCATTGTACAACTTCTCTGCGAGGCTGCGTTCAGCTGAGTCGGATTGGGGTGAATCTGTTGGTAATTCCGGATCGACTTGTTCATCGGAAGGTTTATAGTGGCCAAGTCTTTGCAAGTCAGGCAAAGCTGCTTCGTATTCCGCATATCTCTTTCCCAGCCATACGACAACGGTCTGAGCTCTGAAGTAGATATGGTGCATCATGCGAACCTGTCTATTCCGTTCGGGAATGTCTTTCTGGTTGATACATATTGCGTCAATCCAGTAATCCGTGTCAGGAGCGTGTTTCCGAAGGTAGTGCAAAGCGTCCCAAAGGTTTTGCCGGACGTTGAAGCCGACGCCATTGAGGGTAATAGTTTGCCCAGCTTGACCATCTCCCCACATGTATGAGAGCGCGTCAAACTTGGGCCTGTCACCGAAGGTGACTTCGAACAAGCTGCCGGTGATGGGATCACCATCCTTAGCTGCTTCGATTCGCAACAGCCGTGTGCAATCTTGATGTTGGCTCAGAGGCTTATACAGAGACCAGGATTCGCTCAGGACTTGCGTTTGATTTGTCCCGTCCTTGGATTGACGCATGACCATGATGCTATCCTTCATTCTAGATGAATTGAACTTGAACAGTGTAAGTTTGTTGCAGGAAGGCGGGGTAATTGTCCTGCGATATTAGGCAGCACAGGCAGTTATTTCACCAGCGCTTACATGCTTGTTGTTTCAATTGCTGAACCAATCAGGAGAGCATGTCATCAGTGCATATTTCCCAACTGTTAGCTGCATAAAGTGTGAACTTGTTGGTAGGAAGCGCCGAGGGAATATATGAAGCAGCAATGGCAGCTTGTCACCGAGGATGAGGATATTGAAGAGAGTGAGGAGAACCAGCTCGAGATCGGATTCATGGGCGAACCAAGAGAAACCAGAAGTGACTGCCGTGGTATTTCGAGCAATTTACAAGATGGAGCGACGGCCCGTCGTATGATGGCATTACTCTATCTTTATTTCCAAGCCGTAACTGAACTTCCCACAGTTCACAACATTCAAACTTAAAACCTTCTATATAGTGAATATTAAATCTAACAGGGGGGTAGACGACGGCGATGCGACGCGTTTCGCGTTTCGGATTTTTGGTTTCATTAGTGTGGTACGCGAAACGCAATGAGCTTCTATAAGGGGGAAAATGGTGCGAAAACGGTCGACGGTCATTGGCCAAAAACAGGCAACTCAATGCGTTTCTGCTGATAATTCTTGAGTAGGGTGATAAACTAATCCGGGTTTTTGAACAGAGGCGCAGCCAACACGAGGTTAGGAACGGCGATAACGTGACAGGTACCGGACCTGCATTCCACCAATCGTGTGCTTGAAAGAGCGCTAGCTAAACGGGTTTTCCCTTCTTTTCCATATACCACCTTCTGATCAGGCTCTGAGCAAAGTTCAAGCCAAAGTAGGGTTTTCGCTCTTCATTAGTTGACTTTGCTTCTTTAAACAGGGACGAAAGATTGCGTGGTATCGCTGCGAATTTGTGTCTCCAAACCCAATACTTAATTTAGCTTATCTCTTTGAGCGGCACAAGCCTCCAACAGGTCACTCGACCCACTTGACCCCACGTACCAGAAGGCTACAGAGACTTTATATAGAAGCAGCTATATAAGGGCCTGTATTTCTTTGTAACTTAGCTACTTCTATAGTAGTATAGCCTCTTTTCCCCCTACTTTTAACTGGCTATTAATTTTCTATATCTCTTCTTACTGGCTGTTGGCCTCTTAGATACAAACTGGCCTGTATTGGCAGAATTACTTCTTTTAATTGGCCTGATATCCCTGTCTTGACCGCTTTGGAGGCTTGTGCCGCTTAAAGAGATAGTAACGCATTGCTGGCGGGAGGAAATAATGAGTCATTTCTGCTCGCATGCATCACATGTTAGAGCTTTGTTGTAACGATTTTTTGTTGGCCAAGGCCGCAGTCCCCATAGAAACAGAACGCTTGATTGGCTAGGGTACCCCATCCTGGTCACTGTTGGTACTGTTCGTGTTGCACATCTTCCTGGTGAGAGAGGAGAGAGGAGAGAGGAGAGAGGAGAGAGGAGACAACAAAGCCACAGCACAATGAATCATTGGCTACTGCTTGTGGTTACAAATAGGGCGTGTCTGCGGGGTTAAATCCTACCGCCCCTCCGTCCCTTGGGGACAACTCTAGGTCAAATATCTCCTCTAACCTCAACACCTTCTAGCTACGAAAGACCGCAGCGCGCACCTGAAGCAGTTTAATGATTGGTAAAATGGCTACAGTCGGTGCAGACCCTGTCATACACGTCGATGTACGACCTCTTCTCCGCGACTTTGCACGATATGAACATGAGCTAACCCCCAAATCAAGGTTGACGACGATCAAGACTCAGCGGTCGAAGATGTATGGATGGATGGCTTCTTGGCTTACCCCTGATGTGTAGTGAAAGAATATAATTGCTGATACAAACGACGACATAGGACAATACGTCATCAACTGCTAGTGTGACCAGCTCTATCCTCAATTATCGATTCGAAAACGGGAGAACATACCACGGGTACAAGGACGGAAGTAGGTTGCACGCATTTATCCTTTGTAAGATTTCTAGGACTCACACCTTTTCCCACCTGCTGTAGAGTACTATATGCCCAATGACGAAACAGAAAACGACAGACTAGGTAATATAGAATGCTCCTCCACTGTCAAAGATGCTGACACTTGAACTTTTCAGACTTGCAGCACAATCTGTTCCTCCTGACTTTTGCTAACAAGCTTGGTCTCTCCCCGCCGAACCTTCCAGACTTCAAGACTGGCCGAGTTCTGGACCTGGGTACCGGTACAGGCATTTGGGCGATCGACTTTGCTGACGAACATCCCGAGGCCGAGGTGAGAGGAAGCACCTGCGCCTTAGAGCAAAGAGCGACTAAAACTAATAATTTGACTAGGTGATAGGGGTCGATCTGTCTCCTACCCAACCGGAATTGTATGAGATAAGTCCTCACATGGAACATGGATAACTACTCAAACTCGAGCAGCGTGCCTCCGAATGTAAAGTTCGAGATTGACGATATCGACGAGGAATGGACTTATTCTCTGCCATTTGATTATATTCACAGCAGAATGATGAACGTCTCAGTCAAGAACTGGCCAGAGTATTTACGCAAGATTTTCAAGTGAGTCATTTTATTGTTTGGTTAATAGGTCGGCAAGCCCTGATATGCATAGAAACCTTGCTCCGGGCGGTTACGCTGAGCTCCAGGACGTCGATGTAATGATGCAATCAGATGATAACACACTTACCCAAGATCATGCTCTTTGGAAATGGGGCGATTTTCTGTCTAAAGCTGGACAGGAGCACGGAACTCCTTTCATCGAGACTAAGCGACTGAAACACCTTATGACCGATATCGGGTTCGTCAATGTCAAGGAGACGCAATTCAAATGGCCGTCAAATCGCTGGCCCAAGGAGAAAAGATTTAAGGACCTTGGAGAGTGGAGCAACCTAAACACAATTAACCTTCTTAACGGACTTTCAATGGCTTTGTTTACAAGATGCCTTGGCTGGACCCCTGAGGAGGTTAATGTTTTCCTAGTTGATGTCAGGAAGGATTTAAACAATCCGAAAATCCATGCCTACTGGTCAATGTATTTTCTATCACCCCCTTTTTCTTCTTAATGTGCTGATACTTTGTTAGCCGTTCAGTTTACGGAAGGAAGCCTGAAGCTTAAGAATTGTGCGTAAGCGGATAGAGCTCTCTGGCGATGTATATGGAAAAGGCGGTATTGTTACTTTATATATAGCTATGGCATTCCCTCTCTCTTAATATTATTAACTTGATTCTTTAAGCTAATATTTAAGTTTTATAATTTCATATGTATAAATATTTGAAAAAATAGAAATAAATTCTTTTGTATTATTATGAATCTTTTATAAAAACATTTTTTAAAATTTAAAAAAGTCTCTTATTATAATAATTCTATAATATAAATATATCTCTTATGGCTAGAATTCAAATCTATTTATGAAGTTACTTTTAATATAAGGAATTTAATCTTTTATTCTGCCCTTTTATATATCTTGTGCCGAAATGATGTTCTTTACAAGCTCTGCTGCTCGATCTAGAGCCGCTTTAAATCGCTCTGCGCTCTTTACTGGACTGACAAAGCATATTTCAAGCCTATTGTTTGTTAGCGTATATGCTCAAAGAAACCGTCTCAGGACTATAGAGACTCACGAATCATCAAACACAGTATAATTCATCCATACAGACTCTGGGTGCGGCATGGTGAAGCCCGGATCTTCTGCCAGCTTTGTTTCCACCATCGTTTGCATAATCAGTTGCGGGTAGCCCCTCTTCCAGACGGGGTCGGAGAACAGTTCTGGCATCTCTTCATCCTTCTGATCCTGTGACATGACCTCGATCACATCCATCAGCCTGAAGTAGTTACGACCCTCGGTTCCCTTGGCGATTTGCGCATTGCAGTCGCGTGCTGCCTGTAGGAGTTTGGCGCGAGCCTCACCACGGGGGATAGCATCGTCAAGAGCGGCGTCGCAAAAGTCCATCACCGACTTCAGAACCACCTGCACAATCTCTGGACGGCCAAGGTGGAAATGCGCCGTCGATACGGTCTCCCAACTGGCTGGCAGGTAGCCAAAGTACAGTCGACTAGCAAGCTGGATTGTTAAGTCAACGGTCGCCTTGATGGGCGCGGAGTGACTGAGCAAGAGCGTTTTGCCAAAACAGTTGATGAGATGTGGGACGTATTGTTTTGTGGATGTGATGGCAAGGTAGTCTTGGCGGAGGATTTCAATGCGGCTATCAATGTCTTCTGTTGTCACCAAGGGGATCTCTTTGAGACTAGCTGGATCAGCAGCAATGCTACCGTCGCTTGATGCGGCATTCCTAGGATCAAGAGTGGTGATAGCATTTTGGAGTCTCTGGGAAAGCCGAGAAACTGTCATGAGATCAATCATGGAGTGCTCAAAGATGGTTGCCGAGCGCCCGTTGGCGGTGACAATAATCTGGGTGCATTTGTCGTGCCAGCGGTTGAAGGAGTCCCCAATGTAACCAGAGCGGACTCGGTCTGCGCGCGTGACCGGGCTATTGTCGTCAAGACACATGACGAATACAGAAGCTTCAATGGTTTCGAGATAAACTGCATTCCTGCTGTCCAAAGAGAGCAGTCTCTGCCGATTCTGAAAGACTGTCAGTTCAACTTCAAGTTGAAGCCCAAAACGCCACTTACCAATCCCCATGAATCGCGATTGTCAGTGGTCAACATGCCAGCCCAAGAATTGTCTTTGAAGTCCAAATCGACGATTGCTTGGTATGTTTCCTTGAGCATGTCATATGAAGCTGTCGTCTCCGCTTGCTTCAGCGGGATTTTGAAGAGATGTCCCTTTCGCAGTACGGCAACGTACTCATTGTCGGGGTACTTCATCATTTTATCACAGTCGACATTTGGCTCTCTTACGGCGTTGAAAAGCCAGGATAATGAGTGCCCACAGTTAGCCCTGGTACCAAGGAAATCAGGTTCCAGCCTGCCTGCGTCACGGTCGGCCTTGAATTCATACAACGCTGTAGTCAGTATAGCCGCCCGCTCCGCCTGGGTGTGGGCTATCGGGCTGTCAAAGTGCGTACCCAAGAAATTTCCAAAGGGTGCGAGTGGGTATCGACGCTTGAGATGCAAGGCCTTGAGAAGTAGGTCGGCGATCCAACTCTCCACGTTCGGATCATCAGCCTTGACACGCAGCTTATTGTAGAGTCTGTGACCAAGACTATCTGGTGCCGCTAGGGCATGGGCTTTACGACTGAGCTCTGCGTATTCCTCTCGAGTGTGAGCGAAGTGGCCGATGCTGTTGAGAAGGTCCTTAATGGCCTCGTCTAGGTCGACGAGCGGGTATCTGGGTAACTCCTTGCGCGTCCGGCAACAATAGAAGCCGTGATTGGTCTGACCCTGCTCGCGTTTCGATATAGATGATTCTTCTATGACAGGGCCAGCCTCTTTCGGGCGTGATTGCCGTATCTCATCAGGAATCAGTTTAGATCGCGAAGCAACTGTGGCCGCGAGGGCCGTGATGCTGCCAGCACCGCTCAACTCAGATGTCTGTAGATTAACCTGAAATGTGCGCACCATCCAATTCTTCAACTCAATGCTGACGAGAGAATCCAGCCCAATCGTGGCTAACGACTGATCTACCCGAATCTCCTCCATACGCCGGTCGAGGAAGACAGAAAACTTGGCGAGTGCAGCGTCTTGAATCAGCTGCTCCGCCTCAGCCATGGTCTTCACACCAGCCAGTGCCTCTGCAAAGTCGACCTTGTCGCTTTTGGCGGCGCCACTGGCCTTTTTCCCCAGTGCATGTGGTAATTGGTTGAAAACGGGATTGTTGAGCAAATACTCGTCGTTGGCTTCCATCATTGATAGACGCGTTACTGCTTGGATTGACTGGTGTAGGCCATCCTTTCGAGCAGAATCTGTCATGATGTATTCAAAGTTTGCGAAGAACTCTTCAAAAGAGATATCCATGACACTATTTTGTCGGAGACTTGCCCTGATAGTACTGATTGCGGTCTCGTTCTGGGATGCCTCCAAAGCGCCGTGGGCATCAATGGAGACAGCGCCGATGTTGAGGGAGACATACTGAGTATGCGGGTGATTGGCATGAGCGCGCGCAAAGGCATCTTGGAAGCCATTGCCGGCTGCATAGTTCGACTGACCAGACTTTCCAATCACAGACACGATAGATGAAAGTGCCACGAAGAAGGCCAAGTCTGGGCTGGCGAAATACTTGTCAAGATTGATGGTTCCAACAATTTTGGGCTGAAGTGGCTGCTTCCATTCACCGACTGTCATTTGAGAAAAGGTTCGATCCTAGAGAGTGTCAGGATATTATATTAGTCGATATGAATAACAGCAACTTACCCTCAGAGCCAAAGCGCCCTGCACAACACCTCTGACTGGAGGCAGCGCTGTGCAATACGAGACCGCATTCCTCATCTGCTCCTCATTGGTGATATCGCATTTCAATAGGTGAAGCTGGCCACCATGCGCTTCCACCGCTGCCATATGCTTACGTCTCGTCTCATCGTCGATAGTGCGCCGAGAGAGGGAGACGATATGTCCGGCTCCCCGGGCAGCGAAAAAGTGACATATCCGCGAAGGTAGATCGCCGAGGCCTCCTGCCACGATGTAAGTTCCATCTTTTCGGAGTCGCAGAGGTGTAGGCTGCGCTGGCAGACATTTGACTCTTGATGTTGGCTGTGTCACGAGAACAACTTTTCCTATGTGTTTTCTCGCACTCATAAGGCGGAAGGCATCCTCGACCTGCTCGATGGGATGTATGTTAACTGGTTGCACCGGGCGCAGTGCCTTTGACCCAATGAGTTCGACGATGTCACCAAGCATCCGGTATATCTGGTTAGCCTTTCGTGTAGCCAGAGTCACCAGATCAAAGGCATGGAATGTGATTGACTTTTCGAATGCAGCCATGCTCAGACGAGAGGCTTTTTGCATCTCACTCTTCCTCAGCTCAATGAAGACGCCCAAACTTTTGACGCAGTCAAGGCTGTCTCTAAGCATCTCTCCTGTTGATGTGTTGAGCACGACATCCACACCCTCCCCGCCGGTAAGACGCATGATACTCTGTTTGAATGAACCGGACCGGCTGGAATAGATGTGGTTTTCCGGGATGCCGTAATCATCTATGAGAAATTGCCGTTTCTCGCCGTTTCCAACCGTACAGAAGATCTCTGCTCCAATGGACTGGGCAAGTTGGATCGCCGCTTGACCAACAGCTCCGGATGCAGAATGGATGAGAACAGATTGACCCTGCTCGAGGTGGGCCAGGTTCCTGATGCATTGGTACGCCGTCAAATATGCATAGGGTATCGATGCTGCAGTAGTGTTGCTTATCCAGCTGGGCGTCTTGTGGGCATGGTATCCGTTTACTCGCGACAGGTTGCTATATGGCTGAGCACCAAAGCCCATGACCCTGTCTCCCACCTGATATGTGTCCTTCATATCTTCGCCAACGGCCGTTACAACACCAGCAAATTCGCCAACCATTTGCGCATCAGAATTCATTTGTCCGAGGGCCACGCACAGATCTTTGTAGTTGACCCCGTAGGCATCGGGTTTGACCTCGATCTGGCAAGCTCCTAATTCGGGCGACAAGTCACCATCCACGAATCGGAGAGAGCTTAGCAAGCCGGGAGTAGCGACTTCAAGCTTGAGAGCCCGGTCACCTTGATGAAGAGTGCTCTCTGTCTGGGCCACAGTGGAGTCATTCCAGCTGCTACGAGCCCACTTCAAAAACGTGGCGTCTGGCAATACCCGAGGAATTGACACTCGGCCATTCTCGTAGGCGAATTCAGGTTCCAGAGACTTTCCATCATGAGTGCCTGGCCAGAAGCACTTTTGCAAGATCCCAGCTACTGCCTGCCCGGTCACCTCCGGGCTGGGAGCAGGATCACGGATGTCGAGGGCGACAAACCCAGTGTTGCCACTCTCGCGACGGAGGACTCGTATAAAAGCACTTACTACGCCTTTGTATGCCGTGGACACTGGATCGGGAGTATCTTGAATGACGACCCACAGGATCTTGGCCTTTGAAGCAAGAAGAGCATTGAGTGCTGTGAATAATTGAGGTTGAGGGTCGAGGAGTAGAGGTGTCTCAGCGCGATCAAGGACCAAGTAGAGCGTGTCCTCGCTAACATCTACTCGGTCCCAAGTGCGCTCGCTTATCCGAACCTCGGTCGAAGTAGGCTTGATATTCTTGGAAATCTCAACAATACCATCATCGGCAGCATCTTTGATGAGTACAATCCTATTGTTTCCCATAGTATGTCCGTTCATCAACAGAGGCACAGCTCTGGAAACCATCATGCTGTTGCGTGCAACATGTATGCCGCCAAAGCCGTTCCTTGATAGAATCTTATCCCATTGCTCCCTGTACATCAGCGCAGTGTCCTCTCGGAATTCGTCCTCGTGAGCCCACCATCCAGATAGCGTGCCAAATATGAGACCGATAACTGCGCCTTTAGGCGAGTTCTCGACGAGAATGAGGCTTCCACCGGGACGGAGAAGCTTTCGCACATGCTCCATCGTGACATCCATCCGCTTCGTCGCATGCAGGACGTTCGATGCCACGACAACGTCATATGATTCGGGCTGAAAGCCCTGTTTGAGGGGATCTCCTTCCACATCCAGCGTCTTAAAATCCATGTAAGACTCCCAGTCGGCAAACGTGCTGCGAGCTTCTTCAAAGAAGCCGCTTGATATGTCCGTGTACGTGTACTGCCCAATGGGAAGGCCGTCGCCGCTGTTCCGACCGGCAATCCCACCGAGAAGTCGCTTTGTGCAGCCGCCCGTCCCGGCGCCAATCTCCAAAAAGCGAAGGCGTGGATTCTTGAATGTGAGAAGTTGAAGATATGCAACTGCAGCTTCATAGTCACTACTGAAAGTTCCACCTTCGTAAGCCCGTATCAGGAGGTTCCCCTCCAGCATAACGCTCAACGGATCGGATGTACCGCTTAGGATTCCGGGAAGGGCTCTGCCAACACGTGCAAGTAGTTGTAACTCAGGTGCATTAGCGAGGGAATCAATGCGCTGCAGTATGCCGACTTCATCCTCGAAGCACAAGCCTGACATGATCTGGTTGTAATAGTCAGATTTGACCCACTTCTTCATCCATCCAAGATACTTGACTAGATGAGGGCTCGTGATCTCAACGTTGTTGGCCTCAACGTAGCTTAGTGCATCTCGAATCCAAATAGATGCCGCCTGGTCAGCCACACGGAAGCTCTCCTCAGCTTCGATAGCAGATACTTTGCTGCCTTCATAGTTGTATGTCATGTTCTCATCCAAGCCCAGTGTGACAGAGAGAAAGTGAGAGAACGACGTTTCCGTCATAAAATCTGCGTCCAGATTCCATTCCAGCCGGTTTACTTTATCCTGGACGAAGGGCCGGTTCTCATCTTGATGCGCCTCGCCGATGGCTCTGAGGTTGACCAAAATTTTGATGACTGGCCTGAGCTGGCCATCCGCCTCTTCTTGAAACACCCAAGACTGACCTGTAGATGCTTTTAGTCCATCGGGTTCGATCTGCATGGCGGCAGTCAGGCTATTGCCTGCTCGTGTCGAGATCTTGGCATCAACTTCCAGCAGAGTAATCTTGGTCGGAACACAAGGAGCGTTGGACACAAACTTCTTGAAAAGCATTCCACTAAGTTGGTGAACAGCATCGAGGGTAATTGGGTGAATGACGTGAGGCCTAAAGGAGCGATACGGCATTAAAGCAGCCACGTCTGGAATAATGATATCGAGAAGACCTTGTTTGTTGCCGTATTTCAGAGAATCAATCGGACTGAATGCCCCGTCCCATTGGTTGCCAGTAAGCTTAGCGAACTCATAGAACTCGGTCTTTGTCATCTCCATATCACAGCTCTTTCGAGCATCATTAAGGAGTTGCATCGATTCTTCTCTGCGCAAATCTGCTTCTCTTGCCCCATTCACCTCATCATCCTCAGGGCTTTCATATTCGATTGTAATTTCGCCCGAGCAGTTTTCGGTCCACGATCCATTGGCATTGTCATATGACCAAATTCGGAACGTTTCCCAGCGACTGCCTTCGTATTGACGTGAGGTGGACATGCTCAGTTGTACTTCAACTTCGCCAGACTGCTGGTCATTATCCGACTCGTTGAGGACAATGGACTTCGAAATGATTACATCACGGAGGATGAATTTTGAAATCGACCGCTGGGCATCTCTCAACTGCACAAGCTGCTTCATCGCCTCGATAGCCATGGTAAGGTAGCCTGCGCCTGGATATAATGTAAAGCCCTCGACTACATGATCACGCAGCCATGGCAAGGCGTCCAAGTTGATGTGGTATCTCCAGCGCGGCTCTTGAATAGTGCTCGCCGGATCCAGGAGGCCGAGTAAATCATGTGGTGCAAACTTGCGAAAACGGTGAGCCTTGCTTAGTCTAGATTCGTGCCAAAATGGGGCAAGATCCCAAGGGTACGATTTCAAATCCCGAATAATTTCAGGCTCTCCTTCATCAGTCATCTTGAGTACGGCTTCCATATCGACCTTGAGGCCTAGCTCGAAAATCTTGCCGGCAAGGGATAAGACTGTCTGTATAGCGTTCTTATGGCGCAATAGGGCAGAGAAATATTCAAACTTGAACTTTGCGCCTCCTGGTAGTGTAAGTGTTTGACGAGAGGGGCCTGCCAAAGCTGAATGAGGACCAATTTCGATGAAAACACTTGTGTCCATCCCCGGTTCGTTTTGTAGTTGATCATCCCGCAGCAAAGCCAATGCCTGGCTGAATTTGACCTGGGATACTAAGTTGTCGCTCCAGTAGTCGGCGCCGAATGCTGTTGATTTGGTTGTACCGGTAACGCTTGAGTAGAATATAACACCACTCCGTACGTCAGAGGACTCGATATTTCGCATTGCTTCCTGGTAATCCTGTGCGATCCGTCGCATGTGATGCGAGTGATATGCAGTATCAACTTTGAGTTTGCGGGCAAAGATTCCCTCGGCGTCAAGTAAATACTTTAACTCTTCAATTCCAGCCAAGTCTCCCGAGATTGTACTGCTCGAGGGGCTGTTCACACAGGCCACACTGACAGTTCCAGTTGTAACCCTATCAATGTATCGCTGCGCCTCGGCCTCTCCAAGACTGACTGCCATCATGGAACCAGGCACTGCAGCCTCTGCTTTGGCATTCGAGGAGGCAACACCACGGTGATAGGCACTATTGAATATTAGTTACATCATCTCGTAGGCTATGCAATTGACTCACACAATGATGGCGTTGTCTCTGCTCAAGGCACCGGCAGCATATGCAGCAGCAACTTCACCAGAGCTGTGGCCAATAACCCGGCTGGGCCTTATAGAAAAGCTCTCTAGTAAATCCACAAGCGCAATCTGAATAGCCGTCGTCGCAGGCTGGGATATCTCAGCCTCACCAATCCGCGACTCGCTGTCCGCTTTGAGCAGCTCATCAATGAGACTCCACGAGCCTCCTTCCTGCCGTATTGTATTCTCCATAGCCTTTATTGACTGTCGGAAGCATCGTGACGAATTGATGAGTTCACGGCCCATCGCATGCCATTGCGCACCTTGTCCGGAAAAGACAAAATTGAGCGGTGCAAGAGTTGTGGCTCTCTTCGGATGAACCATTTGGTCTAATTCTTCCAGCAGCTCCACGGATGTCGATGCGACGATAGCTCGTCGGAATGATAGAACGGACTTACGAACACCTAGTGTGTAGGAAAGACTGCGTAGAGTCTGAGGATTCAGTAGGTGGGTACTTGCCCACTGCTCGGTATTCTCTGATGTTGAGAGTAAAGCCTTCTCGGTTGATGCACTAAAAACAAATAATTGCGGAGTAGAGTCGACAACAGTAGTGGTATCAGTAGGAGTTGAGGATCCGTTCGAAGAAGTCAATTGAGTGGTCAAGGGTCCATTGGTGGCTCCATTACATGGCTCAGGGTTATTCTGATGAGTGGATGTCCCATTCGTATTCCCATTAAGCTGAGGTTTTGGACCTGGAGCCTCAAGGATAACGTGACAGTTAGTTCCTCCGTACCCAAATGAGTTGACTGATACTCGAGCTGGGCCATTGTTCTGTGGTGTTGGCAGCTTTGTAAGTTTACTGGGAATCTGCTAGCATGTTAGAGCGTCCTCTATTTAGTTCGATGACTTAGAGGTCTGTACCTTTATCTTTTTCTCATAGAGCTTTAGAGACGGCTTTGGTTTGATGAAGTTGAGGTTAGCAGGAATGTAGCCATGCTTGAGGATGAGTATGGATTTCAGTAAGCCGGCGATGCCAGAAGTAGCCTCAAGGTGGCCGATGTTCGTCTTGATTGAACCAACGTAAAGGTCATCTGTCCTACCAGATTCTTCGCAGAAGACCTTAGATATCGATGCTATCTCCTCGCGGTCACCTGCTTGTGTTCCCTGTTCGTTCTTAGTCTGATTCTTTTCTTGACTTGCCGAAAAACTTACAGTGCCGTGAGCCTCGACGAATGATGTATCTGCAGGATTCAGTCCAGCCTCTTGGTATACACGGAGTGAAAGCGCTGCCTGTGCCTCGCTGCTTGGAGTGTTCAGGCCGGGCGTTTTGCCGTCTTGGTTCATGCCCGAATTGGCAATGATGGCGTGTATTCGGTCACTACCATTTTGGTTAACACGCCAAGTGGCTGCAAAGGATCCATGACTTACCCGTCCTTGAGTGCGTGGTCCAAACGCTTGAGGACTATTGTGGCAACCCCTTCACCGCGTCCATATCCAGCGCCTCTTGAGTCAAAAGCATAGGACTTTCCATCTGGATTGAGCATTCCCATGCCACTCACTACATGAATATCAGCACGGTATTCGTCTCTGGCTTGCGGTTTATAGGCAGTGCTGGTAGGTCAAACAACTCACTTATGCTTAGAACGTCTGGTTGAATGACAAGCTGTGAGCCACCAACCAAGGCGAGATTCGACTCGCCCAATCGAAGGCTGTGGCATGCTTGATGCAAGCCGACAAGACTGCCAGACTACTCAAAGTCAGTCAAGCACTCGTCGGATATCTCAGTTCTAGAATTTCATACGCAGCCGGTGTCAATACTCATGCAGGGACCCCGCAGGTCGAAACAGTACGATATTCGGTTTGACAGGACTGATTGGTTTAAGCCGCAAGTACAGGCGTCATTGGCCAGCTACATTGACTTACTAGACTCGCCCGTTCCGTTCAGGTGCGTCCTGCCAATTGTGGACAGGTCCTTGTGCCCCATGCGGTCGTAGCTCCTCTCGAATATGCTGGCATACACTGCAGTGTTGGAGCCTCGCAGCTTTTCAACGGGAATACCAGCGTCTTCGAGAGCCTCGTACGTCGTCATGAGAAAGAGACGCTGTTGCGGATCCATCGAATGTGCTTCCGCGCTAGAAATGCCAAAGAATTTGGCATCAAACTGGGAAATGTCATCTTGGAGGAAATACCCATGCTTGGTCACCATGGACTGCTTCGCATCTGGATAAGAGTCGAACCACGCATTTGCGTTCCATCGGTCTTTGGGAATTTCTGTCTGTCCATTCCGGCTCTCCGACAGCAGTTGCCATAGCTTGTCTAAGTTGTTAGCTCCACCTGGAAGCCTACAACCGACGCCGATAATGGCGATCGGGGCTGGAGGGCTCATAATTCGAGACATGACGTTGGTATGACAACAGTTCAATGGTTTTAGATTTGGGGATACGGGAAGAACTATTCAAACAGTCTACATATATTTCCTTTTTTGTTCTCGTTCACTGCAGTTATAATGTTTCTCAACTGATCACGTATTTACTTCGCAAGCCAAGGTGTCCCCCCTCTTCGAAGGATTCAGGCTCGTCCCGTCCCTGTGGACATAAAACCTCCTCCTGGCTTGCGAGCCCGAGCTATCACTGCTTTCCAGGTCAAAACAACAATAGGCTAAATTGGTCGGCAGTCAACAATCGAGATCCGGAATCGGGTCGCACATAGGGGATCATCTCAAGGTCTAGTGGCTGCGCGACTAGTTAATGCCCGTTGTGCTGCTCTAGGCAAGATCGGAATCAATGGCTCCTTGTGGCCAGGCGTAGGATTATGGAGCCATGAGCCTCCACTATAGCACGATTCAGGGCTCTTGAGATGATTGCCCAGCTCGGAAGGACAGAAGGCATAGCATTTAACCTGCCAATGGCAACTAAAAGCTACCTGTATTTGTATTTCCGCAAGGATCGTGGGGTTGCATCAGCTAACTAAATTGGCGTAAGGATGGATCCCAGACCTGTAGCGCATGCGCTCTATTGGACAGCAGCCTAAGAGCCGCAGAACTGTGCCTCCCATAAGCCAGATCCTACAGTTTGCTTGGCGCCTTGGACCGTACATCCGAGAGGCCGGCTAAATGCTCCTCCACCAAAGCCCAGGTCTCGGGCGGCAGGATCGCCATCATCCACGTATTGCCCTGGCCATCCTTGCCGCCCACTTGGAACATGTTGCGAATATGCGTATTGTGCTCCAGCGAAGTCCACTGGTGCCATGCGAGCTTGCCCGGAGACTTCCCATGGCCGGCTACGGCGGGGGCAATGACAGCGGGTGAGAAATCGATGGAGTCGAAAAAGCCCATTTTACTGAAATTGGACACGACCAGGATGAAGGAGTCTTCGGCGGCAAAGACGGGCGGGTTCTCCTTGTCCTTAGCGTACGACTCCCGCAGGAGATGCAGTTGCGCGTGCACTTGGGGGGCCTTGGTCAGCGTCGCCACGGACTCCCTCACCAGGAGGGCCGTTCTCGCCAGCGGCTGCTGCCGAAGCGCTCGAAGCGTGGTGTTGGTAGAGGTCGAGAAAGTTGCATTGGCGATGAAGACGGGGCTCGAATCGGGCTTGTCCTTGCGTTGAGGGAACGTGTCTGGTAGACAGTGTCTCGCCTCGTACATGCCCATCACATGGACGGGCCGATCCACCGCTGGAAGGATACCACAGCAGAGCCGCGCCGCCCATGCAGCCAAAACATCAGCGTCGCTTACAAATTGTCCATTGAAGAGGGCTCCTTTTGGAATGACTTCGAGTTTATCCGAACCGTGGCCACCGATAAAGTCCATCTTGATCCTCTGCAAGGTGGAGTCTGGTAGCACGAGCATGCGTCGCACCGATATTGGGTATCTCGCGACGTGCTCCAAGTATCTTTCGTACGTTTTTTTGAAAGCTTCAGGGCTTAGCTGCATACCCGCCAGAGCGTAAGGCTCCTTGGGCGGCATTGATCCAATATTCTTCAGAGGGTCATCGTATGCACCCATGAATTGTGGAATATCGTCGTAGCGTCCGTGAAGATCCATCGACCAGGCCAGGACCAGAGCTTTGATCCCCATGAAATCACATACAACATGAACCCAGCGGATACTGATCAATGTCGCATCTTGGAAGAGAGCTATGTGGACGCCAATAATGGGCTCTTGGCGACGAATGTGTTCAGTAAAGTCAAGCCCCCATTCAGGGCCAAGGGTCAAGGAGTTGAATTGCGAAGTGATGCCGGGAAACAGTTCGGCCTTGCCTCTTGCCCTCGGGAGGTTTTTCGCAACAGGATGATCCGTAGTTCTCACCAAGAAAGTCTCCTCTGAAAATTGAAATGCCGGACGCTCGTGAGTATATGTTCTTGGTGCATGGATCTCAAGCTTGCCGACCTTGTTGAACTGCAAGCGGCCGCCTAATTTTCTCCAATCGCCCAGGCTGAGAAGGTGTGTGAGAGCTGCGCACAGCCTCTGCGTGTCAAGGACAGCATCGAAACGCAAGGTCCAGTGTTGCATGTACCGATTGATAGGAGAGTCGTCAAACTCATGCAAAGGGAACACAATGTCAGATGTGGGCATTTTTCCCAGACTGGGAGCAGTGGCATTTCCAGAAGACATTGAGGTGTTGCTTGCGAGCGGATTGGTGAGATATGGTTTTAAAGACAGATAAGAGGTTATACCATCTTGCATAGTAATTGAGAGATCTCGTAGCGAGTTCTCGCTTCCACGAACCCCCGAAATCAGTAAATCCCCCTGTAGAACTGTGACATAGCCCCTTGCAATCCCCCACATGATAGGACTCAGTCGGGCCGCTTTCCGGTTAAAGGATTTTAGGCAGATATTACTATGGGCTGTATAGAGTATAGTCAACATAAAACCTAATCTATTAATAATTATAGTACTTAAACCTGAAATACTTCTTTAAATACTATTAACGGGTTTCTAGAAGAACAGGGTTAGGGTTACTCGGGGGCACCATCCTCTGGTTCAATAACCGGATCCTTGACCGATCCAATCAATACATCTTTGGTGTCTACAACGGACATAATCTCTTCCGCGTTTCCAACCTCGACCGGTATTGTCGAACCACCCGGACGAGCTGTCATCTTCCCCACCCAGGAATCCAATACTCAGAAACGCGATATTAAGAAACGAGCAACTAGGGGCTTTGTTGATGCTGCTAAGGCCGATTTTTGTACCTTTGCTTTGACCTTCAATCTAGCTGAAGGTCAGCTCTTTATTGGCGGTGTACCGGCCTTTTACTCTGGTGAGGAATACAAGGAGCTCGGTACTCAGGCCGAAGGCTCTCTTGCCAGTAGCGCCATTACGGGAACCTTTGGAACTACTGGCCGAACGCCCGTGTTCAGGAACTCAGATCTAATGATGAGGCAGGTTTCTGTCAGGACTCTAGTGGCCAAGTATATATCACTTTTACTACTAGTCCTCCTGAATGTGTACCAGTTACTTTGGCTATTTATGATGGTGAAAATAATGTCTATGCTTTTGCAATTTTACATGTTAATCAAGATGCAGTTGCACAACGTCGAAATGGTCGGCTTGTGGGTTTTGACACTTCGACCTCTTCTTGGACAGTCTCCTCTGAGGCAAACACAGCTGAAAATGTCGGTTCCGGAAGTTTCAGTAGCGAAGAGTCTACAACAGCCGAAACGGCCATGTCTACAGAGTACAGTTCTTTCAGCTCAGGTCATACTGAACCAAGTAGTACCCCCTCCGAATCATCTGGTTCTGAAGCATCCACCACTGCTTCTTCCCAAGTTGTTGATTCATCTGCTTCAACCTCTTCACAAGCATCAGATTCTCAAGAATCCACCACCGTTTCTTCCGAGCTTGTTGATTTGTCTGCCGCCATCCATTCCTCCATTTTCTCCAGTAACTCGAGTACTGAGGCATCTTCGTCTACTGAGTTGGATGTTACAAGTTCGCCCACAAGCACGTCAAAGGGGCCAACCGATACGACCTCTGTAGATTTAGCTGGCTCAACCTCACAGACCTCGTCAGAGCTAGCTAGTTCAGCTAGCTCAAGTACATTCTCAATTGGTGAAGAGACAACTCCAAACACATCGACAACAACGTCAGAGTCTTCATCAGAGATCACAGCGTCTACTACAGAGGCCATTACCACGACAGGCTTGAACACTACCACCGCCAGTACCGCAGACATCACTAAAGATCTCATAACGACTACAAGTTCTACCACAGAGCTTAGTAGCTGCGCCAGTTCCAGTAATCCATACACCGTCGAGGGTGTCACCTTTGAGCTCTCCTGTGACTACGATGTCAGAGGCGGTATATCGATAGGAAAAGTTCAGGCCAACAGTTTCGACCAGTGCGTGTTTTTCTGCCCTGAATCGTCTAACTGCGCTGCCATATGATATATAAAAGCTACAAAGCTCTGCAGCGGATACAGTTCAATTACTGGAACTTCTGGGAACAATCAGTTTGACGTTGCAATCAAGGTGGTTGCTACCACTACGACCACTGCTTAAGCAACCACAACTATGAGTGCAGCTCCTGATTGTAGCAGCCTCGACAACCCATATACAGTTGATGGCGTCACCTTTGACATCGCCTGCGAAACAGCTGCCTCGGGCTTACAAATCCTCGATCAACTCCAAACGGACCATTTTCCTGCTTGTGTAAAGGCATGCGCCGACAGGTTCGATTGTGTTGGTCTTGAGCGTGGCCAGACGAGCGGCAGTTGTCTCTTGTTCTCAAGCTTTTCGTCAGCCGTTGTGCAGAGTGATTCTAACGCTGCATTTAAGTGACAGCCTATAGGTACCATACTAAATCACCTTCATCTCAATAAATAATTTACATTAAATATTACCAGTTTTCTCTTACTTCTACAGAATAGTGAAAATTCTTTAAATGCAAAGCTTCAAAGGACATCACTCCACAAGTTTACAGGGGGGTTCGGACTACTTACCTCAAAGCGTATAGATACAGCCGATGATCGATCATTGGATGAAACGCTGCCCCATTTCCAAGCATAAAATTGGGACCTCTCGAATCACATATCCATTCTGTCGGTGATATAAGCCCCTCTGGTCAGCGCAGTTCCTGGTTCCTCTCACTTTCATTTTACAAATTTTCGTCAGCATGGAGCCAAAGTCAGTATTGCCACCGGCCAATATTACAGCCGCTGCTGTATTCCAGACCATTGCCTATCTGGTTGCTTCTTGGCTTGCCTATCGTATAGTATTGGTAGTTTACAATATCTCGCCATTACATCCTTTGCACCGCTTCCCTGGGCCTAAAATTGCTGCAGCAAGCTATGCGTACGAGGCATATCATGATTGGTGGCGGGTCGGGCGTTATGGACATGAAATCCGCCGCATGCACGAGCGTTATGGTAAGTTCGTGAGTTCTGTCCCTGGAAAAATATCTAACAACACAATACAGGTCCGATTGTGCGAATAAACCCGGATGAGCTTCATTGCTCAGACCCGTACTTCACTGACGAAATCTATGCTGGCCCTGGCCGAATCCGCGACAAATGGCAGCACCAGCTGAACACCGGGGGTGCCGGTCCCGTCTCTGTGACTGGTTTCTCAACAGTTCATCACGAAGTTCATCGTATGCGGAAAGGAGCCTTGTCCAAGTATTTCTCTCGTCAGCAGATGCTCAAACTCGAAGGTGAGGTTAAGGAGTTTGCACAGTTAACGGTTGACAAGATGCTTCGATACGCTGGTGGAGAGCCCTTTGACGTGAAGGAAGCCTTTAACTGCTTTACGGCAGACATTATTTCTCAGTACGCTTTCGGTGAATCCATGGGCTTCATCACCCAAGACGGTTGGGAACCGAATCTGGCTACTTGGGTTAAGTCTTTCTTCCAGAGCGCCTACATGATGAGACACAATGTCTTTGCAAGGAAGATGGCCCAGTTTCTTCCGTTTCTATCTGACTACCTGGGTGAGGACATTAAAGCAGTCATGAGACAGATGAATGTTGTTATTCCTGGGTACATCACGGCTGCTTTGAAGAACCCTGAGGGAGGAAGAGTTTTCGCCGATGTGATGGAGTCCAAATCACTACCAGAGTCGGAGAAATCCATGTATCGATTATCGGGAGAGGGGTTCAATTTCCTTCTTGCTGGAACCGAAACTACTGCCGTAAGTGATTGCTATTCATTTCATATACGACGCCGGTACTCATAGTTCTCAACAGGCCACTCTAACGGTTATCACTTACTATCTTCTCGCTCAGCCATTGACATATAGACGATTGATGGCCGATCTCGAAGGAATCGATCCGAAAAACCTCAAGTGGACCGAGCTCGAGCAACGTCCTTACCTCTGGGCCGTCATCCACGAAGCTCTTCGTGTAATGCCTGGTGTATCTCACCGCTCGGCCAGAATTGCCCGCGAAGAAGACTTAGTCTATAAAAGTAAGGATGGTAACGTTGAATGGGTGATTCCAAGAGGAACTCCCATTGGCATGACTTCGATGATTAATCACTGGGATAAAGAGATCTTTCCCAACCCGGACGAGTTTACTCCGGAGAGATGGTTACAGGCGGGGAAGCCCAACTTCAAACTACAGAAGCTATTAATTGCCTTTGGTAAGGGTAGCCGTGCATGCATTGGTGAAAAGTAAGTTTCATGTTGCTCAACTCCAGGTTTTGTGTTAACTTTTTTTTAAAGTCTCGCTTATTGCGAAGTCTACATCATGGCAGCTTTGCTCGCTTATCAGGTTATTCCCAGGGCGCGCCTATATGAGACAACACTTGAGGATATTACATATGACCATGACTTGATTGTAGTCCAGACGAAGAAGGGATCTATCTCAGTCCGTATTGCAATCTCATAAGTCATGACCTAGTTAGAGCAGGTTGGACCGAAGCTTCATATTACAACATCAATAAACACTAGCTACGCATGCGTATGTGTACTTGTCTCTACAACCCGTAAAGGCCGACCTGGCCACGCAAAAGCTCCTAAGCGTGTTCGACTTCTGCAACTGCACTCTTCATCTGAGCTTGGCTCTTGGCGATCCCAGCAGCAGAGTTCTGTCCATCGAAAAGAACGGCGATCTCTTCTAGAGTAGGGCCCCTCGTCTCGACGAAGAAGAAGTAGATCACGAGACACTCAATTACCAAGCTGGAAAGCGATGTTAGTTTATGTGTTAATAATGAGTGAATGATGACTTACATGACAATGTAAACAAAATAAAACTTCCACTCAAGTTGCTGCAACCCAAGAGGATTCACCCACTGGTTAAATACCCCCGAGAGAGCTGTGAAGCAGAAGCAGAGCGTGAGTCCCTTAGCCCTGATGTTATATGGCAGGATTTCAACAGTGTAGGATACGGTCAGGCCTGGCCATGCAGCACCAGCCACGCCGTAGAAAAGAAAGATCATAGCGACGACGGCAATACCAGCAGCAGAGGATTCAGTCTTTGCATAGACGGCGCTGCATGCAGTCCAGATACTGAAGGATATAAGCATGCCGACGCCAGCAAAGAGGAAGAGAACTCTTCGTCCAACACGATCGACAAAGAAAGCGGCGAAGAGGGAGACAAGCCAGCACCAGATAGTGAGGCCACCATTGATGTATGCTTGAGTGACAGCACTGGAATGTGTTAGTAGCTCTCGATAGCAGTGCTGCATAAATATTCACTTACTCGGTAATGCCAATAGTTTTGAGAATAGCGGCAAGCTGTGGTCAAAGTCAGTTTATACTCTCAGCCGCATTACATCTTTGGCTCCGCTTACATAGTATGAAACAAGGCCATTACCACTGCACTGAGAAAAGATCGCAGTAGCAATAATCAGCCCACATCGCTTCCGGTTACCTGGGGTACGCCAAAGCTCTGCCCATCCATTGTCTGATGACTCACGCTCGAGTCTAATGGTGTTGACGATCTCAGTGAATTCCCACCTGACAAACTCATCGTTATCGTCTCCGTTGCCATGGTACTTGACAAGAATCTTGCGAGCTTCCTCCTCACGTCCTTTACTTATCAACCATCGGGGGCTTTCAGGCACAATGAAGATGGCTAGAAGCTGAATACCAGGCATGAGACACTGTAGCCCGGTCGGAAGGACCCATTGGAGGGTTCCAGTCTGGTTCCTCAGAGTTCCAAAGCATACCCAGGCCGCAATAATGCTCCCAAGATACCAAAGTGTGTTATAAACAGTCGTGATCTTGCCTCGATGTCGGGGATGGGCGATCTCGGTGATGAGGAGAGGGCAAGTAGCGTTGGAAATATTGGAGCCACAGCCCATGATAAATCGACCGACGAGATATAGCGCATCGCGTCGTGCTCCGTGACCCTTTTGAGGAAAGCACTGCATAAGGGCGCCGATAATAACGACAACACAACCAACAGCTGTGCCTTTCTTTCGACCCAGTCCGTCGGCGACATATGGAGCGAAGAGGAGGACAAAAAGACCTCCGAAACCAGGCATGGCGCCAAAGATACCTAGTCGACTTCCTTCGGGGTGATCAAAGACTATGTTATCATGTCAGCTGAATGGAGTACTAAATGTCAATGAAGTGACTTACATGTTTGCCATGATCCCATTGTTTGAAGACCATTGAGCAAGCTAGAGTCATAGCCGAGGGTAGTCGAGCCCATGAAGAGAAAGACCATCATAAGATACAACTTCCTCAGCTCAGTCTGTTTCCAGAAAGGCAAGGTTGAGCCTTGGGGAGCATGGGTCTCCTCCGAAATGTCGACATCAGTCTCCTTTGAGGTCATGGTGAGCCAGAGTGTTGGTGAATGTTCTAATTGTTCAAGAGACTTGGAGTTGAAAGCAGCTACAGATCGAGGGCTGATCTTGGCTGCTTCCCCGATGTGTTATATATCCAGGACAAGTGTCTGGCATCTGTGTCTATACCTGACAGCCACATACTAGTCAGAAATCAAGCCATGAGTCTCGTGACAGTAAGTTACTGTAATGCATCATGGTCCTTAGATGGTATTGTTTGCCAGGCTTTTCCTGCTCTCCCCATGGGGAAGACAAGGTTGAGAAGTTTGTTTGTGAGACTAAATCACAACAGGTTAAGCCATTGAGAATGGTCCACAGCATTGGCAGCTTTAATTGGGTAAGAATGTCTTAGCTTGGCGACTACCTGCAGTCGAACCATTCTTTTTCAGGCAAGGCCACTGAAGTATATCCGAGATTTCGGCGAATTGGTCCATACAGAAGACTCTAAAAGAGAAGAGGTGATCCGAATATTCTCCTCGGACTATCTCTTCCTTTTTACCAGCTGATTCCACGCACCAGGACCCTCACCTTGCTACTCCGCAGTAAAGCCTTGGAATCAATGGCTGACACAGTCGACAGCGCCCCTGCTTCTGTCTCCGCAGGTGCATCAACAGCAAATTTGGGGCAACGGTCTCGGAACCAAGCAGCTTGTGATGTCTGCAGAGCAAGAAAAATCCGGGTTGGTAACCTTACGGCATCCATAACGCCACTGTCTACCCTTCATTGTTGATATGATATGCTAACACTGTCGGTAGTGCACGTATGATCCCAACTGTCAGCGATGTCAAGGCTGCGAGTTTTTAAATGTGAACTGTACTCATGAACGACCAAGAAGGAAGCGTGGACCTCCCAATAAGTCAGTCCATTGTATGCTGCTAACTAGATTAGCATACTGACGCAAAACAGACATGCACAAAAAGCTCAACGGCAAGTTGTAGGGGCACCAGGAATCCCTTCTCCAAACAACGTTTCTATCTCATCAGGCGGAAGCAATTATGCTCGCCAATCAACAACACCACTTCAAAGTCCTCAGCTCCTGGACCATATGAACCGTTCCGCGACTTGCACCTGCTCTGGACCCAGTAGCAAATGGCTCTCCGCATTTGCCCCGGAGCCGATCGTCATGTGCCTGCTTGGGGACTGGTTCAATGTGATCCACCCTTTAGCTCCGATCTTACTCCGTCGCCGGTTCCTTCAGCGCCTTCAGAAAGGGGTAGCTGACGTTGACGCCGAATTCTGCGGGCTTGTTATCAGCGTATGCGCAGCGACCAAGGCGACACTACCGCGGGGTGATTATGGGCCAGTGACTGTAGACTATTGCGTTGACTTCCTCGATGCTCACGGACTACTCAAGAGTCAATTTACCCGAGACTCTTTTAGTATGGACAGGTGCATCGCCTTATACAATATCGGGACGGCCATGAGCGCTACCACAAAATCAGGGTTGAGTAGTATGCGCGCCTATCACGCCTTGAGCGAGGCAGCTGCAGGGGCCAGGTACCTGGCGTATTATCGGATACATGAGCACGATGAGGCTGAACAACAGCTCCTGAGAAGACTCATATGGCTATTATTTGCTAGTGCATGGTATGTTTCGGCACTGGGAGTGGATGACTCGATCAGCGCTAAACAAGTCACATATTCCAGTAGTGCGGATATTTTCGGAAGACTACCCATCAGTCTACTTAGTCAAGATCGCATCGAAAACTTTCCAAGACCACTCCCTCTCTCAGACAATCAGATGGAACCCAATGCTGCAGACAGCTGTCACGAGCCGCCTTGGCATGGAGATGACACGACCTATGTCCCAGGACTTAACTCTTTGAGCGACTTGTTCCTCATCTGGCAAGAGGTGCAGCAACTCCATGATAATATCGAACCACAGATTACTATCACCAGATATCTGGGAAAGATTCAACAAGTTTTGGATAATCTCCCGCCCGAGCTGCGGTGGCGTGGTGGTTTGTCACGTCCCGCCCATGTCACAGAAGGACACGACGTCCAAATCGCCAATTTATTTGTGACAAGTCTCAACATCCGCTCCAACATTCTTCAGAAATTTGGCCCCACAGACAAGAGCGCACAAGAACATCAGAAAATTGTAGACGACCTATTAGAAATCCTATACCATCTTCCCCGGGCCGTCTTTGATGCAAACGGCAGCAGCCTTGTCCCCAAGATTCGGGACATTGGAGCCGCCTACCTTGAGCAGACTCAACTGGGGAATGGCGTGGGTGAAGTGGAGATAGGGGACGCGAGAATTAAACTCGAGCGATTACTTCGGAAGCTGGATGACCTAGATTGCTGGCAGGGAATTGGGGTGCTCGACACTCCGCCCTTGAGGATAGATACGTGACCCGAATACACAGACATCAGATCATTAGAGTCGGAACTGAAGACTGGGGTCTTGGTCAATGCTACCCAAACTTCGGAGGCCTTTGCCTCGCAACCGGGAATGCTGCAACTATTCGCCGAGGCTTGGGGCGATTCCTCCTAGGTTAATGCGGAGTAAGTCCGAGCATCCTTGTAGGCTTGGCTAGAGCTCCGCACTAGAACGCATGATCCACCAACCCTACACTCTATTTTATGCGGTTCGGGAAATACAGAAGCTATTTGAACCATCTGCAATTCGTAACTACCATCAATTTCATCTTTGTCAACTTATTATTTTTGTATCATTTTAATGCTCTACAGCCATGACTGCCACACAGATTCCAACAGCACCAGCCCAGCATGCCTACCCTCATCTTCGGCGATCTGACAAGGGCTCAGTCCAACTCATTGTCAAAGGAAAACCATTCTTGATGCTTCCTGGCGAGCTTCACAATTCATCTCTGAGCTCCGCCAAGTTCATGAGTGAGGTTTGGCCAAGAATGAAATCCGATCATATTAACACATTGCTCGGTTCGGTAACATGGGAAATGATCGAGCCCAGGGAAGGTCATTTTGACTTCAGTGAGCTTGATTTGGTTCTAAAAGGCGCTAGAGAGCATGATATGCATCTCGTTCTGCTCTGGTTTGGAACATACAAGAACGGTCTGTCAACATATGGCCCAGGATGGGTTAAGAGAGACCCCAAGCGGTTCCCCCGGGTTCAAGTTCTTGAAGCTGGAGGCGTCAAAAGGACACTCGAGATGATCACTCCCCTATGCGACGCCGCATGCGAAGCTGATTCTCGAGCTTTCGCTGCCCTTTTGCGACATCTTGCAGAAGTTGATTCACAGCACCAGACTGTCTTAATGGTTCAAGTTCAGAATGAGACCGGAGTCCTCGGCGATTCTCGGGATCGATCGCACCGAGCCAACAAAGCGTTTGCTGAACCCATTCCAAGTGATCTCCTGCAATATCTGAGCCACGTCGATACCCACTCCAGATTCAGAAAACGAATCTCAAATGTCCCTTCGTCAGGCACTCATTCCTGGGAGTCCATTTTTGGGCCTGGAACAGCAGCTGATGAGGCCTTTATGGCGCATTTGATCTCTTCTTACGTGGGACGAGTTGCCGCAGCAGGGAAGAAGGAGTATCCCATCCCTCTGTACACAAACACATGGCTCAACATTGAAGGACAGTCCGAACTGGACTTTGGCGGAGGCGCACCAGTTGTGGTTGGTGGTGGTGACAAGCCTGGAATTTACCCATCCGGAGGTCCCTGCCCACATGTTCTGGACATTTGGCGATTTAACACGCCCTCTCTGGATCTACTAGCACCGGATCTGTACTTCCACGACTACGAAACTGTTTGTCGCAATTATACAGAACAAGGGAATATTCTATTTATCCCAGAACAGAGACGTGATGAGTACGGAGCAAGACGCATCTGGTTATCCTATGCGACTTACGGTGCTCTTGGGGCCAGTCCGTTTGGCATTGATACTGGTTCTGATATCATTGGCCGCGAGTTCAAGCTTCTCAAACAGACCAAGCAATATCTCCTTGATGCTGCACCCGAAGATCGCTTTGGATTCTTTTTTGACGAAGAGCCAAGCGAGAAGAAGCCGGAACAGTGGACTAGGACATTCGGCGATATCAAGGTCATTGTTGAACGCTGCTTTGTCTTTGGTAAGCCTGGACCTGGTGCTGGAATGATTATTCACTTGGGTAACTCCAAATTTCTCCTCGTCGGCCGGGGCTTTCACGCCCGATTCAAAGCAGCTCGCAAGGACGCAACATTTGGTGGGATTCTTTGGGGCGAGGAGAAGGAGGTTGATGAGAATGGAAACCTGCAGACTTTGAGAATCTTGAATGGAGATGAGACGAGGCACGGCGAATTCATGATGATGCCTAATGACGATCCAGATTATGGCGGTTTCCCTATTGCGGTTACGCCTGGAGCGAGGACATGTATCGCTGAGGTGGAGGCTTATTGGATTGCTGAGGACGAAGATGACAGATAATGATAATATTGATTCATTGGGTAGCCGAGATTATAGTAGCATCCACAGTAATACCACTTCTGTAACAATTCTTGTCGCATCCCTTGTATGTCACGTGTTTCAGACCCATGTTGGTCACAGATCACCCCTCATCATTCTCATCCACGTCCAGTTCAATTAACTAAGAAACTACGGAGTAACTATAGTTAATTACTCTAGCCACCATGGCAGACCAAACCTCGCAGTCGCCCAATCCGGCAGAAACACCCTCATCGCCTGCCATAGTCTCACCGCCGCAACAGACAGATCTTATCCCTGCCGACGACGAGCACGTACGTGGATAAAATACCTCATCGAGGTTTAGTCATGAGTTTATCTCTTTTGTAGGACAACGAGGTGCAAGACGATGCCGATTCCACTCTTGGTGCAGACGCGTTAGTTTTCCCTTCAAGTCGTCCAGGAGTGATTAAATGCTAATATACGAAACTTAAGAGAAAGCTCGACTGCCTCAGTCTCCGCCAGTATCCTTGAATATCGTCGCAGTCAAGGCCGCACTTATCACAGCGATAAATTTACCACCAACTACTTTTTGCCCAATGATGATCAGCAGCTAGAGTCCGTGGACTTGACGTATGACCTTTGACACCTGAAAGCATTGTTCCAAGTCTAATCTTTCACAGTCATCACTATTTGACAATCTTGTTGGATGACAAGCTGTTTCTCCCTCCCTTAGAAGCAGATAATATTAACGTTGGTATCTCTGATCCAAGCAGAGCTATATTGATCGTATAACTGACCGCTTGGTGCTTTATCAGAAAGTGCTTGACGTGGGCACTGGAACTGGTAAGTCATCTCAAACCTATTCCTTCCATGCACTGTTGACAAGCTGTATCAGGTATCTGGGCAATGTACGTGCAGTATTGGTTCCTTTGAATGCCTGTCACTGATAGACCTAGCGAATTTGCTGACCGTTATCCGAATGTCGAGATTATTGGTACCGACCTCTCCCCATGTCAACCAGAATGGGTTCCACCAAACGTTCGCTTCGAGATAGACGATGCAGCCCTCAGCTGGACATGGGAGCCTAATGAGTTCGACTTCATTCATATCCGTTACATATTCGGTGCTATCAAAGACTGGTCTGCCCTGTTCTCTGAGGCTTACCGCTGCTGCGTCCCTGGAGGCTGGGTTCAGTCTGCTGAAGCCGATGTCGAGTTTCGTTGTGATGACGGCACAATCGATAAAGAGCCAAACCTGAAGCTGTACAAGAAACTGTTTGAAGAAGGGGGAAAGATTCTCGGAAATCCCTTCTTCGTATATGACCAACAGGTTCAAGGGTTCAAAGATGCTGGTTTTGAAGACGTCACGACTCTTGACTACAAGGTGACTGCTGCAAGTCACTCAATTTTACAGGATCATCTATTAACAAACCCCCAGATTCCCGTCGGAGATTGGCCAAAAGACCCCAAGCTCGCCGAGGTAGGGAGATTCGTTCGCGCTTGTTTGGAAACTGATATTGAAGGTAAGTGGAGACCTCCAGCATAATAACTAGCTAACTTGGACCCAGGATATACTCTTATGATGTGGAATGACGTACTGAGGTGGCCCAAAGAAGAATACCAGCTGTTCCTTATGAGCATCCGCAAAGCTATCAGGAACCCAAGGATTCACACATACATGAGGGTTCGATATGTATATGGACGTAAGCCCTCACCACAGTGAGATGAGACTTATATCATTCGAGCATTTCAATATATAGATACTTTGTGGTATTCAAGAGTCGCCCCTCCAGTTTGAATGTAATCTAACAGGGTACCAATACATTCATGAGCCCTATTTTCTCGATCCAGGCCGCCGAGTTATGTCCAGCCACTCCCCATTATCCTCTGCTGGGGATCGAGGCAAAAAGGTAGCGGGGTGGATAAAGTTGAAAACCCCAACGGCGATTACCATCATGGCGCCATCAAGTGTGATAAAGTACCGTTCATGCGTAATAAGGTATCCCGTCCAGCCCTGTGAAAGCTCTATAGTGCGGTATATGCTCCTCAGATAGATGCATAACAACGACAACGTCATGGAACTTAGTATGGGGATGGAGGACTGCTTTCGGGATTTTAAGATGCCTTGCCTGGTGGATCGAATTAAAAAGTCAATTGCAAGAGCAACAAAGACGCTCATGGAAGCCAGTTGGAAGACTATTCCCGCAACCATGATGTTGGTGCCTGGATCTGTGTTACCGTTGATCTTGTTCACTTCCGATGAGGCCAGACCGCCGCCAACTGCCTGGACGACCAAAGAAATCACGTCGCAAGTACAGAATATCCAAAGATATAGACTCGGTCGAAGAATGGAGCAGTTGCGGCCGAAGACCTGGATCAAACGACCAAGAATAATGTAGACACCAGCAGTGAAGAAAACAGGGGCTACCGATGATCAGTCGGTTAGTTAACAATTGAGAGGGGTTAATCATATAATGGTCGGAGTGCATACCAATGATGAGTGTCGAGATCTGCATGAGAAATGCCGTAGAGTTGTAAGGACATTGAGAGGACCATGTACGGCCCGCCCAGCCGATGATTTCGACTATCGGAAGTGATTAATTCAAGCCCATATTTATAGATGTAGTGGTTTCAACATACCCAGACCACCAACAACAAAGACGATACACCACCAAACTTTGGATCGGCCAAGCTGAATTATGTGTGAAATGGTGGAGAGACGGAACAGTATACAAAATACAATGCCTGCAGAAGTGGTTGGAGCGTAGCCATATGAAGTATGAATGCCCGTTACCAAAGAGTGGCAGCCCTTGCGTAGGTCTTGATCTGCTGACATGTTGCGTTGGTGCGTGCCAGGACCCGGGGAAAAAAGACTGAATTGGCGATGAGATTGAAGACCTAGACTCTAGCTCTTGCTTTATATACTGACCAGTGTTACGAGAGCTTTCACTCTTACAGGGGCACTTTCACCAATGAGGCCGCAAGTGGCGCAGCGACAGACTGCAAATTTCGCAGTTTGATACGCAATGAATGGCCTGAGATTGAAAGTCACACACGATGGGCTATTCTGGCACTTTCAAGACAAGAATAGAAGCACCTTGAGCTATATACTATGTGGATACCGCTCACATATGCTGGTTGGGGTTGCTTGTAGACTCGGAAAACCAGTTTCACACCAGACATGGCCTTATCGTACCTGCGTAGGCTGACAAAGCAGAGACATGCCATAAGCCATAAGCCCCAACTTATCCTTGTTTCATTCGCCCGCATTTTCGGACCTCATTTGCGAAGGCTGTTGAGAACTGCGAATTTCGCATTTCGCACTTCACTCGTGGCCTTTGACGAGGAGTCGATGCTATCTACACCCAGCTTTCGTCGTTTGTTTCAGCCTGGCGTCAACAAATTTTTTGGGTCTACCCGTTCGTTGCATTTTGCTGTTCGTTGCCACCATGCATCCGAAACCTAGCCGCGCAAGAGCTGCACGGCATGTCGACAGGCCAAGCTGGCTTGTGATGCACGCCACAAATCTACTGGAGTCTCGTGTACGAGGTGCAGCAAGCGCGGGCTACAATGTCGGTTCGATTCCAATTTCAAAAGAATTCCAACAAGAAAGTTAGTAATGGTCCCGTTGGACTCGGAGAGCATTTGGCCAAACCCCATTCTTGATAACGACTGTATTACTCACACTCACAGTATCGTGGAGGCTATCACCAACCGTATTGAACTCCCGCAACCAGCCCTTGGTGAATCAAGTTCGGCTCAGTTGACCATGTCTCAAGGACCCTGCATGTCCTTTTCAACCTGCACGCGCTCCTCCAGCCCGTCTTCTCATACTGACTCGCAATTTTCCACGGCACCAATCGGCGCTACTCAAAACGCTCCTGCAGATGCATCAGACGCCCCCACCGTGATCGGTTCTGGCGATATGTTCGATGCTGAATTCATGGACCCCTATGGGTATATTTTGAGCACCGATCCGTCCTTGATGGTTGATAACTTGGAGGACCCATGCTTGAGGATTTCGTGACCTCCCCCCAATGTCACAGACATCAATGCATAGACGTCTATATAAAGTCCTGACTAGTCCCAGTTGGATATTTAAATAACCATTATTATCCATGATACACTTTCCCCATCTCAGTTCAATTACTCATGAGTCTGTCTCATAGACCACTCCTGGCTTTATCCTGAAGTGGTGGTTCTTCCCCCCGCTCCTTATGCAGACTGGAAATTGGTAACGCACAACGACTTACAGCGGAATATCTGGCATAGCCATGTATCTATATAGCCTGGTAAACGCCCCCAGTCTTTCTTCCATCCAACAGGAAGTCTAAAACCTTCTAGGTCTTTTTACCGATCACGGCTGTTGCCGCCATATCCGTTGGTATCCTGAGACGAAACTCAAGCGACACGTGATCTGCTAATAGGTGCCGCTTTTATAGGACCCCTTAGCCCCTTATTAGCCCCTATTAGCTTATATTAGAGCTATTTACCTTAAGCTTTTAGTCTTAATTCTAGGACTAGGACTTTAAATATTATTATACTTAAGACTTTATGGCTATAATAGTAACCCTAACTAGGGGCACCTTTTAATCTTATTTTTATATTAAGATATTACTTTTTAATCTCTTAATAAAATCCTAAAGCTTAGTTATAATTAAATACTTTTATACCTAAAGTAATAAGCTTTAATATAAGGCTTTTTACTTTTAAAAATTAATTATATTATTATAATAAGTAGTCTTATACTTTAATATATTAAGTTATTTCTTTATATTTATACTTAGACTTCTGCCTAGTGTTTAAACTTAATTTTATCTATTTATATATAATATTTCTTATTATAGTATTTACTTTTAAATTTTATTATTATACCTTTTAATACTATTTATCTTCTTATTAACTTATTTTTATTTAATAAATAAAGCAAAGAGTATAATATATTTAATAAGTAAGTATAATAAAATCTTTTAAGTTAATATTTAAATATTTAATTAATTAATTCTTAATTATTTATTATATTATAGCCTTTAAATAAAGCTAAAGTTTTTTTTTTACCTTTTAAGCTATATAAAATAACTTAACATTAAATACTTAATAAGCTATAAAGATTTATAAAGTTAAGTAAATAAAGTTATATTATTATTAATATAATATTTAATTATAATATTTTTTTAAATTTATAAGTTAGCCTTAAAAAATATATTTAAGTATTTTTAAAGTCTAATATAATTTAAATATTTATTACCTCTTAGTAAATAAAGCTTTATTAAGTTAATATTATTATAATTAGCTATTTTAATTATAGCTTAAACTAAGCTATATATAACCTAGCTAAAGAGCCTTACTTACTTTTTAACTAGCCTTAATCTTCTTCTTATAACTTACTTTAAAGACTACTTTTTTACTAAATCTTATAATATATTTAAATTATTTATAATAAGTAATTTAATTTAACTCTTATTATACCTTTTAATTATAACTACTAATAATATTATAATTATATTATAATAATACTTATTAAAAAAAGCCTATAAATATTTAATTTTAATAAGCCTTATTTAATAAAAGGCTATAATATAATTAATATAATTAATATAATTAACTAAGCTATTAAAAAAGATAATTATAATAAGCTTTATAATATAATAATAAAAATTAAAAAGGCCTAGTTATATAAAAATAATATTAATTATATTAAACTAATAGTATTTAATTATAAATGCCTCTTACTTATATACCTTTTTTATAATAGTTATGTTCTTATTAAAAAGGCCTTTCTTAATTTTAAGATAAAAAAACTTAATAGGCTAAAAGGAAAGCTAATTAAAAAGGTAAATTTAAGTTAGAAAGAGAGGAAATTTATTAAGGCCTTTTATAATAGCTTATATAATAAGTAGTTTAAGACTATTTAAGGGCAGGCTAAGAAGGTATTAAAGAGGACTAAGCGCTGGTAAGGATATAAGAGGGGTAATTATAATATTTAGAGAAATAAAAAGAAAATATATTAAGTTTTATATAAGTTTAACTACTTAAAGTTAAAAACCTAAAGTTATAATTAATATTAATATTAATAATATAAAAAGCGTTAAAATAGATTATATAATATAATATATAATAGGCTTAATAAATTAATTAAATATTATTATATTATTAATATAATAAAGTTATTTAATTATAATATAATATTATATTAAACTTATTTAAAAGTTAAAATACTTATTAAGTAATATATAAAGTAAAGCTAAAGATATTTATTTTTAATATAATATAAGATAAGATATTATATATTATATTAAAAAAATAATAACCTTAATATTAAGTTTTAGTAAATTATATAGCTATTATCTTAAAGCTTAAGATTTAATTAAATAAATAATCTTAATTTATAAGTATAAAAATAATGTTTCCCTTATTGTTAATAGGCTAAATACCTTTTTTATTATTACCTTCTTAAGATAATTACTATTAAGGCTTTAATCTTAAAGAGTTATATTAAAATAAGCTAAAAACCCTTATTTATATTATAAAATATATTATTATATAATTATTATTAATAATAATTAATTAAGTTATAATTATTTAATTATAGTAATTAATTAATATATAATTAATACTTTAATATAAATTAATAATATTAATATTAAAAAAATCCTAAGTTTATATTTTCTTTTTATTATTATAAAATTATAAGTAAAAACCTATTATATATTAATACATTATATTTATATAATAAATTAAATTTATAATTTTTAATTATTAAATATAGCTTTATAATATTATATAAAATATATTTATTATAAAATATATTATAAATTAAATTAAATTATAAAATAATATACTAAAAGAAGTATAAGTTAAAGATAAATATAATTAAATAATACCCCCTGTTTATATTAATAGTATATTAATATTTAGCTAATCTGTTAAATCTATTACGTGTTATGTCCCGTGACCTATTTAACCCTCTTTACGCCGCCGACGCCACGACCTAATACGTTTTCCTCCCAAACCCCGCGATTACCCCTCTTCCATCCCAGACATCGTGGTATGCCGTCCCCCTCATCTCAGTCGCGCTCTCGTGGTCCAAGACCATAGCCAGCCTGGTCTTCACAGGGGCTCGGTCTTCTCTAGTACCTCCTTGGCCTGCCACCAGCTATCCTTAAGCCACTTATCATATAAGCCGCCTAGGCAAAGGGCCTTAATAAACTTCCTCTCCCTCTGGCTTAGATTTACCCCTATAAGTAACTTCCCTTCTAGCTTATTAAGTTTCTCTATCTTAAGATTAAAGAAGCCTCTGTTAATTAGCTTATAGTAAGGCTATATAAGCAGGAGGATCTTATAACTAAAGACTACTAGCTTAATATAGCTAGTATTATCCTTATAATCCTAGGCATCTTTGATTTCTATAGCCTTTATATAAAAGATATTGCCCTTGCCCTTCTTATCTTATGTAAGAGCTTCTTTAATTATATCGATCATATCGTGGCCTTCTGTTAGATAAGGCTCATCGGGATTAGGTGTCTGCAGGCTTCTTCTAAGCATCGTTATGGTGCAGCTGTGATGCTGTTAGCAGTTGCGATCAGAAGGGGAAGTCGGATCGGATCACTTACTGGTGAGTTTGCGGCGCGGTCTCTACTGCTTAGCCTCTGGCTGACCTAGAAGTGGAAGCGCAGTGGATGATTCAAGCGTGGTATCTGCAGGGGTCGGCGAAAGAGTGCGTATGCGATTATGACCTTGCTCTCTGGTACTGAAAACTGACTTAAATTGTCTTAGCCTTTGAAGTGGGTTGCAGGAAGAAGATTAGGGCCAGCTGAAGAGCAAGGCTCTCTAGCTAGGTTATATGCAGCTAGGTTTAGGCTGTAATTAAGGCAGCTAATTATAATAATATTAACTTAATAAAGCTTTGCCTATTAAGGGGTAATAAATATTTAAATTATATTAGACTTTAGAGATACTTAAATATACCTTTTAAGGCTAACTTATAAACTTAAAAGAAAAAAAGAATTAATTAAATAATACTTTAAATATTAAACTTATAAAGATTATTTAATTATATTTATTTTTTAATTTATATTTTTTTTATTATATTTTCTTATAACTTAATTTAATTTATTATTAGCTTATTAAGTTAGTCTTAATTTATTAATATTTATAATTTTTCTTTAAATATTTAAACTTTTTTTTCTTAATTTGCCTTTTTCTCTTTTTATTTCCTTTTACTTCTTTTCCTTTATTTTATAATAATACTTAATTCTTATAATAAAATATTTATATTATTAATTTAATTAATTAAATTATTTATTTTAATTTTATAAATTATACCTAATATATATTATTATTATTACTTAATATAATATTATTAATAAAAGCTTATTTTTATCTTAATATATATAATTTTATTTTAAATAATTAGCTAAGTTTATTAATATATTTATTTAACTTATAATATATTTAATAAGAAATATATTATCCTTAATATTAATAATTTTTTTTTAAGTTTATAAGTTAGCTTTAAAAGGTATATTTAAGTATCTCTAGAATTTAATATAATTTAAATATTTATTATCCCTATAGCTAGCAAAGCTTTATTAAGTTAAATTATTATAATTAGCTGCCTTAATTATAGCCTAAACCTAGCTATATATATACTAGCTAAAAAGCCTTACTTACTTATTAGCTAGCCCTAACCTTCTTCCTATAACCTACCTAAAAGGATACTATGCTTTAATTATCTATTATACTTCTATAATAAGTTATTTAACCTAACTTAAATACCTTTTAGCTATAATTACTAATAGCATTATAGCTGCCCTATTATAATACTTACTATTTAAAGAAGCCTATAAGTACCTAGGCTTAATAAGCCTTATTTAACTAAAGGCTATAATATAATCCTTAAGATTAAAAAAGCTCTTAAGTAAAATAAAAATAAAGGTAATATATTATATATAATAGTTATAGATATTAAAGAGGCCTAATTTAATAAAGATAATACTAGCTATATTAAGATAGTAATCTTTAATTATAAGATCTTTTTACTTATATAATTTATTTATAAGAACTTTCTAATTAATAAAGACTTCCTTAAATATAAAAAGTAAAAGCTTAAAAATTTAAAAAGAAGCTATATAGAGAGGTATAGCTAAGCAGGAGGGAGAGGGGGTTTCTTAGGGCCCTTAATGGCGGCTTATATAATAAGGGGCTTAAGGATATTTAGTAGCAGGCTAAGGAGGTACTAGAAAAGACCGAGAACCTGTAAGGATAGAAGCGGGGTAATTGCGGGGTTTTGTAGAGGAAAAATATATTAAGTTTTATATAAGTTTAGTTGCCTAAAGTTAAAGATATTTGGCATTGGCGGCAAAAAGAGGATTAAATAAGTTATAAGATAAATTATATAACTAAATAAGTAAATTAGCTATAATATTAATATATTATTAATATAAACAGGGGCCTTAGTATTAATATATTATATTTAATAATTAAAAATTATAAAATTAATTTATTATATTAATTATAATTTATTAATATATAATAAGTATTTACTTATAATTATATAATAATAAAAAAAGAAATATAAATTTAAAACTTCTTTAATATTAATATTATTAATTTATATTAAAGTATTAATTATATATTAATTAATTAGGATAATTAAATAATTATAATTAAGTTAATTATTATTAATAATAATTATATAATAATATATCTTATAATAAAAATAAAAGTTTTTAGTTTATTTTAATATAATCTTTTAGGGTTAAAGTCTTAATAGTAATTACCTTATAAAGGTAATAATAAAGAGGATATTTAACTTATTAAAAATAAAAAAATTTATTTTTTATATTTATAAATTAAGGCTATTTACTTAATTAAATCTTAAGGCTTAAGATAATAATTATATAATTTATTAAGATTTAATATTAAGGTTATTATATTTTTTTAATATAATATATAATATCTTTTATTTATATTAATACTATATTAATATTTAATTAATTTATTAAGTTTATTATATATTATATCTTATAACTTATTTAATTCTTTTTATATTACTAATACTAATATTATAACTTTAAGTCTTTAACTTTAAGTAATTAAACTTATATAAAACTTAATAAACTTTCTTTTTAAATTTTATAATTACCCCTCTTATATCCTAAATATTATAAAATAATATACCCTTATCTATACTCTTATAATTTAAGATTATAACTAGCCTGATTTATATATTACTAAGGCTTAATTCTTTTTAATATCTTTTTAGCCTACCTTTAAATAGCCTTAAGCTACTTATTATATAAATTATTATAAAGGGCCTTAATAAATTTCCTTTCCCTTTAACTTAGATTTACCTCTTTAATTAATTTCCCTTTTAGCCTCTTAAGTAAGTTTCTTTATCTTAAAATTAAAAAAGGAATTTTTAATAAAAGGGTAATTATTATAAAAAAGATATATAAATAAGAGGATTTTATAATTAAAGGCTATTAGCCTAATATAATTAGTATTATTCTTATATAATTAGGCCTTTTTAATTTTTATTATTATATTATAAAGCTTATTATAATTATCTTTTTTAATAGCTTAGTTAATTATATTAATTATATTAATTATATTAATTATATTAATTATATTATAGCCTTTTATTAAATAAGGCTTATTAAGATTAAATATTTATAGGCTTTTTTTAATAAGTATTATTATAATATAATTATAATATTATAAATAGTTATAATTAAAAGGTATAATAAAAGTTAAATTAAATTACTTATTATAAATAATTTAAATATATTATAAGATTTAGTAAAAAACTAGTCTTTAAAGTAAGTTATAAGAAGAAGATTAAGGCTAGCTAAAGAGTAAGGCTTTTTTATTATAACCTAATGCATTCTAATATATATAAAAATAAATACCTTACCTTTTCTTTTAATTATTACTACTTACCTTATAATAAGTTATATATATATTATTTAACTTATTTAATAAAGAAATATAAATAGAATTAAATTAACTTTATTTTACTTATATATACCTTAATATATATATATATTCTTTTAGTAATAAATAAAACTTAACTTACTAGCTATTAATAAAATATCTTTATATTAATAAGCCTAATATATATTACTTAATTATTAAAAGATATAATAATTAATTTACTTAATTTAATACCTTAAAGTATTTATAAATATAAACTTAATATAAACTAGTTTACTTATTTAAAAACCTAATTATTATATATTAATAGCTTTTATTTAAAATATAATATAATAATAACTAACCCCTGTTTATATTAATAGTGCACTAATATTATAGCTAATTTGCTTATTTAGTTACATAATCTATCTCGTGACTTATTTAATCCTCTTTTTGCTGCCGACGCCAAATTCAGTCACGACTTTAGGTCTTTAACTTCAGGCAACTAAACTCACACAAAACTCAATACATTTTTCCTCTATAGAACCCCGCGATTACCCCGCTTCTATCTGTATGTTTGCCCTCTTCCTCTGTCCCCTCCTCCGTTAACTATCCTTAGATAGCAGACATTGCATTACAGGTTCTCGGTCTTCTCCAGTACCTCCTTAGCCTGCCACCGGATATCTGTAAGCCACTTATTATGCAAGCCGCTATTAAGGGCCCTAAGGAACCCCCTCTCCCTCCTGCTTAGCTATACCTCTTTATATAGCTTCTTTTTTAAATCCTTAAGCTTTTATTTTTTATATTTAAGAAAGTCTTTATTAATTAAAAGGTTTTTATAAATAGATTATATAAGTAAAAGGAATTTATAATTAAAGATTATTATTTTAATATAGTTAATATTATCTTTATTAAATTAGGCCTCTTTAATATTTATAGCTATTATATATAATATATTACCTTTACTTTTATTTTATCTAAAAGCTTTTTTAATCTTAAGGATTATATTATAGCCTTTAGTTAAATAAGGCTTATTAAGCTTAGGTATTTATAGGCTTTTTTAAATAGTAAGTATTATAATAAAGCAGCTATAATACTATTAGTAATTATAGCTAGAAAAGGGAAAATTAGGTTAGGTTAGATAACTTATTATATACTAAATAATTAAAGTGTGGTATATAGTAAAGGTTAATAAAAGACCTTTTAAGTAAGTTATAGGAAGAAGGTTAGGGCTAGCTAATAAGTAAGTAAGGCTTTTTAGCTAGTATATATATAGCTAGGTTTAGGCTATAATTAAGGTAGCTAACTATAATAATTTAACTTAATAAAGCTTTACTAGCTATAGGGGTAATAAATATTTAAACTATATTAGACTTTAGAGATGCTTAAATATACCTTTTAAGGCTAACTTATAAACTTAAAAAAATAAAAAAAATAATAATAATTAAGTAATATTATATTATTAAAATAGATAAGATATAGAGGAAGTATAATATAAGTAATTATATAATACTTTTATAAAGAAGATAAATAACTTAAAAATAAATAAAAATAGCCTTATAAACTACTATATAATAAGCTTGGAATAAGGATATATTTATTATTTAAAGATAGATATATATAAAAAGCTAAGAAATATAATATTATAACCTAATAAGGGGAAGCGCTTATATTACATATAACCTATTAATAACCCTACTAATTATATAATAACTTATAAATAAACCTTATAATACCTATAAGCCTTATAATACAGCTTATAATATTAATTTATAACTTATTATAAGCCTAATTTATAATACTATAAGCTATTATATTATATATATATTTATTTAGTAATAAATAAAACTTAACTTATTAGCTATTAATAAAACTTCTTTACCTAAATATACCTAACTTACCTTATTTACTATTAAAAAATATAATACTTTATAATTACTTAATTTAATACCTTATAACTTTATAAATATTAAACCTAATATAAACTAGTTTACCTATTTAAAA